TTATTTTCAACTACTCTCTTATAATATGTAATAAGGTTAATGTTTACATTGCGAGCAATCAAATTATCTTGGCAATTTAAATTCATATTTCAAAATCATTATCAAACAATAATCAACAATCTAATTGTAAATTCAATCATCTAAATTAGCAACAAAAAAAAACAATCTCAATTGTAGACTTGATTGTTTTCACTTACATCATCACCATGCGATCACAACATTGTAACTCTTGATTGTTTTGGATCCGTACGAGTTGTGATTACATAGTAATTGTATCAATAATAATGTTAATAGTTGGTAAATTGCGTCAAGTTATCAAGTAAATTATCTCAATTTAATCATGTTTAAGTGTTAGAGATGATGGTTAACTTGTCTCTCTGAATATTGTAATTATGATTTCCAAGCAAAAAGGTGATAACAATTTAGCGGCTGAATTTTCAATAGACTTATGAAGTTTATTGTGAATCTTTTTTTTTGTTAACCATCACAATCAAATGCCCATCGTGATTAGTGATCATTTAAACTAACAATTTACTAACCATTCTTATCATCATCATCTTTTTTTCACCATTATTATCATCCTACCTTCCGCATCACCTATGATAATGATAAGATACAATGACCACTAGTGTTAAAAGTTGACCAATTAATTACGTAAATCCATTGTTAATAGTGAATACAATTGAAAAAATATCAATAATAAATTGTTACAATCCAATGGATCATAATGATAACAATGATAATCTCAATCTAATCTGTTGAAATCATTGATTGTATTAAATTGTTAAAGCTTTTTAATTACAAACAATTAACACTCTTTTTAAACACCATGACCTGAATACTTGAGGAAATTACAATCTAATCAGTTAAATCATAAATATATAAACTTTGATCATGATGAGATGAGATAATTATTAATGAGAAGAAGAAGAAAAAAGTTTCTAAATTCATGAGAAAATGAACTTTTTCTGATTAATTAATGATTGAGAAAAAAAAGTTTCAATGTCAAGAACATATAATATTTCAATATGTGAATTATTAATTGTTAATGATATTAAATTAAGGACAATGATGAGTATATATTAGATAATTGTAATTAAGCAAAACGTTTTAATCATGATCATGTTAATCATTAATGTGAGATAAAAATCATTCATTAATTGACCTAATGATTTATCATGAAATATATGATAGATTAAGATTAATCCTTGAAGAAGAAGAAATTTTTTTTTCTTTTCCATTGAAAGGTAAACAATAACAACAGAATTTGAAATGAAATTTTCTCATCTCAATGGATGATGATTAACATTTCATGGTTATCATGATGATTATGATTTAGAAACATATATATAACAATAATACTCACAATAGTTAATTCAATATAATTGCTATTAAAATGTTGAGGCCATTTTCCTATCGACTCACGATTCGAGATGTATATAAGTATATATATAAATCTGAACATGATACTCTCAATGAATGAAACTCAGTAATCATGTTAAATATTTTCCAAAGTTCAACTTTTGCCCTTTTATCATCATGATCTTCATCTCTCTCTCTCTCTCTCTCTCTTGATATAACGGTATTTAAATCATCAGCACGCTCGTTGTGTTTGCATACATCTCAGGTATCAGCACGTTGTTATCTTATGGTAATATGAATTACCGCTAAAATTAAGTTCTGAATCCGTTTCCTGATCTTATTTATTCACTGCTTCAGTTGTCATGATGATGAATATCATTGTTATCATGATGTTAATATGATATAAAGGTTAATCATTAAGCCATTTACCTTTACTATTTTTACCTTTGGTTAATTGTTTTCATGTAGATTAGACTAATTGTTGATAGTTTTTTTAACTCTTGATTTTCAAATTGTATTAACTTTATTTTATCAAATTAATTCTGTTGATTGTGTTCAGGTTAAGTTCAGGTGATAAACAAAAAATTCATTCAACCAGATTGATAATTTTTACTTTTCATCTCTTGTTAAAGTTTTGTCAACCTTTTAGGAAATGGTTACTATTACAATAACAATGGTGAGACAAAAGTAAATTGTTACAGTTAATTGTTAACAGTTAACTGTCAATGAATCTTGTTCAATTTTATTATATTCTGACAGTAGTAGTGTTTGTCTGCTGATTGTTGTCAATGTTGATTTCTCATTGAAAGCTTATAATGAAAAGAATAAAAAATTTCATCATCTTATCATATTAATTGTCTTGTTCTTGTTTTTTTTTCGTAACAATTTAACAAACAATTTACTAATTCTCACTGATGATATAACCAAAAAACCCGGAACTAAATTTTTATCCACTGGCAAGGTAACAATTTAAGGTGATATTTAAGTTAATTGAATTGATTTAACTAATAATAATAAGATATCAACATTGAAACAACACTAAAAACAAAAGTTAATTGTTAATAATAATAAAATAATGATTAACTTGAATGTTAATCAACTGTTAATGATAAGGTTAACTAGACAAATTTCGTGATTTGTTAATTGTCTTGAGGGTTATCATTAAACTGACTAATACATATTGAGCAATTAACTTTTCATTAACCAATGATCAGAAAATAACATGAAACAATTTAATCAACGTAATCATTTTGGACCAATTAAGTTTTGAATGTTCACTTAAAACCAATAGAAATCAATAATAATAGATTTCAATTATCGTAATCAACTCCAAGTGCTTATAAGTAACGTGTGAATTTAATCAACAATCTGTTAGACAATTTAAAGTTAATCAAAGTTAATCATTGTCTCTCTCTCTCTCAGTATTACCATTGCAATATGTTGTTTTTAGATTGCAAACAATTAATAACAACAGGTAACATGTTACCTGGACCGTCACCGAAACAAAAAAAAATTAACTTACCTTGTATTTATCATGATTCTCACCAATTTACTCAATTAAGGTAATTAGTTAATTGTGACTTTCTTTACAATAGTTGGTAGCAATTATAGTTAACAGTTGATAGTTTCATGTACTCTCATGCCAAATATTATTGTTTTAACTACAAATTTACCTTGAAAATTATTATCATCACAATTAAATTAACATTCTCACCGCCGTTGGTTAATCATTTACCTTTCCAACAGGTTCATGATTGTAACCTTATTCATTTTCACATCTTCCTCATCTTCATCTTCATCACCCACCCTCACCCTGTACCTGAGTATTGTGATGATGATTATCGGTCTTGGAAAACCTTGAAACCAGAATATTTAAATTGTCTCAACAATTTGTAGTATTTGATTTAGTTAACTTTTAATTCCCATGATTAACCTACCTGATTAGATTATCTTGTTAATCATTTAATGTTTTTAAGTGTGAATACAATGACAAGTCTTGTTAACCTGAACGGTTAATTGTTTGGTTTGCCTGTTTTGATTGTTTCAATTAATTACGAGTAAATCAACTGATAATAACCCTAATTGTTGGTCTGTTTTTCAAGTTGATATTTAACATTGTACATCCATTTGATTGTTGATTAAATTGTTTACTGAACTTGATAGTTAATCAAGCAAACTTTTAACAAAATCAATAGAAACTTTTCAATTTATCAAACAATCAACTTTTAAACTTCATCAACTCTCAAACAATTTATAAATCATCAAATGTTTATATTTGTATTAATATGTAAACTAATATAATATACAGAAATCAGAGTTAATTATCAATTAATTGATTGATTTGATTAAGAAAAATCAAAATTTTCTTCCTTTTTTATTATTATTGTTCATTCAATCAAAGTAAATATAAAAATTTCATTGATTACAATTAACTTTCTCAATAAGTTGTTAAATCAATTACCGGTTTACCTAAGCAACTATCCAAACGGTCATTGATGATTTACCAATTTAATCATGATTAAGATGATGATGTTGACCTTATGACCAGTTTTCCAGGTATTTCCGTATCTCCTTGACCAGTTCCCATGATTATCATTTACTATTATTATTATTTGTCTTGAGGGCTACAAACCCAAACAATTTAATAATAAATTCCTACCAAGGTTAACTACTCAGGTAGTGATAAAATTGATTAACTTGAGGGCTTCTGATTGTAACAATTAATTATTTCATCATGTGGAAACATTAATTTGATATAACAATTGCCTGACAATCATATCATGTTGATTAAAGCAAATTAGTCAATATTTTCATCAACATAGTATCATTTAAATTATTAATCAACGACAGCAAGGTTGATTGTGAAGATGATTTAATTTTAACCACCATTAAGATTATTATTAGTAATCAATTGATTAATGAAAACAACTTGAAACAATTTAAGTTCAAGATGATTGAACTAAACTGTTAACAAATTGTAAATCTCAATAACAATCAATCATTGATTAAGTTAAGGTTGACTCATAATGAATATAATATATTAATAGTATTGATTACAATTAATAATAATGAAAATTTTCATTATTGAAATGGTTAACACCCAATTAAATTAAATGATAGGAAAGTTAATTTGGTTTTTCATTGTCATTGATAATTTTCAATTGTGTGTTGATTATCAAAACCAATTTAGGTCAGTAAAACAAGTAAATTGGTTTAATTTTGATTGTTACAATTTACTGATGATGGTTCATGATAATTGATGATTAAATGTTGGGTGAAACTTTTTTTTTTTCATCATCAGACAACAAAACAAAACAAACAATTAGTTAATCATAATCACCAATGTACTTGACCAGTAACTTTGATTACGATGATCTCAACTCATTATTTTAATGGTCAACAAAATAATTAATTGTCTTATTGTTATTATCATTGTGATTCAATCACCTGTAACATGATGATGATGATTAAATGTTTCAAAATTTTTTTATTGTTAACAATTTTTCGTAATCATAAACATTTCAAGTTTCAATTTAATATTAAAAAAAAAGAAGACGAAATCTACTGATGATGAACTTTCGATTGATTTTCAATTAATAACCAAATTAACTAATTGTCTTATTCGTTGATTGTTTCAGATGGAAAACCTTGTCCGAATCCAGCAGTACCTTTGTATTCATCAGTAATACTTTCCGATGATCTTCAACCAGGCTCAAAAGCGACTTATACCTGTGATGATGGTTACGAACTGTTTGGTCCGTCGGTTCGTACCTGTAATTTTGACGGCAAATGGACTGAAGAGTTACCATATTGTGGTAGGTTATCCATTCGTGGTTATTCAATATCGGTCAGTTGATTGTCCGAAAACCAAACAATCCAAAGCAAATTGATCCTTGATTAATGAACAGGCAAACAAAAGGGAGTGAATTTGATTAGTCACAATTTACAACAACAACAATTAATATTCATGACATGATTTACTTTAAGGTCCAGTTTTCAAGTTGACCAATTCAATTTTATCGATATCAATATTTATTTTCTTACAATTGTACCAGTTTATTGTAATTGTACCTCTTTCAAGGGACAATTAAACTGATATTAATCAATTGGTATCAATTAACAATAACAAGATAAAAGTGATATCGTATTAGTAAGTTAATCTAATTTTTTTTTTCGTCATAATAATTAGTGGAAAAAAAAAGTTGGATTAACTTTTAGTTGACCTGGACTTTGGTATTGGTCAGTGATTAGTGGATTGTTAATCATTAGTTTGGCTTTAATATTATTATTGGTAAATTGTACTAATCTTATTAATTGTTGTTGATTGTTTTAAATATATATAAAAATCACTTACAATTAATATTAATCGTGATATTTGATTATTACTTTTGATAATGTTCCCAAAATGTCATGTCAATGACAGATAGATTTTGGAAAACAAAAATTAACTTGATTATGATAAACAGCTAATCAAATACAAATTCATGTTAAATGGTTGATTAACTAATTGTGATAATAATCAAGTCTCCAAATAGTAATATAAGTAATTACATTTTGTTTTTACAATAAAATTTAAGTCTTACAATTTGTTGTCTTATTTGATTGATGGTCGAAAATTAAATTTTCAGATAATAATGATTAAAATGAAAAGAAAACTAAATTAACCAAACAAAGAGATTTGATTAAATTGTTGTAAAGGTAAAAATGGTCTAAAACGATTCAATTAACCAATCAAGTTGATAATTGTTGGCGTATAATAAACATTAAGAGTAAAGAGCAAAATGAAAAAAAATTAGAGAACAAGTTAAACAATCAAAAACAATAAAGAACAACAATTAACCAGAAATGAAAAGGTAAACATTTACATGAGATTATTGAATAATTAGATATTAATACAAAAGGGGTATTCATGTTTTCTGGCAATCAATTCAAGTTCAACCAACAACAATAAACCTTTAATATCTTTGTTTTTCTTTAGTTAATTGTTTGTAAACTTGATTTTACTTTGATTCTGACTAATTGTTAAAATGAATTCTTTTTGTTGTACTTGTAGCGGTTAACGTAGCATATGGTAAACCAAGTGAACAATCAAGTACCATTCGTGGAGGTGAATCAAGAAATGCCAATGATGGTAATACAAATACAGTCCATGAAAACAAGTATTGCACCGAGACCAAGAATGAAAATTCACCTTGGTGGCAAGTTGATTTACTTCAACCCTACGAGATCAGAGTAGTTAGGATAATAACAAGAGGTTGTTGTGGTCATCAACCTTTACATGATCTTGAAATAAGAGTTGGAAATAGTTCAGTTGTTTCTGGAAATCGTCTTTGTGCCTGGTATCCGGGAACATTGGGTAAGCATCCAAAATAGAAGACAATTAATCAAATCATCTTTAGGCTTTTAATCAATTGTTATTCGCAATTTTATCCTTTTTTTTGTCTTCTTTGATTCATTGATTCTCGTCAATTTAGATGATGGAGTTACCAAAGATCTTGAATGTGCTCATGCAATCAGTGGTCGTTATGTTTACATTCAAATGGTTGGTGTTGAAGCTTCATTGTCACTTTGTGAAGTCCTTGTGTTTACAACCAAAGGTAAATTGTTGAAATTAAATCAATTCTATTGATTTGTTGTTTTTTTTTGTCTTTTTCTTTCATCATTAATCTTATTTTTCAAGTAATTAAACTTTTCTGTATGGGTGTCAATTCATCACTGGGATTGTTTATATTGACAATAATATGTTATATAATTAACAGGAATTTAAATTAAATTATCTTTCCAATAGCTGGTAATTATGTTGGTAATGATGATGATCCCTTTTTCTTGTTAATTTTCACTTTGATCTTTATCTTGATTAACTGTGTATCTCCAGTTTTAATTGCAATCCAGATGATTAATGATTTAATCAATTGAGAAAGGAATCCAACAGGAATTAACTTGAATCTTGCAAAAAAAAATTAAGATGAAAAAATTAGTTTCATTGATTAATCAAGTTATAGTAAATATCAAACAGTTATGAATGAAATGCTATTTTGATTGTGTAACAATGTTATTCATCAGTTAATTGTTGTTTTATTGACTTACCCGTGGAAATTGATAATTATTTCATCAAGATGATTAAGGTGAAAATTTGAATGTAATAATAAATCTGATTGAAATCGAATTGAAAAAAAAATGAAAAGATTAAACTTGATGTTGAATCTGATTATTTTGCACTTTGACTTAATTGTTGATCGATGGATGAACTATTAATTAAAGAGATTCAAATGCAGATAATTTAAAAGAATAATAAATAATGATTAAGTTTTAACGAGAAAAAGGAAAAAGATAAATGAAATTAATCAATAATAATAAGAATTTATCAATATTAAAGAGATTTAATTTTAAACTGACCATTTGATTTTCCTTTTTTCATCTTGCTAATCATCAGAATTTTCTGAGGATCGATGTGGAACTCAAATGGAGCATCAACAGTTAATCAGTTTTAATCAAACGTGTTATGAATTCCAGACTCAACAGGGAGGTTCATTTGCCGATGCGGAAAATTATTGTAAGGCTCGGGGTGGGTTGGTTGTTAATTCGGTTGGAGATGTGACACAAAATTTCCTGCAATATGAGTTACAGCGTTTAAAGGCCAAGTTAAAAAGTCGCCTTGTTTGGCTTGGTGCCCGGCGGGAGATTCCCACCAATCAGCCGGTTACCCATCGAAGTCGATCAAATATTTGGCGATGGGTTAATGGTGGACTGATAACACAATTTTTATGGGCCGATGATCAGCCAAATAATTACAATGGCCAACAGAATTGTATCGTTCTTGATGGTGGACGTAAATGGCAGTGGAACGATGTTACCTGTGACCTTGACTATTTACCTTGGATATGTCAATATACACCATCTAATTGTGGATCACCGGATAAGGCGGAAAATTCAACAATCATGGAAAAAGATTATCGGGTTGGCCGAGAAATTCATTATCGCTGTCCAATTGGACATATGATTGTTGGTAATGAGTCTCGTCTCTGTGAGGTTAACGGCTTTTGGTCTGGTTCACCACCAACTTGTAAATATGTTAATTGTGGTCCATTGGCTGATATTGAACATGGTCGCGTTTTATTGGTCAACCAATCAAGGACCACTTTCAATGCTACCGCTCGATATGTTTGTGATCAAGATTACACGATTGTTGGTAATGATTCACGTATTTGTTTGGGCAACGGTACTTGGTCTGATGGTGAACCCAAATGCTTGTACTCGTGGTGTCCAGAATTATTACCCATTCCAAATGGATTGCTCAATGTTACCAATCGTACTCTTAATGGTGTTGCAACATATTCTTGTCAAAAGGGACACAAACTCATCTCCAATGGAACTCGAGTTTGTCAAATTGGCGGTAAATGGACTGGAGAAGAGCCGATTTGTAAATATATCGATTGTGGAATGCCCTTGGAACTTAGATTTGGACGTTCTCATCTTCTTAACTCGACAACAACTTATGAAAGTATCGTTAAGTATGAATGTAATCCTAATTACATTCTAATTGGTAATGAAAGTCGAACTTGTACCGAATACGCAACTTGGTCTGGCGTTGAACCGGTTTGTAAATTGATCGATTGTGGATCACCTGAAATACCTTCAGGTGCCGATTTGATTGGTGATAGTTTCTCAATTGATTCCATGATTGAATATCAATGTAAACCAGGTCATATGATGTCCAATGGTGAAGCTAAGCGAACCTGTGGATCAGACGGTAAATGGACTGGTACACCACCTTCGTGTCGGTTTATTGACTGTGGTCGAGTACAAACTATTTTCAAAGGTGAAGTTAAATACATAAATGGTACATCGTTCCTTGGATCACAAATTTCATACTCGTGTTCCATTGGTTATAGAGTTAAAGGTTCTACTGTTCGTGAATGCGCTGCCGACGGTAAATGGACTGGAGCAACACCTAAATGTGAAGAGATTCGTTGCCTTCCACCAGAGAAACCTAAAAATTCATCGGTAGTTTATTCTGGAAATGACAGGTCAACCTCAGATTCTTTCAAGGTTGGATCAACTGTTCAATACCGATGTACCTCAGGTCACATTGTTTCAGGTCAATCGTTACGAACCTGTGAAGCTGATGGTAAATGGGACGGAGTCCCACCAATATGTGTTTATATTGACTGTGGTCTTCCTGGTTTTATACCTCAGGGTCGTTGGTTGTTGACCTCAAATTCAACTCATTATGGATCAACAGTTGAATACGAATGTTCATCCGATTTTAGACTCGAAGGACCAGCTCGAAGAATTTGTTTAGAAAATGGAACTTGGTCAAATGTAGCACCCGCTTGTTCATTGGTCAATTGTGGTAAACCTCCGGTTAGAGATGATAGAACTATTGTCGATGGAGGATTGACCTTTGCTGTCGGCGAAAAAGTTACATATTCTTGTCTAAATGGTTATGAGCTTGTCGGTGAAGAGCAAAGATCTTGTGCTTCCGATGGACTTTGGACAAATGATACACCTTATTGTAGAAGTAAGTATTTTTTTTTGAGTTCGAATAATTTAAATAAAAATTATTCTCTTCTCTTTTGTTAACTTACGACTAATTTTTATTTGTTGCTTCTTTTCCCGACGAAATTCAGTTGTCGATTGTGGTAAACCTCAAATTCCAATTAATGGCCATGGTACCTTGATGAATGGATCAACAACCTATGGTTCTCTCGTTAAATATCACTGTTTACCCGATTTTAAGACCAATGGTGAAGAGACTCGTCGATGTTTATCTTCTGGTGTTTGGTCTGGTTCACTTCCACGTTGCTTTGACCGTAAATTATTGGACACGGAAGAGAATGAGATTAATGATTTAACACAATCTTCATCAACTAATCAACCAATTATGCAATCAAAAGCAATAGGAATTGGTATTAGTGTTGCCATTGGTGTTATATTAGTTTTAATTATAACGATAACAATGGTTTGTCTTAAAACGTAAGCATTTTAAACCTTTAAAATCTATTGATTAGATTCGGTATCTATTTTTTTGTGACTAATTGAACTTTTTGTTTTTATCTAGCAAAAAACCAAAGCCCGTTAAGAATACCGAAAATGTTGAAATAACTCGTCCTCCGGACAAAGATACAGCCACCGTAATGTCCTACTCTCGTTTAAGTTTAGAGTCGGAAGCAGCAGCAGCGGCAAGTTTACCAGCTTCAGGTCCAATTCGTCACCATCCAAATGGACTTGTCACCTTCAGTGCACCTTCACAAGCCAATTCAACGGCAAATAATAATCATTCAAATAATCAACCAATTTATGCCAATACAAATGGCTATAGAGCAGCAAGTAATCCGGGAAGTACGGTTTCGGTTGCTGTACGAACCTCACATGGTCTCTCAAATGGTACAACCACACCAAGATTTATGGCCGCCGCTGCAGCAGCCAATCGTAATGGTAACAACAATAGTGCTACATTGGACGTGTAACTGTGATTTTTTTTCTAGCTAAAAAGAAAAGACTTTTTTTTTTAAATTATCAAATTGTTGCAACAATCACAACACAGACACACATGAAAACGTAGACAAAAAAAAATACTTACCAAAAAACGACGAAAACATAAAGCAAAATGTGACATAAACAAATAATCTACATCTTAAAATATCAAATTCCATCCATTTAAAGTGCCTTTCAAAAGAAAATCAATTGGAAAGAATAATTTTAACAATTAGAAAACCAAAGGCCTTAAAAAAAGAAACAAGAAATTAAAAGAGAAGAGAAAAAAAAAATCTTACCCTTGACCAGTGGAACAAGTGACTCTCTTTTTTTGCTCAATTATCCAAAATCATCATTACCTTGCCATCAAAAGCTCTTTTAACCAACAATTAATTTTAAACTCGAATCTACCAATATAAAATTAAAATTCCGACATAATCAATCCAATTAACTGTAAATCACCAGCCAAACCAAACGATCATAGAGAAGAACAAGTAAACCAAAAAATGAATCATCACCACAGGAAGAAAGAGACAATTACAACCGAGGAACAACAATCAAGGAGCCTTAAAGAATCAATTAAATTATTAAATGGAAAAGAAAATCAAACAATTTGGATAACAATTAAGACGAAAATTAATCCAAACAAAATGGAGGAAACAAAAAATGAAAACTTGTTATGATGAATACGAAGATGTTTCCAATAGAATCCACCAGATGGCGATCGATTTTCCCTCTTAAATGGTCAATTGAAATTCAATTATTGAATTTGTTGAGATTGTTGATCACAATTAACTAATCATTTCAACTGATTGTCACCTTTTAATATCTTTAGAATTATTTATGTAGTATTTTCCCATGTTTCCATTCCATGACACACAAACACTCCCATCAATCAAAAAGTAATTCTAAGTGTATCAATATCTTTTTACTTCATCACATTTAGTCATTTTTTCATCTCTCTCATCTTATCATTTTCATCTTCATCACAATCATCTGATTTTTTTCATCTCATCTTCATCTATTTCTTCATTAAATTTGATACAATTGTCATCACCTGAGACGAAAACATCTGTTTGTGTTAAAAGAAAACAAAAATCTCACTAATTAGGTTGATACAATTTGGAAAAGAAAAACGTAAACAAAACCTTCATCATCAATTCATCATCTTCATCATTTTCCTTTCTCTCTGTTAATACATTAGCTTTTGTAATACAATTTGTCCTTTCACCTTTGTCTTCACCTTTACCTTTTCCCTTTATAACAACAAAAAGAGAAATTGTTTTTTTCCATCATTTTTGTATTTTAATTAATTACAATTACATTGAATACAAAATTGTTGTGTCTCTTTTCATTGGTTACCAATCGTGTCTCAATTTTGGACAATCAAAATACTACAAATACAATCAATGGATTCACATTTGATACATCGTCGTATTAAATAGTTACCTAGACAAGTTCAACTTTAATTAGATTCTAATTCAGTTCAATTGTTGAGAAATTAAAATGATCAAAGTCCAGAGAAGAAAAAGAAAAATTTCTAAAATTTAACCTTCGATCCAATTGATCATTTCTCTTAAATACAACAAGAAGAACAACTGATGTAAACAATTAAATTGTTTCTTCTCTATTTTCTAACAACAATTAGCTTTTGTTGATTTTCTTTTGTTTTTAGCTAATTAACTGATTCGATTTAATTTTAGCGGATTAAAATTCTCTACAGTGGCGACTCCTGGCGGGTTTTCGATAAAAACTCTTTTCTCTTTCTTTTTTCTCTTACATTTGATTCTCATTTCTTTTCATGATTGTTGTTATTGTTTTTCTACTGACAGATAATTAAACTGTTCAACTGATTTGGCTCGTTAATCGATGTGATTTGATTTTCGAGTTAAATTAATTCCAATCAATGTTTAACCTGAACATCTATGCTTTCCAATGGTTAGTCTTTAACCAGAACAAATAATTGTTGGTCCAATTAATAATTTGCCCTTACGATTTGGCTAATCTTTTTCATCTTTATCCTTTTGCTTTTGTGTCTTTTGTCAAATTAATTGTCTTTTTGTCTCTCTCTCTCTCTCTCTCTCTCTCTCTCTCTCTCTCTCTCATTTTCTTTCTTTCTCTGTCTCTACTGTACTTTACATCTGGTTCCTTTAACTCTCTGTTTGTGTGTCCATCACTTTATTGTTTTTCTCTTTATTCTTTTTCAATACTCATCGTATTATTCACCATTCCTATTATTTCTTGTTCGCCATCCTTTTGACATATTTCTTCATTGATGAATCAGAGTGATGATGGTAAAGTACGTGAAACAAATGACCAGACAGATTGTAGTGCCAATTTGGATCCACGGATTGGTATGAGATTGGAAGATCTTAATAAATGGACGGGTAAAATAAACGCCTTGGAAAAGAGTTTTGAAGAAGCCAATTCTAATTTTCGTCTAATTTTAAGTGAATCAACTGACCGTCTCAAATGTTTGGCCATTAAATTGGGTAAATCGGTTGAAGAATCAAGGCCCTATTATGAAGCAAAGGAAAGACTAATCGAGGTTCAAGGAAAATGTCAAAGAGCAGCAATTAACTATGAAAAAGCTTGTCAAGCTTATCTTGAAGCTAAAGAGAGGATTAATTTGGCAGAGAAAAAGTTTATCACCACTTCTAGTGATGAGTTTGACACTACCTGGCAAGAGATGTTAAATCAGGCCAATATTAAATTAACGGAAGCTGAAACGATGAAGAAGGAAAGTGAACGATTACACCAACAATCAATGAAAGATTTTCATTCAGCCGAAGCTGTGGTCGCTAATTTAGAAAGAAAATTAAAGGGATCCCTCCTAAAGTCGAGAATATATTTCGCTGAAAAACGAAGGTAAATTGAGATTTATATTAATCAATTCACAATTAATTTCCAGTTAAATTATGTCCAATTTACAACAACATCCATTAATTTGATCATTTGACAATCGATTCTGATGAAGAGCAGTTAGCAAGGATACCATTGATTATGAAGAAAAGAAAGAGAAATATTTTCCTCTCCATTTAATTTATCCAATTACAACTAAATTAACTTCGTAAAATTGGTCTATAATTGAATAATTGAGATGATTATCTTTTCAAGATCATAACTATAACTGTCTGCTTGATTGTTATTAGACCATTCAACTTATTGTTAAGGTGGATGAAAGATTAACTTAATTGAATAATTTAGTTTTCTTAAATTTTTATAATTCATTCATGACAAATTGAATTGTTAACAACAATTTTGGATGATTAATGATTTGATTTTAATTTTTTAATATCTCTAATAATTTATTTGATTGTTTTCTGTTTCTGTTTTCAATTGAAACATTTTTAGATTCCAGGAGCAACTGGCTCTAGTCAAGGAGGAGATTGAATTAACCATTAGTCAAATTAATTGTTCCAAAGCTCGTTATGCATCAACACTAAGGGAATTGGAAGCAATTTCGGAGGAAATTCATGAGAAACGAGCTTGTTCCCTGTTGAAACGTTTAAAACGTGAACCAGGAGATGGAGCAGAATTTAAACCCGGTTTAATTTCCCTTGATTCCTGTGAGATAATGATTAATTCACAATTGGCTAAACTTGATTTACAAATCAATGAAACTCTCAACTGCCAACATCCAATTGAACCTTTCCAAGAACTGTCAATATCCCAAACACCACCACCACCAACAACAACAACAGATCATCCAGATGACCACAGTTCAATGGATAACAATATAAACCAAGCCTCAACATCTGATGTCATAATCAACAATAACTGTCCATCATCAACAGAATCTAATGCTTCTCAATCAAGTGATAAAGAAGATAAAGAAGACGAGGAAGAAGATGAGATGATTTATAGTGATGTGAATACGGGAGATGACGATGATGATGCAGATGATGAAGAATCACCATTGGTATCTTCAGCTGATGAGAATACAAAAAGAGAAGCGATTAAAGAAATTGTTTTAAACATGGATAAAGATAAAGTTGAATTTCATCTCGAAGCTGATGATAAACCTGAAGAGGAAGAAGATGAAGATTCTGATCAAGATGATGATGAATATGAAGATGTTGGTGATGATTTAAAAATGACTTCATCTCAAAGTTCTGGTTCTACTCATGACCAATCAAATGTTTCCAAAGTAAATGGTTCGCTTTTAAATGGATCTGATAACTTTAAATAGTTTAATTGTTGACAAATAATTGGAATAATTAGTTAATTCAATGTGCTCTCTCACTGCTTCTGCTGTTGCATTTAATGTAAATATGATCACATCATCTTCATCATCTTCATCATCATCATCACTTGCACCTTATACTCAAATATTTATTTTTGTCATATTGATGAAAACAAAAAATCACAAACAATTGAATCAAGTTAATCCCACAATTCAAAAGCCATCAACAATTTAAATGTTCAATATGATACAAAATAATTTTGCTAATCAAAATGCTCTTGATTATTGTTATATTGAGTGCAGAAGTCAATTAACTTTTAATCATCTAATCAACTTTACAGAGCAAAAATGACCGAAAATTTTTTTCCCTTTTAATTTAAAATCTCATCTCAACGAATCAACTATTTATATAAATCAAATTAATCAACACAACAAACAATTAACTCAACATCAAATGGATCCCATCAATTAACTGGATTTCACCATTCAAAATGATTAACCAAATTAAACTTAAATGGTTACTAATAATCAAGTCTTTCAAATTGTTGAATGTTGATTGTTGATATAATTATCAAAACCAGTCACTGATTTAACTTTACTCTGTTTTTCAGATTTTAATTTTTAATTATGTTATCAAAATTAACTGTTTAATCTGATCAACACTCAAGCTTAATTACCCACCGCTGAAACCGATACCAGTTTCATTAACTCTAGTTCTTGTTTTTTTTTTAATTTCTCACCTTTACTCAACAATTAACTTAATCATTTTTTTCTCAACAGCTTCCATTAATTGTTGGCAAGTCAAATACCCCCAAAGTCAAAAACAATTAACTAATCAATTCTAAACCTTTGACATTTAAACCACTTTACTATTTAATTATAATATAAAAGATGATTTAAATCTGAATCAATTAATCATCAGAAATAGTAATTGAATGTTAATTGTTTGAAAAATTTGACTCAAAGAAAAACTCACAATTAACAAATTATCGTTAAATTATTGAATTAACTGTTAATTTCAACACCTCAATCTTGTCAATACATCATAATATAAATACAAGAAAACTCACTAAAAGAGTAATTAATAAATTGCTATGTATTTTTTTCTTAATTGCAAATAAACTGAATTGATTAAAAGTAATAATTAAATCAATGAAGATGAAAAAAAATTGAAACGAAAACAAGTCAAACAATTTATTAATTATCCCAAACAATTTACAACTCTGGCTATTGACCTGATATTTCCCGTTATCAATTTAATTGATTACCTTATTAATTTAGTTTGAACTTGACCTTAAACTTGAGATGATTAGTTAATCATGTTAACCGTTATTCACAATCAGTTGAAAGGATTAACATTGATTATGATTTAAAACTCTAGGTGATTGAACTGATGTAACATGTTGATGTTACATTTTGTTTTCCATGATGATTGAGTGGGTAAGATGAAGATGAAGATAAAGATGGAGATGATAATGATGATGATGATGATGATGAGGATGATTTAACAATGAAAGGGAAATAAATACAAGGTTAAATTAGATACGAATAGTAATTAAGTGAGTCTGGGTTGGTCAAGAATTAGTGAAAAGTTGTTGAACTTAACCGTTATACTAGGAAGCGAATGATGAAATGAGGAAGAGAAATTGAAAAATAGGAAGAAAGATGATGAAGATAAGGATGAAAAGGGGCTGATTGATATATGTGTGAGTGAGAAAAGGGAGATTGAGGGAGATTAAGACGATGGAAGATGATAAGAGGTAAATTTTGGACGATCAAGATGAAGCCCAGAGAAAGTATTAAATTTAGAGATGAGAAAATAAACTTGGAACGAAAAAAAAAATTGATAGAAAACTTTTCTTTCCCTTACAATTAAATAGTTATTGAGATTAGTTTGTTAATATTTTCTATTGTGATTAAATCATGTTGTTAATTGTGGTCAATTGTCTTGTATTTATTTGGCTGTTCAGTGTGGTCACTATTGTCCAGGGTCATGGACGGATGTTTGAACCACCGGCTCGAAATACAATGTGGCGATTTGGTTTTCCAACTTTTCCAAATTATGAGGATAGTGAATTATTTTGTGGTGGAATTAAGGTATTTAGAGTTATTATTTTGTTAATTTTCGATTCTTATTACTAATTGTTTGGGATTCTTTGTGTTTCTCTATTGATTGTTATGGGAAAATGAAAATGAAACCAAAAGGTTCAATGGCAAGATAATAACGGTAAATGTGGAGTTTGTGGTGATCCAGCTAATGGAAGACGTGATCATGAGACCGGCGGTGTTCAAGCAAGAAATATAACTACACGTTCGTACCCACCGGGGTCGGTTATCGATGTGGCCGTGGACATTGTCACCAATCATGGTGGAAGATTCATATTCCAAATGTGCTGGAGAGACTCATGGGATGTTAAAGGTAAATAAGAATATTAACTAAATTAGTGATAGAATTTCTCATTCAGTTAAATTGTTTGTTTTTATTTCTTTCGATATATTCTCAATTCGAATTAGAAACTGAAAATTGCTTCGAGACACTTAAATTAAAGGATGGATCGGACACCGTTTCCGTTAATAATCGACCTCGAGCAGGTCTATTCGTGTTCCCAGTTCAACTTCCTGCCGAAAAAACTTGTAAAAAGTGTATTCTTCGTTGGCATTGGTTATCAGGTAAATTAGATTCGATTCGAACCCAATTGATTAATTAGATTATTAATCTTATACTATTCTCTCTCATCTCTTTCTCTCTCCAGGTAACAATTGGGGACTCTGTCCAAATGGTACTTATGATGTTGGTTGTGGACCACAAGAAACATACAGAAACTGTGCCGATATCGCGGTAACATATGACCTAGGAATTCGTGGTCCACATTTACTTGAACCATCCGATTATCGAAAAAGATTTTTACATTAAACAACATCAAAACAAAAGCAACAATACTCTCAATAAAGATCTAATGTAATATATAATATCCTCCACCAATTAACACCCAACAATCAACTCTAATTTAAATAAATTGTAAACAAAAACAAAAACAAATCCCAATCAAAGTGAAGAAAGAAAACAGCAAAAAGAATAGGAGGAAAAAGAGAAAAGGAACCAAAAGACCTCAGGCCATAGAATTAGAGCTGAAGAAAAGGATTCTCGCAGAGAAATTCAATGAAGAGAACTGATTGAAAAAGAGCAGAGAATCACAGGAAAAGACACCAGATAGAAACTTTGACGAACTTTCAAGATCGTGATCGTGAACGACACAAAGAAAAGAATAACTAGAGAGAGACCGAGAAAGAGATCGTGATAAAGACAGAGAAAAGGAAAGGGAACTGAACACACAAATTGAACCATTCGAATGACATTAAATCGGAAAGCAAAAGTAAAAATTCAACGATAATTGATAATATCGAAGACGAAATTGTCTTTGGACCACATTGGCCATTCAAAGATCAAAAGTTATCAATGAAAACTTTTTATTCCCAAGAAAAAGTGTCGGTTGTGTTACAAGAAACACATAAAATGAATGATAAAGGGAAAAATTGCTAATCTCTCAAATTCATCAATGAAAAAAAAAAAAAATCGCAAGAATCAAATAAAAAAAGAGATGAAAATAATTAACAAGTTTTTCATTTTCCAAAACGAAAAGCAAATGTAAAACTTTCTCGAACCTTTTTCACTAGAAAACTGGAAAAAACTCAAAAAAATTATAGTAGAAAAATAGACAATTTAATTACAAAGAGTAAAGAAGAAGAAGAAAACAATTAAATTAAATTGTTCGTTAATTAATAGGAAACTTAAATGAGGTCGAATACGAATGTGACCTAAATGATTTAAAACTCGCGGTAAAAGAAATTCGGCTGAAAGGTGCAAGTCGATATTCGGCTAACAGGATAAATGGTTTACTTTCAATGGAAAAGGAAAAGGCGACGGCGGCGTAAAGGTAAATCCAAAATGGAGTATGAAAGGGGGAGAGAAAAAAGAGAGAAAAAATTGTCGAAAGAGAAGAAAATAAAGCGAAAGAAAATGTTATAGAAAGAGAGGAAAGAGAAAAAGAAACTAAAACCAAGAGAAGGAAGAAAAAAAGTGTCGACAGCATCAGTCTCTCTTCAATCCCCCCATTGGAAAAAGCAACTGAAAAAAAAGTAAAAGAAAAAACAAAATGTTGTCAACTGTTAATTAATTAATAATGTGGATTTAATTTGATGTAATAATTTAATTTCTCATGTGTTACAAGTTGATAATCAACTATGGCCGAACTACGGGATAGATTGGCCTTCGGAACAATTAAGATTAACGTGAACAATTAAGTTGCAAGAATACAAATATTAACATTTGGAACATTTTTTTTGTTAACCAACAACCTAAATCATCAACAACAAAACAACATACACATTATATATACACTATTACAACAACAACAATATTCTCAATCAAGTATTTGCTTTTTTTTGTCTTATCAAATTTTTCTATTCTTTTCTGTTATTCTAATTAATCCTTGTGATTTAATTATTGTGATTTCTTCTTCTCCTTCTTGTGTTGTGTGTTTTTTATCCATTGGTTTGTTAATTGTTTTTCTTTTTCTTTTCTCTTTTTTGGGAGAATTTTTTTCTCTTCTACCAGAAATCTTCAATCCAATATATCCAATATATCCACACAATCATCTGAGACTCTGGCCATTTGGAAAGATAGAGAGAGAGAGAGAGAGAGAGAGAGAGAGAGAGAGAGAGAGAAAGAAGAGATTTATATTAATACAATATTTGGATATTCTATCGAGATTTACCTTTTTTCTTCTTCTTATTTTCTCTCTCTCACTATTATCTTTCTTTCATTGACTGATTTTCGCCATCATATTATATACATCAACTAATTTCAAGTCTGCTTTAAAAGTCAAGCTTGTTAAGTGGGAAAAGACCTTTTCCTTTTGACTCTTTCTATTTACTATTTTTCTCTTTCTTTTTTCTCTTTCTCTCTATTATATATATTTAATAATATATATATTTGTTTGTTTCCCTTTTATTTTTTCTCTTTCTTTTCTTCTCTTTAAAAATTGTTCATTCATTATTATTATAAATTTTTCTCTTCTTCTTCTTTCCTTCCTTCTGAAATTTTTCTGTCCAAAATCTTGTGTAGCTTTGATTGAGTTGTAATCTTTTATTTCTCTCTCTCTCTCTCTCTCTCTTGTTGTTGTGTTTGTATTTATCTCACTCTCTCATCTTCATCTTCATCATCTTTATCACGTCATAAACAGTCATCATCATCATCATCTTTCCCCCATCATCATCATCATCTTGATAATTTATACGTATATTGCCCCCCTTTTTGATTGCCAATGGATACATACTTATTTCCTCCGCCTATGGTTCTCTCTGGACCAATTGTTCAGTTAATACAAGCACCTTCAGGGGCAACACAACTTGTCTCCACTTCTACCTCTCCAGGATCCAATAGTACTGCTTCTGGTAATAGTGGCGGTCAACCTGTTGTATCAGCTAGTTCAACAAAAAATTCTTCTGTTAATAGTTCCCGATCAACTAAACAAATTTTACCCAAACCACCAGGTAATGGGGCTAATAGTCAATCAAGTGGTGGTCCAGGTAAATCGGGTTCAACAGCAAGTAACGTTGGATCTGGAGTAAATAATTCATCGGTAAACAATAATCCAAATCTAAATCCTGGTAATCAAGGAGCTCGTTCTTTGGTAACTAACATGCCTTCAACTGTAAACACTGTTGGTCATACCCTGACCACTGGACCTTTATCAACAGGTCCTGGACCACAAATATTACTTGGTCCACCAGGAAATCAAAAGATGAGCTTCATCAATCCACCAGGAACCTTTTTATTAAATCAAGTGATTCCAGGCCTTGGTTCTCAGCCCATTTTAATTCAAGGAAATATAAATAATATCGGTGGCCCTTTACAATTGACGTTAAGGCAGCAACAGCCTCACACGGTGGCTGTTAGCAGTGCCAATGGTAATAGTGTCAGTGTTGCCTCATCTCAAGGTTCAACTACAACCCCCTTAATAAGTGCTTTAGCAGGACAAACATCATCCTCTATACAACGAACCACATCATCAGGTCCAACTTACCTATTTAGTAATCAAGGTCCTAACGTTTCATCAGCACCAACAATGGTTATGGCCTCAGGTCAACACAATTTTAGAGGTCAAAATATAATATTTACCCGACCACCTAATCTAATCGGTGGTCCAGGTTCAATGGTACAAGGACCAGGAGGTCATTCTGCTCCAACTCAAACAGTTCCTCAAATAATTCAAATTCAAACACCCAATGGTCCAATGTTGGTTGCCCTGCAAACAACACCGCACCTTGGACCACACAATGGAGGTTCACAAATGTTTCAAACTCATGTAACCCCCTCACCTCAAGCCGTTCCAATTACAAGTACCATTATGCCTCTACAAACATCAGGCACTGTTGGTAATCAAAGTGCTTCAACCCATCCAACTTTGCACACTATTTTACAGACATCATCAGCTGAATCTTTAAATCAATCATCCATGGGACAACAACAGTCTGGTGCTTCTCTTACTTCAAACAATTTAATTTTCTCTCAATCGGGTAATGTGATATCTTCTCAACAATCAGTTACTACAAGTACTTCGTTGACACCTCAACATCAACTTCAACACCATCATCAACAATTACAACAACAGCAACAACAACAACAGCAGCAGCAGCAGCAGCAACAACAACAACAACAACAGCAAAATCTCAAACTCCACATAGTAGCTCTAATAGTGGAAGAGGAAACTCAAAAGTAAAGAAAGAATCAAAAGGAGTAAATTTAGCTGATCTATTGAAAGAGACTGGAATCTTACAAGATTCTTCACCACCTCAATCGCCTTCCTCAATAACAATTAGACAAACCTCAACGGACACAGAATTGGCCAATAGTATTTCCCCACAAACTGAGATTACACATACAAGTTCATTAATAACTGGAACAACACAGACAATTTTGGACACTAATCATCACCATCATCACCATCATCATCATCAAACCAATCAATCACAACAACCAACCATGATGATGGTTTCTGGTCAAGGAGCACACCAGGGGTCAAATTTTTTAATAGCCCAAGGTCCTGGTATGCAACCAGGTACAGCACCACAATTGAGATTATCTTTAGCTGCTGATGGAAGTGTTATCCTTCAACCAACCAACATGGGATCAATGGGACCTGGTGTTAATACTGGTAATACAATTTTACAGAATCCATCCAATGGTCAAGGAACTGGAACATCAATTATATCTGATTTAGGTTCAACAACAATGGCATCAATAAACAATTCAAAGTTCATTGATACACTAAGAGATTCGTGTGGACCAGGGTCATCACAACCTTCACCCGATTCAACCACACCAACACTAGATGCCTCAACTCCAACATCAACCGCCATTACATCAACTAAATCAAATTCACCGGCCATCACAACCCTTGGATCAAGTCCCGTTATGAGTCATAAACAAACATTAATGGAACATTTAAACGCAGGATCAACAATGAAAGTCGGTGACAGTGTAACCTCAATGACCATTACACCAATCATGGGGCCACCCTTGAGAGATGATCAAAAAAGTGGTTCATCTTTTATTCCAATGAACATTAACAATGAAACGATAACATTTAATAATTTAAGAACTACTTTTAAACAAGAACCATTAAGTAAATCATCATCATCATCAGCTGATCATTTGTCAACATCATCATCAACAACAACAGCAACAACTACAACATCAACCTCACCTTTAAGCGAAGGGAAAACTGAGATGATCAGTGTTTCCATGAACAATATTCCAAGTACTTCAAGTTCAACATCGACAACAACAACTTCGGTTCTAACCATGAGTAACTGTGATAATTTGGGTCAAAATGCATCGATGCCGGTTCTGTTGACCAATGCATCTTTAATCATTCCAGAAGATGCCAATGGTAAACAACAAACCAACAATAGTTTATCATCATCATCATCAAAAACAACGTTAACCAATCGAAGCGGTATTTTAACAACAAATCATTTGACAAGTAACAACATTGGATCACCATTAACTAGTCTAGTAACCCCAAATGGTCAGACAATTGTTACTCCATCATCATCACCGGTAATTACCACTGGTGGTGTTAATTCAACCGGTAGTCAACAACAAGGAGGTGTACCAACCATTGTTGATCAGAATGGCTATCAATTTGTACAGATTAGTTTAAATAATCAAGAATTTATTGAACGATTGGAGTCACAGATTAAAAAATTAACAGCCTTAAAGTCACCTAAAGATGATCAGAAACAATTATTACAAGAATTGTTAAGTTTACAGAAGAAAATGTCAGGAGGAAAAAATCAAATACAAAATTCAATTGGCGGTGAGAGTAAAATCATATTAACCTCACAATCACCTGATTTACTATTATCAGCTCAACCTCAACAATTACAACAACAATCAACTGTAACACCAACAGGACAACAGCAACAATTGACTTTACAACGAAAAACAATTTCAAGTCCTGGTCCACAATCTTTACCGCAAAGTATACAAGCACATTTACAGCAATTGTTTCCGTAAGTTAATCATCTCAATTAATTAATTTAACTTCGTAATCTTGAATATTTTACTCAAAAGATCATGTTTCTAAAAGCAAAGAGAGAGAGAGAGAGAGAGAGAGAGAGACGGTTGAAAAGATAATCATGCAAAGGAAAATCAGATTAACCTGAATTGGAATCATGTCCAAAGTGTGAAAAAAAAGTTCAGACTTTTTTATCTTCAGTTGAAACAATTATTTGTAATGAAATTTTAAAGTGTTTTTCCAAAAACTTGACACTTATCAAAACCATTTGAACAATTATCAAGCTGAAATATTAATTTTAATTGTATCTCGACACTTGAACTTATACAGTTTTGTTTTTTTACTTTTGTTTTCATTGAATTACTAACAAAATTAAGTCACAATTTAACTCAGTTTCTCTTTACATGATAGTTTATCTTCCTGAAAAAAACAATAAAAATTCATTAAAATAAATATACTCATAGACGTTCAAGATCAGGCCTATTGTTGTATTAATGAGTGACGAGTCAATCAAGAGATTTACTTTCTCTTTCTCTCTCTCTCCTTTCTTTTTCCTGAGTACTCTGTTCAAGGTTTGACAAGATTTTTATGGCATAGTTAAAGATAGTAAGAGAAAAAGAAAGCGAAAGATATGAATGAAAAGAAAGAAAAGAAAGATGAAATGTAATGGAAATGAAGCAAAGAGAAATTATCTACACAATGAGTCTTTGATTCATAATAAATCAAGTTTCCATGATAATATTATCCATTATGCATATATTAATATAATAGAGAAATGATTAACTCGATTTTATGCTTTAACACAATAAACATTGGTGATAATGATGATGAAAAGGATAGAGATTAATTTTCGATTTGAGTTTTTTTTTGATATTTCTCTTATTTTCTAATAGTAATAATATTTGTTTCTTTTCTGTTTAACTTGTTAAATATTAGCGATTAATTTAATCATTCATATTCAATTTTATGATGTAGTCACTTTGCAATTGAAAGTGTTGTTCAACTTGATGTAGAAAATTTTCTCTCTCTCTCTCCTTTCTTTTCCTGAGTACTCTGTTCAAGGTTTGACAAGATTTTTATGGCATAGTTAAAGATAGTAAGAGAAAAGAAAGCGAAAGATATGAATGAAAAGAAAGAAAAGAAAGATGAAATGTAATGGAAATGAAGCAAAGAAATTATCTACAATGAGTCTTTGATTCATAATAAATCAAGTTTCCATGATAATATTATCCATTATGCATATATTAATATAATAGAGAAATGATTAACTCGATTTTATGCTTTAACACAATAAACATTGGTGATAATGATGATGAAAAGGATAGAGATTAATTTTCGATTTGAGTTTTTTTGATATTTCTCTTATTTTCTAATAGTAATAATATTTGTTTCTTTTCTGTTTAACTTGTTAAATATTAGCGATTAATTTAATCATTCATATTCAATTTCATGATGTAGTCACTTTGCAATTGAAAGTGTTGTTCAACTTGATGTAGAAAAATTTTCTCTCTCTCTTTTTCTCTCGTGATGACCATGAAATAAAAGCTCAATTAAAGTAGCAATCGTGGCTACCTTTGCACAGAAGAATGAGAAGAAGATGATGATGTTAATGATGATTATGATGATAATAACAAAGTAGAAAGAGAAAACCCGCTCTCTCCAATATTTTGCCTTCCATTTTCATCTTCTCGTTCTTCTCTCTCTCTCTCTCTCTCTCTCTCCCACTCTTTCTTCTTTTTTTTCATTGAAACATTTTCGCTTCTATCGCTTTTAAAATTTTCATGTTTTCTCTTTGTTTTCAAGGTTGTAATTTGTTATTTTCTTATTTTCATCTCTTTCTCCTCTTTCTTTTTCTTTCTACAGGGACACTCAACAAGAATCAGAACAACAAAAATCACAAGCTGCACAACACACTTCTATGCCTTCAATATTACCAAAGATAACATCAACTAATCAGCAATTAACCTCAACTACCCAACAATTAAATCAACCCAATTCACCAAATCCTTCAACATTTAACACTTTAATCAAATTAAATAACAGTAATAGTAGTAACAGTAACAGTAATAATAATAGTAATAATAGTACAAGTAATGTTAATCAACTTCATCAAGTCACACAATCACAGATAGTAACCGCATCACAACAAGCACAAAATGTTAGGATATTAACCCCTGGAAACACCACAAATATTGATGGTAATACAACAATTCAGGTTGGAACTCAATTGATAACAATTGCTGCATCACCTTCAGCCAAATCTTCAACGATTCAATCCTCTCCACTGCACAAGGTGAGCAAAAAAAATCTACAAACTTTGATTAATAACTTTCCTGATAAAAATGAGACTAAATGAATTAACAAGATAAACGTACATGTATATGTTTACAATTTGAGCAAACTACAATCATCATCATCATTAATTAAATATATCTACTTATTTTATCTTTAATATATGTATCTTTATAATCAGCAATCAAGCGGAGGATCAAATGCAACAACAATTCAGGTTGTAAGAATAGGAACACCAAATACTTCAACTTCGAGTACAAATTCTGTGAACAAATATTTCAAATCACCTCTGGAATCACCACAATTAGAAAGTGAAAAAACCAAAGCTAAAATTTGTCGATAGTAAGTTAATTACAACAACGAAAACAAAAAGAAATGAATGAACGTTTACAAAATTTACTAATCATTTACTTAATTTTTACACAGTTTTCAACAACAAGCCGCTGCTGACCAGTCCGCTGCAATCAGGCCTGATACAAAGTCCCCATTTAAAAGCCGAGGCGATGCTTGTAAACGCTTATTACGATACCATGTTTTCAATACTCCAGTTCCTAGTGAGGAGCAATTGTCCAAAGGTAAACAATCAAAATTAATCTTATATTTATATATACTTAATTTAATTAAACAATTAACAATAGTTAGGTAACAATTGATTTCTCCCCACTTTCTACCTGTTTAAAAGCAATTAAAACAATGTTTTTCTATCATTATTGTTTTCATTGATGATAATAATAACAACAACTTAATAATAAATCAATACATTAATGATTAGTAATCAATTAGTTAATGATGATTAACAGTTTAATTGCTTACACGACAACAGGTTTGTAATTTTTATTAACTTTCTCCTTAATTAACAAGATTATAATTTAACTTGTTCATTCATTATTATTATGCAACTTAACACATCATTATCCCTTTTTGTTGTTAATTGTTTACCATCATCATCAACTGTATTACTTAAATTACACTTGATCTTCAAGGAAAGGGGATTAAACCTCACACTTGTTACGATTAACTTAATCAAGATTAAATCTAAACTGATACACGGATTAGATTGATTTTTTCCTATACAATCATCACTTAATTAACAATTAACAAGTTTACTAATATTTATTTACTTTTTTTCCCTCCAATTTCATTACAGTTGATCGTGATTTTGAAGTGATATCAGAAAGTCTATTAAAACGGAAGAATGAACTTTACAATAGATTCCGTTATAATTTACTAAAATCTAATATGGTAAGTAAATTAATTAATCAATTAAGGTTATAATTATTTATCTAATTTTAGGTAACATGTTATTGAAACAAAATATTTATTTATAATTGAATGTTTATCTATTATTTGACATGATGAAATGTGATGATAACTCTGTTTGTGTGTGTAAATGAGTGAATGAGATAGTAAAAATCTAATCATTCTCAAGTTAATCCCTTGCAAGTAATCTGATTATCTTTAATTTGATTTTATCTTTATCTCTTTTATTGATACAGACTGAGACGCCTAAAGCGGAGTACATAATGTTAAACAAATGGTTCATAAACGATGAAAACAACTCACTCCAAAGGGATAAAGACTGTGTTGCTCAGGGAAAAGGTGAGAAGCTACTTGAAGCTTATTGTATATAAACTGTGTATACATTTCCAGCTAAGCTATTACAAGGAAGACAACAATGACTACATCATAATGATGATGATGATCAATATCGATAGTGTATCAAGATGTAAACCTGAAACAAGAAGAAAGAAAGAAAACTCGAAGCAAAACCAAGAAAAATCCTCCTTGCTCACTGTGCAAAGTGTAAAGAAGTATGAGAAAGAGATTTGTCTTCATCATCATAATCTTATTTCTCACTCTTTTGATTGTGCATTATCAAAGTGAATATGTGTCAATATGTGGCTCTTTTTTTTCTTGTCCCCATTATCCTTCGACAGCCTTTTTAAGTCTCTCTTTTTCTCTCTCTCTCTCTCTCTCTCTCTCTATCACCTCTTTCGTTCTCTATCTTGGCTTATTGATCCTTCAAGTGTCAAGGTTCGCTTTGAATTTCGTTTTTCAGTTCGTTCTGATTACATGCTCTCTTTCTCTTTTTTGGTCTTTTATCTTCCATTTTCTTCTCTCTCTCTCTCTCTCTCTCTCTCTCTTCTGTCACTCCCAGGACTCTTCTAGACATGATATCGATTTAGTTTGCACCATGAAGGTTATGAGTCGACTCTTTCATTCAAGATGGATATCATCTTCATCTTGATCATGAAAGAATCCATTTCCATCGTCATTCTTCTTCATCTTATTTTTTTCACCCTCACCATCCTCATCATCTTCCTTTCTCTTCCCAGGTCTTTTTATTTTTACTTGTTTCCTCTTCTCTCTCTCTCTCTCTCTTTCTCTCTTCCTTTCTTTCTTATCCCTTTTCATGTTCTCCTCTTACACCTTATCGTCATCTTACTTGAGAAAAAAAGAAAGGAAAAGATTCCTTGTTTCATTTTTTATCTTTTCTCCCTTGATTCTCATCTATCCGATATTTCTCTCTCTCTCTCTCTCTCTCTCTCTCTCTCTCTCTCTCTCTACCCTTTTATAGTGAGTGTATGTGAAACTATGATATGGTTTAAATATATAAAAAAAACTGTTCACCAATAAATAGCCAATGAATAAGATTATCGAGATTAAATAGATGATTGAATGAGAAAAAAGCAGTAAAGTGATTTACAGTTAACTCTGTTATTTTATTAGATAATAATATTTACATTGACTAGACACAGCAAAATGATTCTGATTTAAAGCCATGTTTTATTTAAAGGCCTTAGATTATACTACTCTTACATGTACATAAAAATGTAATACATGTATATGTATATTTGAAGTATATGTATCATGATGAAGATGAAGAGGCAAAAAAAAATATTTTTCTTGCTCATGTTCATAATCAATAGACAGAGAAAAGAAAGAGAAAGATGAAAAGATGAGATGAGATGAAGCAAATAAAAAAGCATAAGGGAAGTTGAGAAGAGAAATGGAAAGAGAAGATTCAAAAGATGTGGGAGAAGAAGTAACAAAAGAGGTGAATTTGTATTAGAATCTGTGATGATAAAGACTTTTTCCATCTCCCTCCATCCCTCCCACTCTCTCTATGTTTTTCAACAAGATTGTAAAGCTCAATGGAAGTGAAAGGCTTTTTTTTCAATTGTTTGCTTACTTGATACTCTGGTGTAAGGTGAGGAGAGATGAGATACATTGCTCAGAATTTTTGATCGATATTTACAAGGGAATGGAAAATATTTTCAGTTGCATTACAATTCTCCCACTCGATTTATCTCCCACCTCCGCGCCTTCTTTTCACTCTTAACATTTCCATAGGAAAAACATATATTATCTTCATCTTCAATAATCTTACTTTTCATCTTCTTCCCTTTTCTATTTCTTATTAGAAGATTTTTACCTATGCGCGCCAAAATTTCTTTCTCTTGATCTTAACTTCATCATGTTTCCTTTACGAACATATTATCTCATTTTCTCTACCTTTTCTCAAGAATTATTTGTCTTCCTGATCATCCTTGTTTCTCTTATTTCTTAGTTGTTTACTTCTTATTTTCACTCTTTTCCATTACTTTATTTCATCTCTTGACAGTATTGACCGATTATATTGTAAATATAACCACTTTTTTGCTTCATATTATTGTCATTATGTATAACCAAAAGTACTTTTACTTTTTTTGCTTCTCATTCATTGTAATGAAAAGGAAGTCACTAGACAACTGAGTTACTTTTACTAGTGGTAGTTGTTGTTTATAATGAGTTAATGATGATTAGGATGATGATCAGTCGAAGATGAGTTTTTCTTTACAAATTGATTGGTTACAATATATACACACTCATGAATGTATATGTTTGATATTGATTGTTATTGCATTTTGAGTAAGATAAATGAACTCATGATGGTGAAGAGATGGAAAGAAGAAAAGTAAAAAAGAAGTTTCTTATGAAGAAAGATTAGAAAAAGAAGAAGAATAGAGAAGAAAAGATGATAATGATGATGAAGATGAAGAAGAAGAAGAAGAAGAAGAAGAGGTCAGAGGAGGAAGAGGAGGGAGGTAGAGAGGTTGTTTCAAGTTGTCTCTCTTTCTTGAGTTTGCATGAATGAAAAAGTAGACCTCAATAAAAGCATCAGTAATGTTAGAGGTTAGTCAAGTTGAGAAAGAAAATTATTAGTGGGAAAGAAGATAAAGAAAGAAAAACATTTAATGGGGATATGAGTTTAAAGATCAGGAAGAGAGGGAGAGAGGAGGAAGAAGATGGAAAAGATATAAAAGTTGAAATTGAAGAAAATTTTTCCAAATATTTAGGCTATTGGTATGGCCCAGGTAACGATAAAGATGCTGACGATGATTCAACTAAATCAACATAATAAAGCATAACAACATTGCTACCCTCAGGGGTTTTCTAAGTTTCTTTCTGTTTCTTATCCTCTCTCCCGTTAAAACCTCATATAAAACCTTAGACTTTATGGTTTTATGTGTTAAGATCGTTACAAATTCTTTAAGATGAAAGAGATGCAATAGAAAGGAAGAGAAAGAGCGAAAGAGAGAGAGAGAGAGAGAGAGAGAGAGAGAGAGATGAGGGAGCTAAAGGTATGATAAATATTTAGCTTCCAATTGCTGATGATGATTATTCAATGGAATGTGAATACATGTATCATGATATCTGTTTGTTTATCGTTGAATATGTTTACTTACCTTCTCTTTATTTGTAATTAACCTCGTTCTAATTTTCTTCTCTTTCTTTTTCTCTTTCACAGATCTTGATTTACCACCACCTCCTGAAAGCTGGAAAAAAATCATCAGGGACAGTCTTGAAGAGGAGGAACGATTATCAATTAATAGAAAGAGAAAATCATCCGCAATCGATGATGATTTCTTAGCCGATTGTAAGTTAATTTACGAGGATTAATCGGAGATTATAATTATTAACCATTTTCTGGATCAAGGAGAAAGAGCCATTTTTTCTTGATTATTCAAAGATGATTAATCTTTGATCAGATACAAATTGTTTATCATTAGTTTGAAACTGTGTTTACTTTTGTTTCAATTTCAATTGTTTGTTTATGTTGAGTAACTTTATCTTTCTAATGTACTTTACTGGCTGGTTAACAATTAACCGTATCACTAAAAGTGATCAGGTTAATTTATTAATCTATTCAGAGTAATAGAAAGGTTGATGCTTTGTTAATCATTATAATTGGTGACTTTTATACAATAACTGTTAACAGTTATCTGGTTTTAATTGTAAATGATCAATGATCCAATTTGTTGTGTATGTGTTTGTTTACAATCAGTTAGATTTGTTTAGCTGATTTTGTCAAGTCTGTGAAATTTAAACAAAAAGCAAACAGTTTAAATGGATATTGAAATGTAACCTTAATCACTAATTGTTAAATGATATTAATTAACTTGTTTATTGAACCCTTTTTATCTTTTCATTTCTCATTCAGGTACTGAAATTAAAAAATATGATCTTGAAGATCGTGAATCTGGTGATACTGAGGATGATGATGAGGACGAAAGCGGTGAGGAGGAAGATGATGAAGAAAACACTGCAGCTGAAGATATTGCCAAATATCTTGGACCTAATCACCATCAAGATTCTGTGCCTGATCTAGGATATTATCCAGACTTTAATCATCCCGGGATGGGTCTTCCAACTGATGTTAATTCATTAACTAATCCATATACTCAGCGTACCAATGATGATCAAGATTTACTTTATAATAATGATGATTGGAAGAGCAATAATTACATGTCCACTAGTAGTGGAGGTGGACGTCGATTTGACAGTTGGGGTACAAGATATGACAATGAGAATGATGTTGCAGTCACGACAATATTGGGCGGTGGGGAAAACGGAGAGCCAACCGATCATGATACTGACCTTGATTTAAGTTCTATACAAGATTTTCACGGTTTAGATAAATATTCATGTCACACTTCCCAGCAACAAGCAAACGCAACACCTCAACGTTCATCGACATCAACACATCCTGGTCCATCTCAACAACAACCACCACCAGGTTATGGACTTGAAAATGGTAGACCTGATGATCAACGGCAGCACCAATCAAGTACCCATCATGATGAAGATGAAGATGACGATGACGACGAAGGAGTAAATGAAGACGAAGAAGACGAAGACGAAGATGAAGATGAAGATCTAACGGAAAGGACAGATGTAGATGATTCTCTTCAAATACCCTGTCAACTCAGTGGTATTCTAGATTTGCCTTTACCTCATCAATCTCCTCAATCATCACAATCTTATTTCAATTCAATTCATCCATCTTCCGGATCAACAGGAAAATCATCCACACAACAACAACAATCACAATCAACGTCTTCACATTCATCCCCTGATACAACAAATTATGGTCAACAACAATTATCACCACAATCAACCTCAAACCAACAATCTAAATCACCACTTGATCCATCACAACAATCAACATCAACAACATCACCAGCTTATCCTAATCAAATGCATCCAATGATGCACCAACAACAACAACAACAACCTAACCATCCAACCTCCCCAAGATCAGCTAATTTGATGGGAGATTTTAGAAATTCAAATCAAATGATGAGCGATCCAATTTTAGATGAAGCAGTTAGAAGTATTCTCTCATGGTCTTGATACAATTAACTTAATCATATTGTAAATTAAACTCAGACCAATACCAATTAGTCTGTTTTAAAACATGTTTTGAAAGATTGAATCAATTTTCCCCCTCCTCATCCTCCTCCTCTAATTGATCATAAAGATAATTAACACTACAACAATTAATCAATTTTCCATTCTTATGAGATTTTGTCTTTATTTGATCAAGACACATCACTCAACCACCACCACCACCACCCACAATCAACATCCTCCTCCTCCTCCTCCTTTTATACACACTCATCAAAAATTATTTATGAGTTTATTTCCTCAACAACAACAACTCTTTCACCAAGAAAATCATATCTAATTTATTATGTTTGTTTTTGATTATCACTATTATAATTATTGATTAATATTATTATTATATTTAATTTCTGTCAATGTTAACATTAGGTTCCTCTCTTTTTTTCCCAGCTAATCAAACTAAAAATTGATTCAATTTCAATCATTTGAATTTAATTAGCTCGAAACAGTTATTGTTTCATCTCTTGCATGAGTCTTTTTTGTTTTGATGATTGTTACACCTTCATGATCACACACCATCCATATATTAGTTATATTAATTTCCTCGATTAATTGTATATAATTTACACCAAAAAAAACTAAAACACAATTAAGACACAACAACCACACTCAGAAAAAGTAACCATGTTTAACATTATTATTATTTACTTTCGTGATCTAATTTATTATTATAATTATTTTAGTCAAGTTGATTTTGTTAATTTAATGTTATCCCTTTCCCATCATTGACAATATCTTTCAAAACATGTAACAAGTTTAATTGTTTATAATTTGACACTAATTAACCTGAGCTTCGTTATCGGATCAAGACTGTTGTTGATTATTTGATAAAACTATTTGTTGATTATTTTTCAAGTCACCATTGTCTCCGTCGTCTCATCATCATCATCATCATCATCATCATCACCATCGTCCACACATAATTAACATCATCTGATTGTCCTCATTTTCACCACCATCACCATCATCAGATTATTCATCATTTAAAAGCTAAAAGACTAACAATCAACGGAAATTTATTATTATTACTATTGTATAAAAGTTGATCAAACGAAATCAAAAAAATTACAAATCAACTAATTACCAATGGAATTGGAAACAATTAACATGAACAATTAAACGGAGGCATATCCATTGAAATTATCCATTATTACCTATTGTAAATAACCAATCAAATCATGAAACGAAAACGATAACAATTACTAATTAGTTTTTGCTTATTTTGCCATCAACAAGTTAACAAAAAAAAAATAAGATCATCATCATCACCATCATCATCATTTATCATCCTTCCTTAAATTCATCCTGCAATCACAAACAACAACAACAACAATAATAATAATATAAATATATAAATACTACAATCATCAATTTACTACATAAAAAAATGACACAAAAAAAATCTAATTGTTAGTTAGTATAATTAAGAGATGAATGAAAAATAATCTTATGTAAAAATGAAATGCTAAGGACAACTTACCATATGATGAAAGGTGAATATCAACAAGTCACCTTTCACCTTAAATCATTGGATATGAAAAATTATACATAATTATTATTCATATAAATATATAAATATATATTCACACCACAACATCAACACTTAAACACACACACACACACACAACTACACATGGAGATGATATATTATTATAAATATTTCCTACAAAAAGATTATCCTTTTACCATCCATGTTAATCCTCTTAATCCTTTTGTCTCTTCATCTCATGTTACGGACAAATTAAGATTTCATTTTAATTCATTACATTTAATTATCTTCATCCTCTCTATATATAAACTACATGAAATCAACCCAATCACACTCACAACACTCAACACACATAAATACACTTACAGGTACATTTACCTTTTCCCAATCCATTTTCTTCACTCTTTCAACTGTTATAATAGTTTCTCATTAAATTAAATTGTGATACCAATGTTGAACATGAGAATTAAACAAAAAAACAATTAAAATTAAACAAAAACTGTTAATTGTCATTCTATTTTTATTTCTTTTAGTAAAAGTTTGGTAACAATTATGATGATCGATTGATTTGGTTTAATTTTGTTCTGATTCTTGTTAATGTTTTGTCTCCTTAGATTTGATTTCGTCTAAATTTTTAGAAGCTTGTGATCCTTGTTGTTGTTGATTAGTTGATTGTTGTGACGAGTTAATTTCATCTGGATTAGTTTCATCTTCTTCTACTTCTTCTAAATTGTTTCCATCGTCTTGATTATCGGTTGATTTGGATTCAGGAATTGTCATCTCCTTTAGCTCTTGAGATATTGTCACCGGTAACTTGTCACTCCATTTGCTCAGTCTAACCAGATTGTACAAATTTCTGTAAATTAAATAAATTAGATGATCAATTTGCTTTCCAATTATTAACACAATTAGTACTCACTTTGGTTGTCTGTTTTTGTTTACACTAATTGTTTTCATTGTACCATCAGGACAACATAATTTACATGTGGCTCGTTTCTGTTTTTTGATAACTGGACTAATCACCCGAGGCCATGGAGGATTATCTGTGATAATAATTATCAGAATATCAATTTGGAAATAGAAATTGGAGTGGGATTATTTTTCTCGTCAATTTGATTATCGATTATTGATAAAATTACCTCCAAGTGAGATTGGTTTCTTTTGAATTACACAGTAAGAAAATTCCTCACGAGTTCCCCAAAGAATCTGGAAAATATCAAATCAACAGAATGAAAAAGAAGAAGAAAAAAAAAGTTGTCATTTAAATGATTAATTGAAAATGATTAGTTAATTGACAGGTAAGTAGGAAGTATTGGATTAGTTGTATTTGGACAATTTTCTCAAATCGTTTTCTGGTGACCCAATTTTCTTACCTTACGAAAATCTGAGATATCCAAATGTTCATATGAGATTGAAAAATTACAAGGGCTGATTTGACCAGTGAACAGTTTTGGACATGGATAATTATGTGGACACTAAGAGAGAGAGAGAGAGAGAGAGAGAGAGAGAGATTAATTGTTATATAATTGAAGTGTTTGAAACATTATCAAGTAATAAGTTCAACTAACAGGAGCCATGATGCTTGAAGCTGGAAACTCATTTGATTGGATAACTTGGTTAACTGAATCATCAACGTTGAAAGTATCGGTCACTTTGTGTCCAGTCATTTGAAGGACTAAATTCCGTGCTTCCAGAACAGCCATGAAACCTGATTTTTTACCATGTTCAATGATCACCAGAAGATCCTCCGTTTTATGCCAAAGATTTTCAATAGTTTGAACTCGAGATGCAAGTGATGGAAGTTCCAACAAAGAGTAGGCACTTACAACGATATCATATTTAATCTAAAGAAGAGAAAAAAATCACATTATTAATAGAATAATAATGGAAATTAAATCAATCGAAATGATAACACAATCGATTTACTTACATTATGTGAAACTGGTAAAAATTGCCGTGTGAAAACACCCTCGTAAACTAGAGGTGAATTTTCATTACCTTGTTTAAGTAAAAGTCGAGCGATATCATGAGCATGATGGGAAATATCAACACAAAAATATTCCGAAAATGAATTAGGCCAAATTTCATTGGCCGCCCAAATTGTTGTACCAACACCCGAACCGAAATCAAACAAAGTTCTAGGCTTGAATTCTGGGTAATCACATTTTATCTGGTGGAAATCAAGAATTGGGTCAAAGGGTATACATAAGATTTTGATATTTCTTTCACAATTAAACTAATTTACCTCATTGAAAACGTGTTTGATTGCTGCGTAATTAGGAGGTAATCGTGCAGTCATATAAACTACACTATTATATTCATCGTAATCAAATCGCTGCCAATTGTAAATTTCCCTTTTCAACGCTGATTGAATCTTTTCTTGTCGTTTTCTTAAGGCTTCTTCCTTGGCAATTGGATCAAGATCATCTACAATGAACTTCTCTGTTCCCATTGAGTTTTGTTCATCAATTATAATGGAAAAGAGGTGAAAAAAAAGGGAAAAAGAAAGAAAAAGAAATCAGAACATTTAATCAAATGAACAAAATTTCGATTGAAAGATAAAGTTCAAACCTTTCTCTACGAAACGATATTCAATTTCCTTGTATTTCTCATGAATCTCAGCGGCCTCAGCGGGTAATTGTCGATGGTGAAATTGATTGTACATTCGTCGAACATCATCTCTAAAAGTTTTTCTCTTGTATTCTATTGTGACAGGGAAAGAAAAAAAAGAAAAAAAATATAAGAAATAATAATGGAAATAAATTACATCTCTCTCTCTCTCTCTCTCTCTCTCTCTCTCTCTCTCTCTCTCTCTCTCTCTCTCTCTCTCTCTCTCTCTCTCTCACTCTGTAGTTATGTATTCCAAACAGACTCAGTAGATGATTGGGAAAAAAAAGATTTGCAATCCTCATAAATTAGATTATCACCTTAATTAGAAAGCTATTTGTAACAAATGGAATCAGGAAAAGAAGATTAAATTCTTACTTGAGATAACTTTCTGAGCTGCAGACTCCAAGATATAAGGTAAACTGACACAAGGTAATGACCTTCGACCAGGATGTTCCCTGTGACGCAAACCCTGATTCAGTTTTTCATTGACATCTTCATGTAGCTCATATTTGGTAACAAGCTAAACAGAACCAGAAATCCATAGAGAGAGAGAGAGAAAGAGAATCAAATATACATAGAAAGATAATGATAATAGTATCATCATGATTAAGAATAGAAATGAAAAGAGAGACCAATTAACTGAGAATTAAAAAGAGAATGGAAAACAAAAAGAAAACAGAAAACAGAAAATTCCAATTAAAACAGACTTACCTTTGTCAGGGAACGAATTGAATCACTCGAATTACTTACAATTAAATTTGAAGGTAATTTAATTCTAACAATTCTACTAGAAAACATGACAATTAAGAATTTAATTAAACATTTAAATTGCTCAAGAGAAACAATGTAAACAAATTGATGAAACCCAAAAGAATAACAAAAAATAAATTCTCATGCTTGTTTACCAAATCATATGGTAACCACGTGACTTTTACCGCTTTTCTTTTTATTTCCTTGATTAATTGTTGTGGTTTTCATTTCGTAATTAAGTTTATCTAGTGATTACAATTAAGTGATTTCATGTTCTCTCATTGTAATTCTAATTACCGATTAATTAGAATTTCTAATTAACTCAACTGACCCATTTGAGAGGAAACTGTTTGGTTAATTGTTGAATTGAGTTTTTATTTTCCTTTGGTCAACCAAATTTAATTGTCCATCTAATTAATTTGATTTTTTTTGTTTCTTTCAATTATCTGATCAGTTTACCTACTGTTGATTATTCAATCTATGTTACTAATTACCCTTTCATTGATCAATCTTAAAAATTGAGTATCAATGATTTGTTTTCCCTCTTATCATCATATGTATGTAATAATATCATTAATTGATTTCATATCAACAAGTTAGATTCAATCAAAATGTCAATCAATGGTCAGTTATAGACTGTTAATGTCCAGTGAACTTTAATCAAAAAGATTTCAATGCTGCATCACTTTACCAGTCAATCTTAATCAATGTACAAGTCAATTCAATGGACATTTACCTTGATTTAGTTCAATAATTTATCAACTATCCTAACAATTAATTATCATAACAACAATTTTCTTTATGTAAATATATTGATAATTTATTGGGTGTCATTCAACTATAAATTGCTGTTAATCATACACACACACACACACACACACACACTAACATATTATATTGATATGCTGTTGACAATTAACTTTGGTTACATTATCCAATCTTGACCAATTGTTTAACCATTAAAAAAGGTTAGTCAACTATTAATATTTTAATCAAATTAATTATTCCTTGAATCTGTAATCAGTAACCACCCAAAACTATTGACCTTATCAATTGTCCATCATTGTTATCCTTGTTTTCCTTAATTTCCTATTTCAGAATTTGTTTTTTTTTCACCTACCGGATATTAGTAAATCAATTATCCAACAATTACAATTTAATGGACACACACACACACAATTTAATAACCATTACATTCAAAGAACCACAAGAAAATTAATCAATACCAAGTATACATACAAACTATTGACCAATGTTTAGCCAATTCCTTTAGGGTAAGTTAATTATTAATATTTCCAATAATTAATGTGTTGAATTTGGTAAATTTTCAAAGTTCTGATGATGATAATTGAACATAATTAGACTTGATTTCTCAATATTTTTACTTACAAGGTTTAATAATAGGATTAAAGAAATTTCTATTAACCATAATTATAATCATCGATAAGCTTAATTATCAATAAGGATAAACTGGACATCACATGGAAAAAAATTTTCCTTCAGAAAAAAGTTTATACCAGTTTATTGGTTGACCATTGGTCTTAAAATGAATCGTAATGACGATTAACCCTCATAATTGTTGGTAAACAATTAGATGAACAAATTACCATCCATATTAAAACTGTTGTAATGTGTGTGTGTGTGTGTGTGTATGTGGTGTAATGATAGGGAATCGAGCAATTAGTTGATTTCAGCAATCAAAAGTCAACATGAGAAGACGATTAGATGATAACCATAACAACATTAATTAAGTTAATTTAGTGTAATTTAATATTCATATTCTTGTTTTCCTCTTAATCTTCATTCAATTTGTTCAACTGGTCATCATCATCATCATCTAATTGACCAATACTTTCAATTTGGTTAAACTCACGTGGATTAAACTTTAGATATTCAATTGAAATTGATCATTGTAATTTAGACCATTGGATTGAATTGAATTAAGGTGAACAATTAACCAGAAATAAACCCAATCAAATCATGGTATCTGTTTATAATATAATTGATGAGAATCATTTCTCAATCCTATCAAATTTATTTTTATCCTGTGATAATCAAGTTACCCTTTGATACCATCTTAATTGTTGATGAGTATTGGTCATCTACATTACTAAACTAACGATATAAGGAAAAGGAAATGATAAAAAAATTCATTTCCTTCCTCATTTCAAATTCATTTTTGATATTCTATCAATTATTTTGATATATTAATAAGTAAACAAATTCTAACCTTTTATTGTTTAATATTCATCTTGTTAATCAGTTACACGTGAATGAAGCTTATTACATTTGATATTAATTCCATGAAAATCGTAATTTATATTTACGATGTTGAATCATTCAAATTAGAGTCCATGTACCTGCATGATAACAGTTGTAGTGTTTCAGATTATAATCCATTAAAATATTTGGAATAAAATAACTATCGAAAGTAGATAAGAGTCAGAGTGTATGCAAGAATCTTCATGATAAAATATTAAAGCTCGAATTATGATAATATCGAGGATTAAATGTACAAAATTCTATCTATACTAATATTACTTGAAATTTTTAATTCTCTTTTGATAATAGTCAATATTCATATTAATGGATAATCGTGATAAATGAACTCGAAGGAAAAAGTAGTTCGACTTTAGTAAACAGATGATCGTTGAGTATTACTATGAATTTGTCGATAAAATTTACGATTCTTAAAGTCGAAATTAGAAAATTATAGTTATGGTTATGGTTCGAGAGAATCGATTTTCCATCTTTATAAGAATAAGAATTTCTCATTCAGAACTTTTTTATTCTCGAGTTTTGGTCCAGTTTTCCATAAAATTTTGAAAATCTCGAAACTCTTTAGTCGAAACAAAACTTTCCCACTAAAAGGTTAGAATTGAATCTCATTGTTTGATTATCGATTAACTTTTATCCGGATTAACCATTGTAATCAGAATTTTGTCCTTTTCTTCACAATTCTATGTCCATATAATTAGATAGTGTAGCTGATTATATTTCAGATTTTCTTATATTAATATCAATACATATCGTTGAATATCAGATTAGTCTGCTTCCTTAATCAGGTTTCTATTTTAATTAGTTTATGTTAATTTACTGATTTCCTGTGACTAGAGAGACCAATATTCATCATTGATATCATTATCAAATCACTATTTCCTATCTTAAATAGTTGATTTATAAATAGCTTCATCAGTGATTAGTCAACTATTAATAATTAAAGTAATAACATTTACTGTTAATATATAATACAATTGATAACTTTGATTTTATCACAATTTATTAATATTATAATATTAAATCAGTTGAAGGTCAGAAATCATTGATTATTAGACGTCTAATTGTATTGATTAAGTATTAGTAAATTTGAAACAATTCACGTTTTCTTAATCACCCAGATGTCTAATTATATATATAAATAAATTGTTCCAGTAAACTAAATCAAGAGAGTCTGAGAATTGAACTCAATTGTTTTAACCTAATCAACAATTACTTTTGATCAGACAGACCAAGTTAATTAAAGAAAAGAAAAATATATTTCTCTCTTTGAGTTAATTCAGTTCGAGAGGAAAAAAGTAATCATTAAATTGTGATTGTTAATTTTTTCCCCGTCTCTTTATAATCTGGATTGAAAGGTGAATCTTTTCTCTGATTATCTGACCAGTGGTCATCCCGAAAATTGGATTGTTATTAGTGATGGGAAACAATTGCTCTAGTTTTTAGTATGGGAAGACAATCAGCAAATCCCAAGTAATAAAAGTGGTAAAAAATAATGATAAAAAAAAGAGATGATAAAACTTTTATGATTAGTTAACTAATCATCTGAATGAATCTTGAACAATCAACGGGAAGATTAATCATCTCATTTAATTAAAGGTGATCCAGTAAACTGACTATTAAATTAACTCAACAAATTCAAATGAATACTTATCATGTAACTTGTTCAACATTTACATTTACATGAGATTAACAAAGTAAATTATGAATTGTTGATTATCATGATTACGATGATTGAACAATTTACATAGAAATTGTTATATTTTTCTCTCACTGACCATTGGCTATTAATATTATTACTACATCAACAATAACAATCAACTTGAATAATATTATATTACAACAGAAACATTAATAATATCAACTAGATGAAACCATAAGAATCAGAATTGTAATTATATCAGTTTGATAAAAAAAAGTATTCCTATCATATATATTATTGTGATTATTAAATCAACAACATTGAGCTGATCAAATTTACAATTGAATCAAATTTATTGTAAACAGTTGATAATAATATTATTTATTCACAATTAGCATTAATTTAATTTGTATCAGAAACAAAACAACCTTGAAAAGTGATACGATTTAACCTTAAATCATTTTAAATCCTGAAAACCAACATGATTAATGATTAACCATTGAAACTGATTTTTGATTAGCTGATCAAAATGATAATTGTGATAATTTACAAACGATTCATGATTGTTGATTAATGATACACTCATTTTCACTCATGGTGATTGATATTTTATCCCATTGATAACAGTTGAATTTCATCAACATCATCGTCAAGAAAATATCACTCATTATACAACAGAGACTCTCATCTTCATCCCTTATCATCATCATCATCATCATCATCATCATAAGTATTGGAAGCCATGCTCAGTTTCATGATAACGATAACTCCCAGTCTTGAACTCTCAGTTATCATCTGACTATCATTCAGTTCAACAGTTTATAATGATCTGTATGTGTTTTATATCACAGTTTTTAATACTAGAAAATATAAAACTAAAGTAAAAAGGTAAATCAATTAATCATCAAAAACCATTAGAATCATCATCATCTATTTTTAATCAGTATCCATTATCAATTAGGAGTCAATTGTAACTCCATCAAAATAATAATAATCGTCTTCATCCTTATCCTCGTCATCCTCATCATTATCAAATCAGTTGGAGTGTTATAACTTTGTAATAAACATCAAAAGTCATTTAAGAACCATGAGAATTGTTGATCAACAATTAACCGTTAAAAGTATTGTTCTAGATGATTATTAGTGTTACAATTGATCATTTTTACTCAAAATGTTTCTAATTGTTGTGTTAATTGTGTTCTCTATGACAGCATTGTCTTCAGAAAATGTTAACCATCATTCACAATCAATGGAAATAGTTTCAAGTGATGGTGATTTAGTTAATCCAGACAATAATAGTAATGATGATACAGACAATTTAACAGTTTATTCATCAAATGATAAAACTAAATCACCTTATGTACCATATGATCAACGAATTGAAACTTATATGGTTCCTATTATATGTGCCTTTATCTTTTTAATTGGCTCGATAAGCAATGGACTGACCATTACAATTATAATTCGTGAGCGACTTTACCTGACCCCTTCTTACCTTTTCATTTTTAACCTTTCACTTGGTGATTTGATAGTTATCCTTGGTACGGTTCCGTTCGTAGCGACCATATATACCTTTGAATCTTGGCCTTACGGTGAAATTGTTTGCCGTCTAAGTGAATTTATTCGTGATGTATCAGTTTCGGTAACCGTTTTCACTCTTACCGTTATGTCATATGATCGGTATAAGGCCACTTTCGCCATTGAACCTCGACCTATTGTTTCAGGAGGTCGTAACCAGCGAACACCCTTTCACGTTAAACTGTTAAACCTTCGTTATGGTAAAATTGTGGCCGGTATTTGGATTCTATCGTGTTTAATTGGTTTACCAGCGGCAATAAATACCTTTATTCTTGAAGTGATAGTTGACCCGGAGAAGACGATTAAAGTTTGTTATCCTTTTCCCGCTCAACTTGGTCCACTTTATCCGAAAATTGTGATCTGGTCTAAATTTTTCCTCCTCTATCTTATACCATTGATTGTAATCTGTTTTTGTTACACTTTGATTAGCCTTGAATTACGGCGATATTCAAGTTTAGCCAATTCCCGACGAAATGTTGATTCCAATGGTACAACAAGTTCAGCCCTAATGTCCGGCTTTATATTGACCTCAAGTGGGAAGCATCGATTCCGTCGGCGTATTGTGATAATATTCGTGGTCGCTTTTGTCATCTGCTTTTTCCCGAATCACGTTTTCCTTTTGTGGTACTATCATTCATCCAGGGAAAATCATTACACAAAATTCTGGCACATTTGGCGAATCGTCGGATTCATCTTATCCTTTGCTAATTCTTGCCTTAATCCGTTAATCTTATACTTAACCTCCCAGAGATTTAGATCCAAGACTAAAAATTTCCTCTCTCTTTGTCTTAATAAACATAATGATGATAATCATCAACATCACCTTCATGATCCACAAGATCAACATCATCATCATCATCATCACAAGTATCATCAAAATCATGACCTAAATCAATCTTAACATTGTGATTCTCCGGTGAGAACTTATTAATTTCAATCCCAATACAATAAAATATAATTAATTTGATGATAATTAAAAAGAAAACATTTTATTAAAAATGAACATTAAATTTAAAATTAATTTTCTCTCGATATTTTTATTTTGATCCAGTTTATTGATTTAATTCATAAATCAAAACCCGATACTTATTTTCATCAACATTTTTACAACCATTACATGATTATATTAATAATTAAATCATTCTTGTCACTGGAAATCAAATTAATCATATTTAACATGATTAGCATCTTATCATTAACAATTTGTAATCAAAAGTTTACTTTTCCTTATTGATTTCCCTTGGTAGTTAATTAAATTACCATAAACATAATCAACTAAATCCAATTGAATATTAATCAGATATCCTATTGATCATTTGCCTTTTCATCATAACATAATTCAAATTGTAATAAGTATCACTCAACATTCATTGATTTATAAATTGCCAGACTAATTGAATTGTTATTCATTATTAATCTAATCATAATTAACTTTTCGTTATAATTATTCATTTAAAATTGATATGAAACAATTTTAATTGTTGTATAATTTGCTTGATTTGATATCAGTTAACTTTCAATGTTAATTCATTGACTTTTAATTTGATTCATTGAAATAATTTGTAGCAATTTAATCAACAATCAACAATCAATAAATTTTGGAATAAATTAAAAATTAGTCTAAACTTTTTCGTATAATAATCAGTTAATTGTTGTTAACTGAATAACGATCAAGGATAAAATTGATTGACTAGATTTGATTGATTAGTCTGGTTAATTGTTTGGAAGAAAAAAAAAATTAAAGAACTAGAACCGAATTAGTTAAATTGATCAACCAACTATTAAAGTTAATAAATCACAACGATAATCACAGGCAATTATCAGATCTTACTAATTGTTTAAAGTTATTAAATTGTTAAATTGATTGTGATCAGATGATTAGTGAAATACAACAATTAGATTTTACTGAATGAACCGGAAAATAATAGTAATAAATTATCAATTCAATTCATTGATTCTTGTCTCTCCGATAATCTTGATCATCAAATTGATCACAATTTATTATCATCATTTTTTTTCATGTCATCAAATTGCTATGACAATTTAAATTGTCAATTCGGGCCGATGAACTTGATAGTTGATTAGATGCTTGAACTTTGATAATGAACTTGAATAGGACGAGGATGAATGTCCAATCAACTGGTCACTATACTGACCAGTTGAATAGTTTGATTTAGACGAAAACAAGAAATTTTTTTCTCCAAGTTTCTAATTACTATCAATAGTAATCAGGTAATTCTGAGCCGTAGTTGATCAATTGATTGTCAATTAATGATTAATCTTGTTTAATATATTAGATTACCTAATTTCAAATGATAGTATAAAGTTTCATTCAGATTGATTAGTTAATTGTTAATCAAAAATGAGATGCACGGTAACATATCAAGTTAATTGTTGAGTGATTGTCTTTTCGGTTAGTCAATTCACTAACATTGGTTAGTTTGATTATCATTGACTTTCAATTGTAATTCACTTTTTGTTGTGTGTGTGTGTTGAAATCAACAATTTCTTAATCATCATGAGACTTTAATTGTTGAGTTAATAATCAAGTTAATTAAACGGCTATTCAGTTGATAATACTTGAAAAAGTTGATGAAAAGTTTTGAATGAAATGTTTTCCTCGTCATCATTGTTATCATGATGATCCTTTCAGTTGTTATTGTTGTATTAATTTTCATGATTAACTAAATTGTTGCGTAAATGTCAAGTTATTAAATTAAATTGTTAAGATGAAAGAGTGAAAATATCTTTACACTTTATTATTAACAATTTGTTAACAATCAACTAAATACATCAAGTGAAAGTTTTTTAATAAACAAGTAAACTCATTGTTGGTTAAAGTTAATCTTAATCATTGAGACAAATTTCATCGGAACAATTAACAAAATTTGATTATAATTAAACTTGAAATTTAAACGTCACAGGTTGATAATTAATTAGCTTAACTGAATGCTTAATTGTCTTGATATTTGATTGTTATCGTTTGTTTATGTTGTATAATTTGATTAACATTAAATTGTTACGATAGTTTCCAATTTCATTAGTTAGATTATCACAATTAATTGATTGTTTACCAACTTGTTTGATTTTCAATGATAATAATACATGAATTTAATGAGCAATTCAGTTGATTGTTAACCAATTATTTGTATAACAATCAAGATTAATCATGATTAAGTTAATATTTCAGGCAATTAGAGTTAATTTGATCCAATTCAATAGTATTAGACATAAACAATTACTAAATTGATCAATCTAATTAATGATTATCATTATGGTAATTAGGAAAGGTTAATCAATTAAACCCAAAGAGCTAATTGTTTTAATCTAAATGCTCAAAAGTAAATTAAATTCACCTGTTAAATTGATTGTTTTTTTGTATCAATTCAACAATTAGCTTTCATCTTGTGATCTAAATTAGTTAGAAGGTAACAATTAACTTAATCATGATTATTACTATTTGCCTAATTAGCATATTGATTAATTCAATCAATTTGACCAACTATTGAAAAAATTGGTTAATTATTTACAATTGAAACCTTACTAATTATTTTCCTCAACTGGATTAATTAAAAACGAGTACAGTTAATAAAAGTCAACAATCAACTAAAATTGTTCATCGAATCAATTAATTGTAATTAGTAAGGTTTAATTAGAGTTAATTTTGTTTCTTTATTTACTTTTTCATTGGTATTGATCAAATTTCTCAATAATTGAATTTTAAATTGTTATTTGACCTCAATGGTTGATGATGATTAACCAGCAATTTATAAATCACATCAAACTGATAACCCTTGTGATCAAATTTCAATTGAATTAAATCAAAGAGTATATCAAACAATATATACAATTTATTAATTGTTACTCTGATTATTGATCGAAATGATTTTCATCAATTATCTTTGTTAATTGTTTCAGTTTAATCACAATTCAATTTTACAATGAAAAAAATGTGATCACTAATTAATGATCATGTTAATCCTTGTAATCAATAATTAGTAGGTAGTAATTAAGTGATTGATTAATGATTAATCAAATGTATCAACTCAATTACATTGAGTATTAGCTTTAAGATATATAAATAGTTAATTGATAACAATTAATCAATCATCAATGTGAAACTAAATTGATATTCAATTTACAAAAACATCCTGATTATTATAACAATTAACAAACTGATAACAATTAATTTAACATCTAATTAGTGTTCTGAGTGCAACAATCAAGTCAACTGATTATAGAGTAATAATTGTTGATTAAACCTAAATTTAGTATGAAAATGTTGAAAGTTACAATTAAGGTTTCAATTGAAAATTAATGAGCAAAAAAAAGTTGATTAAATTGATTGAATCTCTTTCCTGATTTATTGATTAAAGGTTAACTCTCAGGTTAATTATTGTTAATTTTGATTATAAGGGAAATAAATTGAATACCACTGTAAGCAAACAATTTAATTGTGTAATCAAATGTTATTAAATTTGATTACGAAAGGAATTAAAAATAAACTGATTGGTTACAATTAATGAAAGTGGTCACGCAATTGACCATTGATTTACAATTACATGAGTAAAAATTTAATTTTTTATATAATCGATCTGACAATTAACTGATCCCAGAGGAAAAGGTAATTAAACTGACAATTTAAATGTAACAATTTAGATGTAGACTTGGAAATCAATCAAGTTAATGATTCAATTAAACGTTGGTGATTACTTGCAATCCTAATTATTATCATTAAGTTAATTTAAATGGTTCAATTTTTAAGTGTTTACAATTAGCTAAGTGCTCATCTAATAGTAAGTAATTAACTTTGACAATGAAACTTTACCTTTGTAACCCAAATAATTAGTAAATTGTTTTTGCCAAGAACAAAGATTTTATTTTAATTTGATTTGATTTGATTGACGAAACTTTGAAATACAATGATTAACTGATTCACAATCAATGGTCATAATATTTTTTCATTGATTGTTATGAATTTTTAAAGTCCAAAATTAATTGTGAAGTTAAATTATAAATATTGAATTGAAATCAGTGAGATCGAAAGATTAACAAAAAAAAAACATTTACGAAACATAGTTAATTGTTTAAGGAAACAATTAATGGTTAATTTTTGATTTAGATAAACAAGAAATGATCGAGCATTTAAATCACAATAAGAGTGAAAATATTAAACATCCGTTATTGTTAAATATGGAAGGTGGGAAAATATTAGCTACAATTTTATTAATCACAACAGAATTACAATTGTGATTAATTAAATTGTAGCTATAGATAGAGGAGAAAATAATATCATAAGATGAACAGTTAACAGGGTAAAACATTTCCTTAATTGGTTCATAAATTGTTGAATATTTCAAGATGAAAATAGTTTGAACAAATGACAGAATCACAATATATCGTTAGATATTAACTTGATATAAGGTGACAAATTGATTATCAACGAGACTGATGAAACAATTTAATTTTCCATCCGATAATCGTCCAATGATTAACGATAAATTAACGATTTCTTGAAGTGGATAATGATATTGAACTTATTTTACTTTCGCCTGTTGTGGGTTTCCTGGCAAAAGCGGATTCGGTAACCAGGTAGCCGATCAGAATTGCGTAAAGGATGATAAACACGCCGATGAAATTAGCATAAAAAGCAGCGGGAGGTAATTGTGAATAAGTGGAAGTGCCATTTCTAGTTAGAGGAGGAGAGAGAGAGAGATAAAAAGGTAAATATTGATAAACTAAAATATTGGAAAGAAAACAACAATAACAAAATAATCAATTAATAATCGATTCCCGTGTTTACTTTTAGTTCAACTCAAGTAAAGACCCAAAGATAATTGAACAATTGGATTTTGTATTAATTTTGAGATGATAAAAGAGAAAATATCAAATAAAAAATCACTATTCTACTTGAGCCTCATGTTTTAAAACGTAAACCATGTTGGAAATCAATGGTAACGAGAGTTATCGTTATCACGATTATCGTTGATTGTTGTTGTTTTCTGTTTGGTGAAAAACAATGAAACACTTACACTGTCAGAGAGAACATTATTTTCTCAGTTAATCCAGTTAAACAAGTGACTGATGGAGAGAGAGAGAGAGAAGGAGAAAAGGTTAGAAATTGATGGAAACGATGAGAAGAATCAATTTTCATCACTTGAGGTGAAGTATATCAATGAGGAAGTTGAGAATTTATTCTAAACTTAGTTCAACTTTTATATTCTTCACAACAATAGATGGATAAAAGATTCCAAGGGTAAGAAAAGTTGATTCTAAAATTGAACAACTTCGTTGAAGAAAAGGATACGAAACATGATGCACTCGAATCATGATCGTATTAAGACTCACCCACTGAGATAGCGAATATGATTAATCCACCGCGTACATGGAAGGGAAGAGCAATCGCTCGATATGTAGGTTGAATTCCAGGGTAAAGGAAAGCGTACAAACTACCAATCCATTGGAAGAAATAAATTGTCGCGGTGAAAATACCAATCCAACTGTGGAGAGAGTAAAAGTTGACAATATGGGCCCGTTGGTGGAAATCAATTACAGCGTAAAGTCCAGTGGCCGTGAAAACCAGGCAAGCGGCATGAAGAATTGAGTGAATTAATTTAAGCTTGGGCTTATCCAAGGAAGGGAAAAGCCGATAAGAGATAATTGAATTACCATAAAGGTAAACCATTCCAATGATTAAGAATAGCGGGTGATAATTAAATTCTGTACTTGGAATAGCCCAACCATAACCACCGAGATATTTATTTGTCCATAAGATCGTTAGAACAATTACCAAAATTCCAATCAGGTGAGAAAATAATAGAATAAGTTTAAATGCTCCGGCCGTTATCGGGTATCCATGAGATTCAATCGATGAAGAATACCCTGTATTCACTGTATTCTCGTGTGATTGTGGCATTAGTGATTCAAGTTCCTCGGGCGTATTAGCTGAATAGAAAATGATGAGGAAAAAAAGATGAAAATTAAATTAACACAGAGAAAAAAAAACTAGAAACAATTAAGTTGATTAGTAGAAAGTTGATTTGTAAGTGTTTCCACCCGAAGTTAAATTGTTAGTGATTAGTTTAGGTTCGGTTAATTGTGATTAGCTGAGAGGGAGAGAAAAAGGTAAATATATCAAGCGGAAAATTCAACAGGTATTCTCAACAATTAGTTAACTAAATTGTATTCATATCATTCATCTTATCATTTACTCTTGAAATAATCATCGTACTTTAATCAATAAGGATCGATAATGAGATTTGATTCTTTCAATCAGATTGAGTTTGTTACAAATTGTTGATTGTATTAAAGTTGTAATATCAACAGGTTATAGCAATCAAATTGTTTACATTGATTTTGAAGATAATTGTAAACTAAATTGCTTTTAATTGAGTGTCTAGCAATCGGGAAACTCCTTAACCAATCGTCCATCGATCTCTCATTTGAATCTTTTGAGATTTTACTTATTGATTGATTGATAATCTATCCAATGTCCACGTGAATGGTCAACACAATTAAAAGTTATCATGTTACCTTAATTGTGATAATATTGTTATCAAGAAGACAAAATCTGATTGGGATTATGTTGATATGTTTACAATGCAAATAAAAAAAATGTAATTATTGATTCACAATCAGGATTAACTTATCGTTTAAGAGACAAGTCAATAAGTTACAACAGGAATCTGATCAATCTTAATTGTTTGACAAGCTTCATTTGTTTTCTTACTGATGATGATGTTGATATAATGACGATGATAACTGATGAATATTGAGTTACTTTTCTTCAAGTCTCAGGATAATTGTGACTAAATCAACGAGAAAATCATAACGGTATCTTGTTGGTCTTGTTCCAAGTCTCGTTCCGATTAAATTATAGTTCAGGTTCTCAACAGTTATCATCATTTTCTCATCTCTCTCTCTCTCTTTCTCTCTCTCTCTCATGGTCATTGAAGATAAAAACGATTCACAAAATAGCAGAGAGACAGAAAATCAACAAGTAGGAATAAATTACACCCAAAAAAAACCAAAGAAGAAAAAAAAACTCATGCAAAAAACAAAGAAAAAGAAAAAAAAATCAACAGAAAAACGTACCAACTCTCTTGGACCGTTGGGTGATTGTAGCTAATCAAAAATCATAATGGAAAATAAAGATTAATATCAATTGAATTTTGGCATGAAAAGATAATCCAAAATATAATCAAAAGAGGAAAATAATAATATGATAACACATAACCTGATCAAGAATAATTATAATAGAAAACAGCAAATAGTCTTGGACGTTAATTGGGACAATAGGTTAACTTGTTGACCATTGTGATGATAATAATAAAAATAATTAGTTCTTACTCATGTTGATTAGAGTCTTTAGGAGAAAATGTTGTCAATAATAATCCAGAGAAATCAATATAACCAACAGAAAATATATATAATTAAAGGATAACAATTAAATCTGGATCAATGATGAGAAATTTAGTAAATATTGAATCCTTTCAATAAGATGATGATTAAAACAATATGGTAAATATTGAAGTCCAATTTGTAGGCCTAAAGATTGTTTGCCAATCAATTGATTTAATTTGATGGGTGTAATTTAAGATGAATTGAAGATTTAGAATTGGTCAATATGATGTCGCAATTTATGAATTGGAATATAATCTAAAAAGAAAAAGAAAATTAAAAAGAAAATTATTTGGAAAAATTGTAACAAATATAAGCGAATGTAGGAAGAGACAATTTTACCTATTCAATTACCATTAGTAAAGACTGAATATTGTAAGAAATGGATATGGATACGGGGAATAATGGTAAGAATCAACAATATGGAAGATGATCAATTTAATTGTCTGATAGAAATGTTAAATTGTTCAAATTTCATGGAAATTGGAATTGTGAAAGAAAAAGATTATCTTACTTACCGGTTAGATAATAGAATTCAACAGCTGATTAGGAAGGAATAAGAATATGTGAATGGATGAATAGAATAGAAAATAATCAACATTGATACGAATTAGTTAATTTACCATATGAACAGAGATTAATCCGAGTTGATTTAGAAAATGATAGAGATTGAGAGAGAGACAGAATGATGAAAATAATCAATAAATTTGCTGCAAGAAAATAAGATGAAGATGTGATGGTGATGATGAGTTTTTTTTGGTTCTTTATTCACAATCCAGGGTAATAAAGGATAATGTTTATGAAAGAAAATCAATTGAAAGAGTTTAAAGTGAACACATTCAACAAGTTAATTGGTTGGTAATAAGAATAAATCACAATATTTATAAGATTAATAATTAGAATTAATTATCAAGACAGAAAGAAAAATTGACTTTGATTCTATGCGAACGAAACATAAACTGATCATTTGTTTTTCTTTTCTCTTTTATTTTGTTCTTTTCTCTTGAAAATTTTATTCTTTTTTCTCTTTGTTTACATTTGTTTTCTTCTTCTTTTTATCAGAATAATTTGATTATTCATTTTAAAGAATTACAATTTTAATCATTGTGATTTCATCTTTTTAATTGCTGATCTCTAATGTGATTAAAAGAAATTAATTCTAATCAATTCCAGTGTTTTCCTTTTTCTCTACGTTACCTTTTCTTTGGTTAACCAGTTTTTCTGGTTCTTCGGGTTTTGGGTTAGCATAAAATGTTTACTTTGTTTCTAATTTTTTTCTTCTTCTCTAATTGTGATTAACTGTAATTAACTGTCATTTCTTTATATACTTGTAGTTTATCATCATGATCATCAAAATGGATTCCCGATTAACTGATTAACTGATTAATCTTTCTGCTTTGGAATACATTTAACTTGGATTTAGCTGTTGTTCATTACCATCTCTATGGTAATGGTAGTGTGAAAAGTGAATTAATAAGATTATTGAACTTTAATCAGTTAATCAATTTTATTATTATTCATCTCTAATCAAGTGAAATTATTAATTGAGAAATTAATTCTCTTTTCAATGAAACTCTATAAGCTGAAACGTGTCAACAAATACATTACATGTTTATAGAGAGGAAAAAGGCTTTAGTCAGTTTTAGGCCTAAAATTGATCAGTACAATGAACTGATCAACAATTTGCTGAGAATACAAATTGTTTAGGATTATATATATTGTTGAGATTTAATTTGAGCAATTTAAGATATTAATTATAATGTCAATATCTTGCAAACAAGTATAGAGAGAAAGAGAGAGAGAGAGAGAGAAACAAAAGTTAATTTCATCTCCATTTGGATAATAACAAAAAATAATAATAATTTTCTCTCTTCTCTTTCCTGGTTTTTAGATTTGGATTATATTTACAATAGATTATATTTCAAATCACTTTTTTTTTGATTGTTTGTTAATCGATGTTGGTCAAATTGGCAACTTCCATCAATGATTGACCTCCATTATTGTCTCGTTAATGTCGAGTATGATGGCCTATCCTTTTCCTTAAGTCGATCACTTTGTTTATTTGAATCTTGGAATTGAAATAATTTATATCACTGTTATTTCCCGGTAATCAGCTGTTGTAATTTCTTTGTATTATATTATATAAGTAGATCTTTTTTTTTGATAATAAGCTCAATTTATATATATAATATATATAAATTTATATCTTTTGTTATGTGAAGATGAAAATGGGACAAGTCATGAGAATCCATGTTGATCTGGTAAAAGTTGACCTCAAACAATTTGATTCTTCATTTTAAATTTGTTTAGGTCATCCGATTGAATAGATTTTCATGAAGATGAAGATGATGAAAATGAAGATTATTTTGATTGTTTAGTTTTCCATTGAATCGGTTCCTCTCATAACCCAAGCATGAAGAATGGCTAAGATGAACATTCCTGGTCTCATGACCATTCCGATTATTTTATAGATGAAAACATTGAAATCACCGGAAGTATAGATACCAATAAATTCAAATCCCCATTCCATGATAATCAGAACAATTGAGATGCACAAGAAGAGACGATTATTACGAAAGGTGGAAAAAACTGCCAACGAGATGACCAATGTTGTTAATATGGAGCAAAATATGAATAGATTACGAGTTGATTTGAAAAATTCTCTCTTCCAAATTGGATCTTCATCATATTTCTGAATTTCCATCTCATATTCATTAATTGAATACCAGGTCCAAGTCCATTCATAGGCAAGAGTTAACACAAGGTAGAAAATGAGTAAATATTTAAGCTTTTCAACCTTTTTGGGATCAATCGCTGGTGGATGAAGTATTTTACTGATCATCATGTAATCAAAATTCCAGAGGCAATGATTGAGTAATCAAGAGATGAAAAGAACACTAAAGTAAGATAATAAAAGAATAAAATATTGTAATTACAATACGAATTAGAATTTAAGAGAGAAAATTGAAATATAAACAAAGAAAAATTCGCTTACATTTACAAGGTTGTTGTTCACAGAAAGAAAATGGTGGAAAATCCTATCTCTCTTTTTCCTTTTGTTTTCCGTGTTATTTTTTTTTTTTTTGATCAATCAAATTAACTTGGTAATTAAACACTGATTAACCTTTTTGAGAACCATAGGAGTTGATGACCATGATTGAGAAGATGAACAAGATTAAATAAGATGATGGAAGAAGAAGAAGAGAAAAAGATTCACCATTGAAATGTTGTTCTTTTCTGTGTTGTCACTTAAACCAGATTCTCATTCTGATTCTCATTTCTCTCTTTCTCTTGTCTCTTTCTTTCTCCTCCAGAACTGAAACTGGCTGAATGTGTGGTGGAAATGATGATGGTGATGATGATGAAGGTAGAAAAGCAAGATTGAGAACCAGTTTAATTAAGAAATCAGCAAACTGACCTTTACTTAATGTTAGTTACCCTGAGAGAGAGAGAGAGAGTATTGAAAACCATTTGAAGAAACTTCTTCCCATGAAATTAAAGAAATCCTTATATTATTAGCTAAAGATGATGATGATGATTATGATGATGACGAACACCCGATAGCATAAATTGTACTAATTCACTTGATTATGATTGTAAACGTGCCAAGGTGATCAAATGGTTAAGAGATTAACAATCAAAATAAGAGAGTAAATTTAACCAACTCTTATTAACAATCAAACAACAAACAAAATGGTAACACAATCAGTAACCCTAATCAAAGGTCAGGTCAATCAGGTTTCCATCCGGAAGCTTTTACATCCTTCTAATTGCCAAGATTAAAATCAATTAAATCAAATAGTAATTACAACTAACTAAAAATAACAACAATTGTTTACCTTTTTTTTGAGATTGAGAAAAATATCTTTTTCCTATCAGCTGGATTTTAGATCCAAGTCTTTGTATCGATATCGAAAAGTTAATCAACAATTAACTTTGTTTTCTAATGGAAACAGTTTGTTTAATTGTCTTTACAATTATTCTAAATACTGATTAACTTAATACTTTCAAGTTTAATTTGGAAAACAATTAGTTGATTGTTACTGTTTTCAATTGATTTTATCCATAAAAGTTAAACAATCGGATTACAAGAAAAGTGAACGTAAAACTTATTGGGTAACAATTAGAAGTTACAATTAACTGTGTGTTTGTATTTTACTATTACAGTAATTAATATATATTAATTACGACAATTAAGAAATTGCGTAAATTGTTGGAGAGACAGAAACTTGTACAGATTCTATTAGTTAATCAAGGTTATCAATGATTATCATGTTTACTTTTAAACACATTGGACCTTCAAAGTTACCTGATCATGATTAACCGGTTGGATCGTTAATTGTGATGGATTAAATTGTGATGATAAGTGTAATTGAAAGGCAAGTTTACAATTAACAACAGTTTTCATTTCTAATTGAAAAGAAAATTAAATTAGGGTAACAAGTACAATTGGAAATAAATTGTTACCATTACTTTAGATTTAGAAGAAAAAAAAAATTTTTTTCCAAATTTAAAGTTAATTGTTATTCATTCTGATTTAGGATTTGAGTTGTTTGTTTGTTTGTTAATTTAATTGAGCAAAATATTCAGTCAATTGATTTATACAAATTTGATTTGTATTGATGTGTATTGGTAACAGAAAATTGATTATTATTACCATTAAATTGGCTCGATTTTGTGTACGATGTTAATCTAATCATGGTTTCTACCATTTGTCATCTGAATTTACGTTCACAATTAACAGTAGATTGAGGGAAAAGGGTAACAATTAGTACACAATTAGAGAGATATATCAGAGGTAACATGATTACAGAGTTTTTTTGTTGGTGTGTTTAAATAGTGAGACTGATTGATTGTTGTCTTTCAACACTTTCCATTATAATAATCAAGTGAAAGACTAATCAACCTTGACATGATCAGAAATACAATTTAAATTTGTGTGTGTGTTTACAATTAGTGTTACTTTTTTCAGGTTGAATTAAAAAAGTAAAAGAAAAAGGTAAAAAAAGAAACGTAAACGAAGGAGTTGATAATGAAATTAAAGGGAGAGAGAGAGAGAGAGAGAGATAAAGTTTAAGCAAAGGAAAAGTAAAGGAGGGAGATGAGGAAAAAGAATTGAAAATAATATAACATGATTAAGAAAATCGAATTGCAATCACCGATTGGAATTGTGAATAGAATCAGTAGCAGCTTAGAGTTTGCTTTTCCTTTCTCTGGATAATCCATGAGATAAAATGAACAAGAAGACAAGGTTGACAAAAATTTTACAAAAAAAGAAAATAAAAAAGAGATGATTAACTCGTAAGCGAGAAAATTAACAATTAATTATCATAATTCCAACTCTTTCTTTTTCCTCTTTTTTTTCCTCATTTAATCATCTAGGAAGGAGGTTTAAGGAATGATTCTTGTTTGTTAACAGTTAACATTGCTGCTTCATTTGGTTGATTGTTTCTCATTGATTGTTGGACATTTGATTCCTCGTGTAAATCTAGATTTGGATTATCGTGTCCAGTTGATTGTTGCATTGGTTGATTGTTATTATCCATTGTCGGGTCTGAACCAATTTCTGAGCCAGAAAGTGAATTCCTTCTTGATTCAGCCATAGTTTGTCGGTAAATTGGTAAACTGGCTAATCTTTTTTCCGCTGATCGGATCATTAAAGTAAATCCTAAGGCAAGAACCATAAGTATTGGTTCCAGAGAGATAGAAACAAATTTAAGCTTCCTGACATCCTCATCGTTTGATTTAAATGCTCCGGTTACCTCGAACACAAAGCCAATTGCAAATAGACAAAGGAAACCAAAAATGGTGGAAATGTTTTCCTTAAGGATACCCCATAGTCCAATAAGAGTAGCAGCACCAATGTAAAGACCAGTGAAGAGAAAGAAATGATTATGTGTTTTGTATTTCTGATTTTCTCGGGTAACATCATTATCCTCATCGATTTTAGATTTAAAGAAAGCCATTGAATGGACAGTCCAAGCGACAAGGCTTACGAAATAAGCCAAAAATAGGAAACAAAGGATAATCTTTACAATGGCATAACCACGAGTAGCATTGGCAGCTCGAGGAAGTAAAATGAAACGATCACTTTTCTTCATAATGAGTAGATAGAAATGTCAATAGAAAAAAAATCACAGAGAGAAAAATACGAAAAAAAAAGTCCCACAGTTGAAACAAGAGAAAACTGTGAGCAAATGAAATGGGTGAAAGTCCAACTTTCGTAGTTTAAAATTTCGACTAATTAATCACCGATATTGTTGGATATATTATCTCATGCGAGGAAACTGAGACACAAAACACTTTGTAAACAATAAGAGTGAGAGAGAAACAAAAATTAAAAGAAAATAGGTAAACTTTTGTAATCCGTTGGTGATTAGTCAAGTTGATTTTCGGGGCAAACACTGGGAGAGAAGATTAAAGTTGTCATCAAAGAATAAAAAAAAACAGTGGATAAGGAAAAAAGGGTTTTTTTTCGGTATCGGTTTTTGGTAATGATTCTAATGATGATCAAAGAGTGTGAGAAGGGAAATCGATAGAGAGAGAGAGAGAGAGAAAAAAGATTGAGAGATAAAGAAACAAGATGAGGAATGGAAAAAAAAGATGGAGGGAGGAAAATAATTGCAAATTGAACGAGAGAGTGGACACACAAACTGAAGAGAGAAGAGGGGGAAAAACGATAGAAAAACTAATGATGAAGGAGAAAATTAATTATAATTGTGAGGTTGATGTCGATGGATGAAAAGAAAGAGGAAAATTTCAGTTGGGCTTCAAGCGATGTAACAACATGTTGATTCGTTAGGAAATCAAGCTACAATTTTCCTCCTTAATTTCTCTCTCTCTTTCTCTCTCTCTCACCTTATCTTCTTCTCTGTTACCTGTACACATAATATATATATAAACATTCACATGATGAAGGTTAACCAGTTTCAAGAATTTAACTTTACATTTAATATCAACAAGTTGAAGATAAAAATATTTACTTTTCGTTGAAAAGAATAGAATTAAATTGAAATTCTTTTCGCGCCTCCGGTAGATGGAGCCACTTGAATTCTTTAGAAAAAAAAATTCGGCTTATCAATCGTGTAGCTAAAAGATTTCAGCTGATTTCGGATTCTTTTTTTATTATTTAATTTTGATTCTATTTTGATTTCTATTATATAAAACTGAAAATTGTGTTTTTCAATTAATCGTTTAGTTTATTGTTTGTTTGTCTGTTTTTTTTGTGCTGTTTTATCTGATGGTTAGGGAATTAAAAATGGTGATTAAAAACGGTTACTTATTGTCAACCATTTTCTTTAGTTTATTTATTTACTGTGAAGCTTTAAATTTGCCTGTGCCTCGATCTGACCCTTTTCTCACATCAATAACCACTAATCAGGAAGATTTGGACCCGGTGTTTGGTGAATCTGAAAGGTTAATCTTAACACTTGATACTGGTATTTGTTTACTTGGTGAAAATGATTATCAATTTGAAGATGTATGGCATTGTAACCTTAATTCAGTAACTTCCGAACCACCGGTGTCACAAGTAACTCATTCCCATTCCTATGGTTCACCTTCATCGCTCCCCTCAACCTCATCAACAATATCCTCATCCTCATCATCAACCTCAACCTCATCATCATCATCATCATCATCATCGTCACCTAATGGAGTTAAAACTGATTTAGATACTCCAAACTTAACCACCAACTTGCGATCATCATTATCAACCACAATACCAACAACAAGTACTACCCTCACTATTGCTGGTGGCAATCAAAGTTTAACCGGACCAGTAACTGGAAACCCTAACGATAGCATCCTTAGTAATCATGTTTATCTAAATTGTAACAATTCAATCAATTCTGGTAATCTAACTCACCTCATTGATGATGCTAATATTGCTAGTTGTGGATCTGCCTCTGTCTCCTCGGCAATTGATACTGCATCTTCAATCATTGAGAATGATTTCTCACCTTATTGTCATGATCATGAAACAATTGACTTCTATTCAACGGGTAACATTTCAATTGGAAATTTAACTGAACAAGAAGAGGCTTCAGCATTTTTTGATCTTCCTGCATCTTCAGGTAGGATATTAAGCGAGTGAATCAAACCAAACCATGTAAATGATAATCGACAAAGAAAAACTAAAAAGGAGAAAAACAATTCAACAAATCTATCCCCTTGTTAGAGTAACATCTCAATCTACCACATATCGACACCCGCACCAATCATGATTTATATTAACTTTAAAGCTTATTTAATTGTCACTGATATAATTTATCTCTCATGTCCATCAAGATAATGATTATCACCATCACCTCATACTGAGGTGACCAACATATAGAAATAGATAGCTTTTTATTTACACGCGCTTGACTCTATTGACCTTTGGCTATCTTTTCCTAGGTTCACAGTTTAACCTAAAGGGAGGTCAAAGTGAGACCCTGACTACAAGTTAACAATCCCTTATAACCCAAAATTAAACCCATGATACGAATGATGATGATGTAGGATGATAACATGATTACATCATCCTACATTATCTTCCTACTCCATAAGATCCTCTGTAAAAATATAATCATAATTATGGTTTTTTCTTTTTGCAATCTCACCGACGTTTCATCAATAGTTCATCACCATTGCATTTATTTAAACATTTTATCGTCAAATTGTCTATAATATCGTTCTCTTTTTCTCTCTCTCTCTCTCTTCATCTCTTTTTTCCGTAGGTTTGAATGATTCAAATTGGGCTGCAGAAAATGTTCACCACAATCACACTTATACAACACCGATTTCATCACCATCATCCCAAATCGACCAACATTTACAAGCATCAAACTATCTTTACGACCATGACCCTTCACCTCAATACCAACATGTCAGCTTAAGGCAACAATTTGCCATGAATGGTGGCAGATCATCATCTCGAGGTTCCAAGGGAGATGTAAGCCGATCAAGCGGTTTCAGTGATGACACATCAGACGATGATCACTCGGTAACCCGAGATGAGAAACGAGCGAAAGCTTTAAACATCCCAATCCCTGCTGAAGAGATAATCAATCTACCGATAGATGAATTCAATGAGCATCTAGCTAAATATGATCTGAATGAAACACAAATAGCACTTATTCGAGATATTCGTAGGCGAGGTAAAAATAAAGTCGCAGCTCAAAATTGTCGTAGACGTAAAATGGATCAAATAATAGATTTACAAAGTGAAGTGGGTCGATTATATTCACAGAAAAAAACTTACGAAGCTCAACAAGAACACCTGTTAGCCTTGAGGCATTTAGCTCAAGAAAAATATACAAAACTTTATAACTTTATTCTTTCCTCCTCTGGAAGTTCATCTACATTATCTAATATTCAAACAATGTAAACACACCTTATGTAACACCTTTTGTCATCTACTTTCAATCAATGTTAAATAAATATTTAAATAAATTCAATATTAACTATAAGAAATTGATCATCACAACTAATCATCATCATTAACATTATCGTCACCGAGAAAAACATTTAATCACAATAATCCTAATTCATTTTCTATTATCATGATTGTCGTCAACAAACAGAATCCAAAAATTTTCCCATTATCATGATCCTCATCATCTTCATCATTATTTACTCTCTCTCTCTCTCTCTCTCTCTCTCTCTCTCTCTCTTCTTTCTTTCTTTCTTTCTTTCTTTCTTTCTTCTTTCTTGTCAAATCATAAACTAGTAACTTAATTATAATTATCATAATGTACTCAAAATGACAATGATAAACTCAATGGTTAAAAATTACTTTGTACTTAATCATTATCTTGATTGTTTATCATATTTCCCTATTGCAATTGTCAAATGACAATTAAATCTTAGAATGAAAATATTGCCAATAATTATAATAATAGAAAACAATTAACAATCTAATCCTTGGTAAAGAGAGTAACATCTAAATCTACCACACATCGACACCCGCACCAATCATGATTTATATTGATTTGTAAAGCATTTATTTAATTGTCACTCATTACGAATATAAATAGACTTGAATTATTATTATTATCATGATAATTTATATCCAATGTCCATCATGATAATTATCATTATCACCATCACCTTATTCTGAGGTCACTTAAAAATCCAATAACAAAGGTAAACTAAACACACGCGCTTGACCTTTCAATGTCCATCCCTGGCTCAATCCCTATGGAAGGTCAAAGTGAGACACTGACCACAAGTTGACAGCTCACTTATAACCCAAAAATCCCTCATGATGATGATAAGATGATGTAGGATGATATAATCATATTATCATCCTACATTATCTTCCTACTCACACTAAGATCCTCTGTAATAATAATAATATGATTATAATTGTAATGATTGTTTTTTTTGCAATCTCACCAACATTTCACCAATAGTTAATCACCATCACCATGAAAACTTATCAATATGATTAAAAAGTTTGATAGAAAACAATTAATCTTAATCAAGGATTTTTTGTTTTGTTTAAATATCAATGAAATTGAATAAAATTCAACCAATAAGATTGAAACTTTTCATCCCCAAACAATTAAAGTAACAAACCATCAACCTGAATTATTATTTGGGTAATTGTTTTATCTAATTAATTAACAATCAATCAATTAAATAGTAATAATAAACAATTACCTGTTTCCTTAATCCTTTTTTTTCTGGTCATTCATGTGATTTGTTTATACACTTTCTTGTTTGACAGTTTGTGGTTAGAGTTAATCAAAGTTAATCAGTTGGCTAATTTACCTTTAAATATATAAATTGTTAACCATTTAGTTAAGGATTCATGTTCATTTCCATATTATCATGTTAATCAGTTTTTATTTTCAATTGAAAATCTTTCAACACCTTAACAGTTTGAGATTGAGGCAAACAAATCATACAACTACACAATTAGTTAACCAAATTATATTACTACATTTAATTAACAGATTACTGACCTTTACTTAACCATTTAACTATTTAAAACTTATACCAATGGTGATGTAATTGTGATCATTGATTTGATTGTTGTTGTTGATTGTCATAATCATAATCACCATCATCATCATCATCATTATAATTTTCATCTGAATAATTTAACAGTATTTATGACAATTTATAAATTCATACACTTCTAATATTATCACAAAGGTGTAATAATCAAATAATAATATCATCAAGATGAGCAACAATTTAAACTAAATTAAAATGCAATTGGAAAGGGGGAAAGAAAAGTTTCTCATTTTGTTTTCGTTTTTAATTTGATTCAATTAATAATTCACTTTGATTGTTGCTCGGTGTATATAAATGGATATAGATGATTAGATTATGATGATTACAGCCGGAAGTAATCAATCGATTCCAATAGTAATTTATTTAATTGTTAAAATGGACAACAATCAGTGTTTTGATTATGTACTTGATTAGTTTTCCCTCTATACTACTTAAATTAAATTGTTTGCCTGATCACGTTCACATTGATTACAACTATTAAATTGTATTGGAAACTTTTACTCTCTCTCTCTCCATTCAATCAATGTGAATATTTCAATTTCAGGCCTTTTTCACCAACAATCAACTAAATAGTATTGAAACAAATTAACTATTTTACTACTATTTAAATTTACTACAAACAGAATCAAAAGTTTCGCGAAAATTGTTTGTAAATTTGCCAATTGATTGATAAAACTTTTTGCATTTACTTTCATCATTATTGATTACAAATTCATTGATTCATTTAATAAGAAAGTTTCATTTTCTTCAAGTTATATTAGTTATATTCAAGTCTTAATTAACGCTTAATTAATGGTTGACAGTTTAATTGTTTACTTTTGAGGAGCGTTCAGTTAATTTGATTTGTCCACTTCCGTTCAATCAACTGGAAAAAAAACAATTAACTAAATTTAAAATGATTAAGACAAACAATTGTATCCAAAATAAAGCCAATATTGAATTAACCATTTACAATATAATACATGTATATGTTTAATTGTTGTTCTTGTTGATAAATAATAACTTTAAGAATATGAATTAATTAATGTCTAAATGTTGTAGTTGTGATTGATCAGTTTTTAATCACTCACAATCAGTTGAACAACAACAATCAACCCTACTCATCAACCTTTGACCTGCAAAATTAATGGATGAATGAAAAACAAACCCTTTCAATTGTCATAATTGTTTTGTTTTGTTTTTTCATTGATTGATTGGTTTCTTTACATTGGTTTGAATTTTGTTTCAAATCACAATTAAAAGTAAAAAATTATCAATAATACTAATCCAGTTTAAATTGTTAATCTCTGTGTAGTAAAGCAAAAGATGAAGCAAAAAAAAAATTCACAATGTTAAGTAATTAAAGTTTAATTGTCGATAATAATAGTTAGAGAAATGAAAATGTTCAATGTTACAATTATTACAACAGCTCAGAGTCAATGAATTAACCGTTACTTTGATTACTAATTGTTGAGGTGGTCGTAGTAGTTGATGTTGTTGGTGGTGGTGTTGTTGTTAATTGTAATCATGTTGTTGATTACTACATCTCAAAGTTACTTCATTTCTATTACTATTTACTACCTTCAATTATATTTGGTGTATCCTTTTAATATAATATTAATTTTCACCACAATTAGGATCGTGCAGTGAATTAAATCACATTGTTTAAACCAATGCATCGTTTTCAACTCCCTCCACCTCCTCTTACAGGTAGTTACCTTTTACCACCATCGAAACCAGCCCACTCTCTCTCTCTCACTCCATCTCTTACAATAATGGGAGTGGGATGAATACTTTCCACCTCTCTCTCTCTCCCTCTCCCTCTCGTTGTATTTTGCTTCCTCTTTCTCACCTTCTACGTGATCATTGATCAATCCATCGTATTTTTTACCACCCCCAATTTCCTTCAATCAATATACAATTTTGTTAGTAATCTATATCTTCCTCTCTCTCTTTCTTACCCTCTCCCTCTCTTCATCATCCTCATCTTCCCAACTTTGTCTACCTGTTAACTACCTGCGGTGATTTTCACCATCATGAATTGATGATAACATTTTTTTTCACTTGATCAGTGATCAGGCTAAAGTAACATTATCGTAATCAACCACCACCACCACCACTGCCTAATACAAACTTCCTCCTCCTCCTCTCTCTCTCTCTCTCTTTTAATTCTTCTTTATGTTGACCCTACTCAGACGATCATCACCATCACCATAATCTCCATCATCGTTATCACCACTGTCTCTCTCTCTCTCTCTCATTCTTTTGTCATCGTCATCATTTCCATCCCTTGTTACTTATCCTAAATCTCACAAGTGACATTTTCATCTCGGTCCAGTTCAGTTTACTTGTTCCTCCTTCGAACCCTAAGTGACCTATCATTTACCATCTCTATCCCACTCTACCTCCTCCTCTACCACAGTCCAACAATGAATACTGTCTCACCGTTCCTATATCCACAATTATCACCAAAAACAAGTGAAAACTAAATTAAACCATCATAACTGGATTAACTTATTATTAAATCGATTCAACAACAAAATCTTTTATTATTGAAAATCAAAAAGTTTCCAAAAAGTTTTCTTCTCGTTCTTACCATCATAGTGATCAATTTTCTTAATTATCTAAGTGAAAAACTCGAATCTAAATTTGTTCCACTAATCAATTAACCTATCAACTAATAACGAATCAACTTAAATTTAAAACTAATTCTTCTTAATTGTTTAAATCTTAATCTACATCAAAATGCATCAAACTGTTTCTCCATATTTAACTCATAACTTTCAAGGATATTCATACTTAGATAGACGGACGGTAAGTCGTTAATTGTTGTTAATTAATTTAGTAATAGATACTAATGGTAATATAATTTCAACTGTTCCTTATTGAGCTTAATTTGTTCCTCCTATAAAATTATGAATTACGTATTTGTAACTAATTGTGTTCTAATTGTTTTAATTGTTTTTTTTCTTCTGTTGTTTCTCATTGAAATCGAAACGAAATCAAATCAAAAAATCTAGGATAACGGTGATTACCAATTCGAAGATGTCTGGAATTGTAACCTTAATTCAGTGGCCTTATTACCGCCGGTGACACAAGTAACTCACTCTCATTCCTCAGGTTCACCTTCATCATCAATCCCCTCGAGCTCATCACCATTTGAAACAACCTTTATATCAACTCCAACCTCTACTTTATCAAACTACTCTACTGATCCTGGTCAACCATTTTCATCATATTATGTCAACTCTACAGGTACCACACCTTCAACAAATATAACCACCTCAACATCACCAATCAACCAAAGTTCAACACTTTGTGACGATTATGGTATTACAACAATAGTCCCTTTAACCGCAGTACCAAGTATCACATTATCTTCATCAACAACATCCTCCTCATCATCTCCTGATGGAGGTAAAACTGATAAGGATGCTACAAACACCAATATAAGATCATCATCATCATCATCATCAACAGTGACAACAATACCAACAAATACCCTGACCGTTGTTGTTGATAATCACAATTCAACAGGAACAGTAAAAGTAACTGGAAACTTTTACGATAACATCCTCAGTAATCATGTTTACCCTGTTAATTGTAACAATGAAATTACCTCTGGTAACTTAACCCACCTTGCTGATGATGCTAATATTGTTAATTGTGGATCGAGTTCTGTTTCCTCAGCAGTTGCAACTGCATCTTCAATCATTGAGAATGGTTTCTCACCTTATTGCCACAATCATGAAACAATTAACTTCTATCCAACGGATAACATTTCAATTGAAAATTTAAATGAACAAGAACAAGCTTCAGCATTTTTTGATCATCCAACATCTTCAGGTAAGATATCCAATGATTAACTGATTGTTTATCATTTCTAATTCCATTTGTAAATCATAATCTCAACAATCGTACTCGACTCAATCTACCACATATCGACACCCGCACCAATCATGATTTATATTAACTTTTAAAGCTTATTTAATTGTCACTGATATAATTTATCTCTCATGTCCATCAAGATAATGATTATCACCATCACCTCATACTGAGGTGACCAACAGATATTACAAGTAGATAGCTTTTTATATACACACACGCTTGACTCTCTTGACCTTTGGCTATCTTTTCCTAAGTCTAATCAGTCCAATCTAAGGGAGGTCAAAGTGAGACACTGACCACTAGTTAGCATTCCCGTATGAACCTAAACAACTACCTTGTAACATGATGATCATTATAATCACTTAGATCCTCTGAAATCATATGATTATTTTTTTGCAATCTCACCAACATTTCACCAATAGTTAAACATCATCATGATTAAAATTTATCAATACGATTACTATCATAATAATATCGTTATTTTTCATACTTTTCTTCCTGTTAAGGTCTGAATGGTTCAATTTGGCCTGGTGAAAATGTTCACCACAATCACACTTATACTACACCGATTTCATCGCCCTCATCTCAGGTCGATCAGCATCAACAACCATCAAATTACCTTTACCATCACCAACATCAAGCTAATCCAGCGCACCTTCAACCTCAATACCAACAGCAACATATAAGCTTAAGACAACAATTCGCCATGAATGGTGGCAGATCATCATCTCGAGGTTCCAAGGGAGATGTAAGCCGATCAAGCGGTTTCAGCGATACATCAGATGATGATCGCTCGATAACCCGAGATGAGAAACGAGCGAAAGCTTTAAACATCCCAATCCCTGCTGAAGAGATATCAATCTACCGATAGATGAATTCAACGAACGCCTAGCGAAATATGATCTTAACGAAGCTCAACTTTCACTTATTCGAGATATTCGTCGGCGAGGTAAAAATAAAGTCGCAGCTCAAAATTGTCGTAGACGTAAAATGGATCAAATAATAGATTTACAAAGTGAAGTGGGTCGATTATATTCACAGAAAAAAACTTATGAAGTTCAACGAGAACAACTTTTAGCCTTAAGGCATTTAGCTCAAGAAAAATACACAAAACTTTACAATTTCATTGTTTCCACCTCTGGGTGTCCATCTACTCTAGCAAACTACACCAACATTGAGAACAATTATTCAACACCCTTGTCATCAACTTCCAATTAATTATACATGTTAATTAAATCTTTATTTCAACACATTCGCCACGCGAAAGTTTAGTTTTTTTTTGTATTATTCAGTTTTCTATATCACAATATATTTTAATTCATAGAAATTGTTTTTTCGTTACACAAAATTAGACTAGAAAATAGAGTCGCATGTGTAAATGTTATGTTTTTTTGTTGTGTTTGCGTTTGTTGATTTCTCCTGTTGGTTTGAATTTACATTTTTTTTATAAAAAAAAGTCGAAAAAGAGATTTTGATAAGTTAATATCATAGAAATTTTGAAGATCTTCAGAGTGAAAATGGTTATGATATTTATGTATAAATATCATGGTTACGACAGTGTTTAAATGCTTGTGTTGGGATCCATGAGATTAATTATTTTCGCAGAGAAATCAATCTGATATAATTTTGGATGAGATGAGATGACGATGAATTTACAGTTATGATTAAAGTTGAAAATAGAAATAGATCAAGTTAATGCTCTTTTTTTCTTAGGCCTCCTCCTCCTTGATCTTTGCTTTTCCATGGACCAAATGTTATATCAGGTAGATATTGTTTTCATTTACAATTTGATTTGTATCTTGATTTTTTTTACATCATTATGATTATTAATAACTTAAGGACATTAATTTATATAAATAAATTGTTGATGGTTTGATTGTTTTGTTTTTTTAGGAGTTCATCTTTTAGATTGTTTTTTTTACACATAAATATCACTGACAATATAACGTTCATTTGGTTAGGTAAGGATCGATTGGCATTGCGATAATACCATCAACTGGTATATTTAATCCATCTGATCTTTTACCATCGTGATCGTTATTTAAAGTTTCATCGTCAGTATTTAAATCGCTTGGATTTGATTGATTCATTGTATCACTTTTAGATCCTTGGGATGATAGATTGTCCGTCATGGCCTTGGTATATGATGTACCCTTTCGGTAAGTTAAGTTTTGAGGATGAGTATGCTGAATAGGAGCATATGAGTGATATTGATGATAACCAGTGTTGGCATAGATTCCGTTGGGTGTTGTTGATAGAATCGCGTTGACAACCGGTTGATTAGGTTCAAGATGAGATGCGGTGTAAGCATGATTACCAATCGCAACTCCTTCCGGTGGTCCACTGTCATGGTGGTTAATTGAAGTGTTACTACAATAACTATCAACACCATCGCTGACAATTGAACTTTCTCCACTGAAACCTTCCATTCCGGCAGATGATCCTCCATTTGAACAATTGGTCCACATGGTACCATTTATATCTGTACAAAGAAAAAGTCAAATTGGACAAAGGAAATCATTAAAAAAACTGAATATAACAATTTTTATACTAATTAAATTGTAAACTAATTGGTCTTTTCATCTTTCATTTTAAAATGATAGACTTACTGTTTTGAATTTTACCTTCGTTAGAAGGTATTAAATGACTAGATTCAGTTTCGGGGTAAGGTGGGGTTGGTAAGACTGTTGGTGAATTTTTAGGGATTGAACGCTTTTTAGTTCGTGAATCAGGCCCACTTGAGGCTCGTTCACTTAAAGGTGTTCGGATCATTTCGTCAAAATTATTCATTGTTTCATGAAATGAATTTGGACGATTATTAATCAACCCTGTTTGACCATTATTATTATTATTTGCTATACCAATACCTCCACAACCACCACTGATAATCTGTCCATTGGGTGTATTCATTATACCAACACCTCCGATTCCACCTCCTCCATTGGCTGCGGCTGCTTGAAGGGCTTGGTGGAAATGATGATTTGGTAAAGGTTCGGTGGAGAAAGGCCTATGACCAAGAAGAGCTGAAGATTCAACTCCACTCATTTTTGAGAATCTTTTCAGGTTACCACTGTTATCGGATGGAAAAGCATTACAACTTTCCAATAAAAATTCATCACCTTCTAAACCACCTCGATAACCGCTTGGTGGAATACGATTGTTATTCCGACGTCTCGATTTGGATACAGCTGAGTGATGATTGAAACAGCAACAGCAAACACCAATAACCAAGCATGAGAATAGCATAACGATCAGAAAGATTCCAGGTAAAATGAGATCATCCCAAAGAAAAGCTCGATCTACAGAATAAATGGAGTTAAGATTTTGATTGGCACATTTAGTTCTCATTGTTGAATCGATAGTGTTAGAGGAAGAGGAAGAAGAAGAAGAAGAAGAAGAAGAAGAAGAAGAAGAAGAAGATGATGAAACATCAACAGAACAATTACATCGATAATTTCCCAGAATATTTGTTGGATTTGCATTTGGTCCTTGACCTGGACCTGAGTCTGGAATTGGAACTGGATTTTGGCTTGGAACAGGACTGGGACTTGAGTTTGGTAAAAAGTTCTGGACTATAGGTGCCACAGGAGTGGGACGAGGCTCTTCCTCAACTGATATGGTAACCCATGAATTAGATGATAAGGGAGGAGATCCTGCATCAGTAGCACAAATCATCAACTGATATAAACTTTGCTTAGTCCTGTTAAGAGGTGAGGTCAATATTAGAGCCATTTCTCCGATAACTTTGATACCAAAGGTTCCATCTTGATTTCCTTCAACTATATCAAGTGAAAAGGGTCCACTGTTGATATGACTATCAGGATCAGTGAGGATAAATCTTTGAATTACATCACCAACTTTTTTAGTTTCCTAAAAGGTGAAAAAGTAAAATAAAAATACCGTAAATTAGTAAAGATCATGAGAAATAAATCAATCATTATAAAGATTAAATTAAAGGTATCAATAAGATTAGAAGAGACAACAAGTTTCAATGATTTTTCAACAATCATTTACTAAATCACTCACACATATAAATAAGTTGTATAATACAAAATAACTCAACTGTAATTAATTTAAACATAAGTTGATCCTCACTGATAATAGATAACTTGATTTATAAGGTAAACTTTAATCAAGTTTTAAAACCAAAAACTAATTTTTAATGAAAAAAACTTCATTGAAAGGAAATTCAGTTCAACATAATCTTAATTTTGATGAAAAATTTTGGCTCAGTGATATACTAGAAAATTAATAATAATCATAATATTGTAACCAATTTAAAAGGGAACTAGTTTGTTAATATTTAATTTAACTAAAAAACGAGATTCTAATAACTTTTGTATAAACTGTAAAACTTTTTTCAAGTCACGAGATTCAAATTTCATTTTTATCATTACTGTTATTACCACTATTAAGATGATGATTAAAACGGATTAAATATGTACATTAATATACACACACAAAGTAATGGTTATGATTTTAATGAATGATAAAGAGTAATGTGTTTAGTGATGCTGAAAACCTGTAACTCAATTATTTACTACAACTAATCAACTAACAGTAGTTAAACTTTTTTTTTAAATCAAGAAAAACTAATATGATGGATGATCACAATGGGTTAGGACTAAATGAAGGGCAAAAAAAGGTAAAAGATGAAGAATCAAGAGTTTAATATGGTAACGTCATTATCTTTATCATGTAGTACACACCACACATGATATCGTTCAGAGGTTGAGAAAGAAAATTATTTACAATAATAAAAAAATTATCATGATGATAATATTATCAATAACTATCAGAAGAAAGAACCAACATCATCAACAACCATATTGATGGATTAATTTGATTGGGAAAATGTAGAGAGAAAAAAATTTCATCATCATTCATTGAACAGAAAAAGGTAAACATCATCATCATCATCATCATCTAAAAAGTATTGTGAAAATAACAAGATCATAATCATCATTATCATCCTTCACATCGGTATCATTATCGTTATCTAATTCACTGTCATCTTTTTGTTCAATCAAGCTCACTAAATTGATAGATGATGATAAATAATAAGTGTACATTGGGTATATGATGATAACATTGATTATTATCATTGTCATCATTATTATTACCATTATTAAATCATTCAATTGAATTTGGTGCTAATAACAGTGAGAAAACTTAAATAATCATTTATAATGTTAAAAGTAAACAATGTTGCAAGAATATATATAAAAAAACTGCAAATTGAAAGGTAAGGTAAACCGAAATATATACCAAACCGGATATAAGGTTAATTGTGATTAAAGGTAAACTAGTATAGTGAAAACAAAGGTAAAAGATCAAGAATCAAATCAGTTCTTTGTTTAGTTAAGATGTGAAAGCTAATTGCTGTATTAATTGTTGGTAAATTTTTCCTCTTACAATTAAACAATCACTTCTTATGAGGAGGGAGGGAGGGAGAAACACATGGGGCAGGGAAATAGCATCATTAGGGATTCGCCTTAATTAAATAAACAGGAGAAACCTTTTTGTCACAAGTAATTTTCTTGTTGATAAAAATAACATTGTTTGTATGAGTAAAAGATGCTAATGTGTTGATCAGAACATGTCACTTTGTCTTAAAAGTTTAATCAATGAATTAATGTTAAACTATCTAATGATTAGTGACAGAAACAATTTAAGGAATCGGATAAACATCACACATATGCATAATATGAGACTTTGGGTAAAAGAGAGTAAACAAAATAAACGCAGAAATACAAACAAATTCAATTTTGCGGTTAAAAACTATCATCACCATCTTCTTCATCATCATCATAAGCCTTATCACAATCATTAGCAACTACACCGCCAACACACAACAGAAACGATAGCGATGATGAATGAAGTAATATACTGATGTGTACACAAAAAACAAATAATAAAAAAACTATCAGATAAAATGTATATTATGAGTGATCGTGTGTGTGTGTGTTGTATACACACACATTATAACATAAATCGTTGAATAAATAGAAAATATAACAAAAAAATAAACAATCTGAGATAATTTTTTAAGTATTTACCTGAATGTAAAGTGTATAATTGGTTTGGTCAAATTTAGGTGGATTGTCATTAACATCTGATAGCTCAATTGTAATCAAGATGGATGATGAGAGTGATGGTGATCCTTTATCTATGGCCACAACCTCCATAATATAAGATGAAATCTATTACGATGAGAAAATAAAGAGAAATGAAAATATTATTATCAACATCAAGTGAAAATTTCAATAAGTTCATAATTCAAATTATATTAGGAAAAAAAAAGATGATATGGAATCAAAGAATTGTGAGATAGAGAAAGAATCAAGAAAATGATCAGAGTGAAAAATAAAAAGTTACAGGGGAAAAAAAAGATAAACATGAGAATAAGAATGAAAAAGAAAATCTAAACAAAGAGAAGATAATTTTTCTTTTCATTCTAATGTATTTCAGTTACCATTTCTCTATCTAAAGGTGATGCCACGGTAATGATTCCGGTTTTAGGTTCTAATTCAAATTCTTTATATTTTGTTTGATAATAGGACATTTCACCGGTTCCCGAATTGAGAGATGAAGCTTTAAAGAAATAATTGATTTGACCATTTTCCTTTATATCAGCATCGGTGGCAACTTTTTGGATAATTTTCTCACCAACATGGGTGTCTTCCCGGATAACTGCTGAATAACTGGTCTGACTAAAGAGAGGTGAATTGTCATTAACATCTAAAATGGTAATTGTTACTTTAGCCTCTGATGATAATGAAGGAAGATCTTGAGCAACAATTTTACCACCTCCACCTCCACCATTAACAGAATCTTCTTCTGCTTTTATGGTTAATATAAATTCAGGAATAGTTTCCCGATCCAATGATTTAACAACTGATATTGAACCAGATTTAGGGTGAATAGTGAAACAATTTTCCTCATTACCGGCAATTATTGAGTAAGTAATGTCTTCATTGATTCCGGTATCTACTGAGGTTGCCGTTACTCGGATTAAAGTTATTCCAACGGAAACATTTTCATAAACGGAAGTTGTATAATGACTTTCAGTGAATTTAGGTGCATTATCATTAATATCTAAAATATCAATTGTGAATTCTTTAGATGTTGAAAGTGGTGGAACACCAGAATCAGTGGCAGTGATTAAAACAGAGTAACGGTCAATTGTTTCTCGATCCAATGGTTTAGCGGTGAAAATTGTTCCACTTCTTTCATCAATACTAAATGTTCCTTCATTGTCATCACCCAGGGTGGAAATTGAAAATTTAACTTCTCCATTTGAGCCAATGTCTTGATCAATAGTTGATATTTTACCAACAAATGTACCAATTGGTGTATTTTCTGGTATCAAGAAAGATGATTCAACACTTGTAAACATTGGTGGATTGTCATTTACATCAGAAATTACAAGTTCAACCGTTGAAGAGCAGGTTCGATCCCTTTCAAGATTATCATGGGCCACAATTAAAAGGAGATAATGTGCTTTCTCCTCTCTATCAAGAGAACCAGAAACTTTAAGGTTACCCGTACTAGAGTCAATTGAAAATGGTAGATAACTTGAATTGGTCAATTCTTTACCAGAATCAGGATCGGCAGGGTCAAGAGATACGTTGAAATAAAGTTGGGCATTTGGTCCATCATCTGGATCAGAGGCAATAATTTTCAATAAAAAGGTATCGGGTTGAGTGTTTTCTGATACCATTTCAACGTATTTACTTTGCCCACAAACAGGACCATTATCATTAACATCAACTATTGTTATATTAACTTTAGTTTTATTTGATAATGGAGGTGAACCAGAATCAACTGCTTTTACGGTTATAAGGTAATTGGCTATTGCTTCACGATCTAACAGTTTGGTAACAGCAATGATACCAGTTTTTGGATGGATGATAAAACGATTATCTTCATCACCATCAACAATGGTATAGGTTAGATTAGCATTTGACCCAATGTCGGTATCGGTTGCCTCAATTGTTGTAATCTCACTGCCAATGGTAACATTTTCCAACACGGAAACATTGTACATATTGGTAGTAAAAGTTGGATAATTATCATTTACATCCTCAAGGGTGACAATAAATTTAACAGATGATGAAAGAGGTGGTAAACCTAAATCAATGGCCTTCACCGTTAAATTATAGATGGAAACTTTTTCTCTATCCAAAGGTTTATTAAGTCTAATTAAACCGGTATCCGAGTCAATTGTAAATGTTTCATTTGATGAATCTTCTAGGTTATATTGAATTTCACCGTTTCTTCCTTGATCTGAATCACCGGCTTGAACTTTACCAACAACAATACCAAGTTGAACATCTTCTGGGATGGAAACTTTATAAAGGTCAGAGGTAAAATTTGGCTCATTATCATTAACATCTGAAACAATTATCTCTATTGCAGAGGAACACATATTTTCACGTTCTTTATCATCATGAACTTTGGCTAACAGGAAGTATGTTGATTTTTTTTCACGATCCAGGGGAGCGATAACTGTTAAAACGCCAGTCCTTGAATTCAAAGCAAAAGGCAACTCTGAGGTATCTTCTGGACTGATTAGACCATTTTCATTTAGATTAGAGCTAATAGGAACTTTATCGGTATTTAAAAATAAACTATAATAAAGTTGAACATTGGCATCGGTTACTGGTCCATCTTTTGATTCGGCTTCTATTTTTAAAATATCACTTCCAAGTTCAATATCTTCGGAAACAATTTCAACATATTCACTTTTCCGGCAAATTGGTCCCATTGCTTCAAGAATTTCAATGGAAACTGAGGTTGTTGCATTGTACTTAGTATCGGAGACCAAGATGGTTAACAGGAAAGAGTTTACTTTCTTTCGGTTTAAAGGTTTATTCACAATAAGATCACCAGTATTTGAGATTGTGAATTGATTAAATGAATCCCCTGAGGTGATGAAATAACTAAGTGAATTGAGACTTGCATCATCAGCGTCTGATGCATCAATTGTTGTCACAACCATACCAATCGGTGATCCCTCACGAATTGAGGCATTATAAAATGATGAACTAAATTTCGGTGGATTGTCATTTACATCCATCACTTTAATGGAAAGTGTTGTTTTATTGTTAAATTTACCATCGGTAATGGTAACCGTTAAGTTATGCCATTCATCCAATTCACGATCCAATGGTGAACGAAGTTTAATTAATCCAGTTTCTGGTTCAATATCAAAATAATCTGAGTTATCCATTTTTTTAGCTCTTTTGATTTTGTAGAAAATTGCATTCTGTGAATCTTCACCATCTCCGTCCCAAGCATGAACCCGACCAATAGATGAGTCTATCTCTTGATCCTCTGAGACTTCAATATAATACGAATCAGAGTCAAAAATGGGAACATTATCATTGGTGTCAAGAACATCGATAAATGTATTCAAATATCTAATGGTGTAAGTTGATTTGTCAAAAATTTTCACAACCAAAATGTATCGAGATAAAGTTTCCCGGTCAAGTGGTTCAATTAAGTATATTTGTCCTTGTTCACCAAGTTTAAATTTATTGGCATCACTGTTAATTCCGGCTAAAGTTAATTCTAAATTATCTGGATTGGTAAAATTCAACGAAGTAATAATTGAATTAACTTTTGCCATCTCTGAGATAGTTGCTTCATAAGAAGCAACAAGATCACCATCCAATTTACAGGGTCCATTGATTTTAATTGTAACGGGAACAACAGATTCAAGGCTATTCTCATCCCAGGCTTTCACTTGAAAAGTATAAACCGATCCAATTGAATTTGATAAATTACCATGAACATAAACTAATCCAGTCTTTTTACGAATCCGGAAGGGGGTAGTTGATGAAGCAACGGAAGATGCTGATGTTGATGATGAACTCTCAGGTAAACCAATATGTGAGATAGAATAGAAAATACGGTTTTTTGTACCTCGAGAAGAAGAAGATGATGATGATGATAGTGAATTTTTGTCATATGCAATCACAGGTAAAATGTTGGTTAAAGTTGCAACATTGGAGCAAACAGCAACCTCATATTTATCAACTAGGAACTGTGGTGGACTTTCATCATCACCGGTAACCGTAATTTTAACTACAGTTAAACCAATTCGATGGCCACCATCTTTGGCTAGAATGGTTAAACTAAAAGATGAATGTTTATCTCTATCTATTGGTGAGACTGTAATTATTTCACCTGATTTAGAGTCAATTGTAAACCATCTTAATAGATAGGAACTTAAAATAGAATAAGTAACTTCAGCATAAATTCCATCATCATTGTCATAAGCTTCAACGGTTGTAACTCGTGTTCCAATGGGAGATTTTTCATCAATGGAGGCAAAGTAAAGAGGTCGAGTAAATAAGGGACTTTGTTTGTTGGCGTATAAAATTTTGATTGTCAGACTGGAATAATCTTTGTGTTTACCATCAGTCACCGAAATGTTTAAAGTGAAAACATCATAGATGAAGGATTGATCTTTAGCAAGACGAACTATTCCAGTTGATGGATCAATTTTAAAAGTACCAGAAGAATCACCAGATATTATTGAATATTTTAATATTTCCTCGGTAGAATCACTTATATCAACATCAATTGCTGTCACTTTGGTGACAAACATATCTTTTGATGAGGCTTCTGAAATTGTCGCTGTGTAAGATTCCCTGGTAAATTTGGGACCATTGTCATTAACATCTATCACATTAACCCAAACTTGACAGGTTGATGTTAAAAGTGGTGATCCTTGATCGGATGCGGCGACAATTAGATGATGTTTTGTTGTTGTCTCATAGTCCAATGGTTCTGTTAGGTAAATTATACCGGTTTCAGAAGAAATTGAAAAATGTGGATCAGAAGTAAGTAGAAGATATTGAATCATTGAGGATTTGGTTCCTTTAACATCGGCATCGGTGGCGTAAACTTGAACAACCTCTGTTCCTTGTTGACTAGATTCCAACATGGAAGCAGAATAAGTTGACTGATTAAACTTGGGTGGATGGTTGTTAACTCCATTTGAAATAGTTTCATCTTCATCCAGATCATTGGAAGATGATGATGGTGGTGGTAGTGACGAAGTTGTTGTAGTAGTTGTAGTAGTTGAAGTTGTAGAAGAAGTTGATGAACTAGAAGTATCTGTGAAAAAACTATCATCAGATTTACTGATAATTTTAGATGAAGGTGATGACAATGATGCTAATGATGATATAGAGGACGGTGAAGATGAAGATGACCAGAATGATGAATCCGTTATTGGTGATTCAGGTGAATTATTGTCAACTAATATTGATCCACCAATAGTGTCCGGGACAACGATCCAGAAAACAATTAAAATAAACTTGATCATATTGTGAACCATTAGTCGAGTCTTATCCATAAAACAAAGATGGAAACAAAATTTATCAATACAATAAATCTATCTCTTATCTCAGTTTCCTGGCTATAAGCCGATAATCACCAAAGACATTAAGACAACACACAAGATGAGATTTTGTTGATGTTGTTTTTTGGTAGAGCGATAGATTAGTGAGAAAGATTAAGAAAAAGAGATCAAGAAAAAAAAAGATTGATTGAAACAAAATGGACACACACAGGAAAAGTCGAGTAGATTGGAAGGAGATATAGATGATAATGATTGTGATGATGGATAAAGGAAAACAAAACACGGGGTAAACCAAGAAGAGAAAGAGAGAAGGGCAAAATATGATGAGTAAGAGAAGATAGAAAAAGTTTACCCAAAAAAAGATGGATCACTGAGAAATCTTTTCTCTCTATGAAGATGGTGAGTAAACCCGAAAGAGAAGAGAACACACAAAAAGAAAAAGTTACAGAGCTTGTAAATTATAGATATTCCTTTTTTCTTTGCCCTCTTCCTTAAAATTATGGTGTTGTCACTGATTTAAACTGAACTTTATTCAGCCAAATTCACAAAGTTGTCGAAAAAAAGTCATGATAATTTTTCCTTTAAATTTAAACCATTGGGGGAGATAAATGAACACAGACACTCTACACTTAGGTGACAATTAACAAGAAGAAGAGCAACAATTTCTTTAGAGTAAAGATTAGCACTCATAACACATAGGCAGTTATTTTAGCCAATGAGTTGGTATATTAAATATCAGAAGAAGAAAAAGAAAAGAGAAAAGAATTTATTTTTTATTCTTTTTTCTCTTTTCTCCTTTGATTTGAGTTAATCCAAAAAATTGGTTATGACAAAAGTTTGTCGATCATAAGAGAGAAACCAAAGTGAACACATAAGATGGATGAGAGTAGAAGAAAAATGTCCAAAAAGAATAGAAATAATAATAAATCAAAGACACTTATAATTACTATTATGACAATAGAAGAAGAAAAAAAAAGATAGATAGGGAAACCAATACTGGCGAGAGAAAAAAACAAAAAGCCGAGACAGAGAAAGAGATTAACAAAAATGGAGATGTTTGTAAATGAAGAAGATTAAAAGATGATTAAAGTTGAATATGTACATTCAGATGGAGAAGTTGTAAGTTAACACGAGTTTCAATCATTTTTCATGAGAAAATCACCATGAAAAAGAAAAGAGAATAAAAAAAAACTCATTTTTTGGAGAATAAAAAAATTCTAACTTAACTTCTTTCGGTTCAAAGTGAGACTGGAAACAAAAGCGAAAACCAGAAAGTTAAACCAAGAGAAAGAGAATAAAGAAAGAGACATGACGTCATCTCGACGAAAAACAGCGACATCTATTGAAGAATTTCGGCGAATTCAAGTTCTATTCTTTTTTCTTTGTCTTCTCTCTCTCTTTCAGTCTTTTTTTCTTTCTATTTTTTTCTCCCTCTTTTTTGTCTTCTTTTTCATCTTTAGATCACTAAATTTTTGGTTCCTTTTTAAGACTCAAGCAACAGGACCTCAACAATTAACATACGCACACATGAATCGCTGGTGATTTACATAAATACGGATCATCGGATCTTCCATCTTTTTCTCCCTTTGGTCATCTTCTGGTCATTTCTCTTCTTCTTCTTCTTCCATTTTGTATATTCAAATCTTCATCATTTTCATCATCATCATCAATGGAAAAAGAGTGACCCTCAGGGACAAATATTCTCTTTGGCCTTATTTTCTCTTTCACTCTTTTTCTTTCTTCTTTGCTCCTTCCCCTTATCCACCCTCACAATCATCATCTTTTTCTCTTTCACTGATTATTTTTCTCTCTCCCGTTCTCTCTCTCTCTCTCTCTCTCTCTCTCTCTCTCTCTCTCTCTCTTTCCCATTTGATATCCATATGACCCTTAAATCTATTATTATTTTCCATCTTCTTTCTCCTCCATGTGTCAGAGTAATTCCAGTGTCCAAAATGCAACTTTAGACAAGGACAGTGATACTTTTTACACCGACCATTGGATACGAAAATCATTAATTGCTCATTACATTCAATTGGATTCATATAGAGGCTCAAGTGAAAATTCAACTGTTGTCGCCGTTATTTTCTCGATCAAGCTACACACACACACACTCTCTCTCTCTCTCTCTCACTATCCCTCATCCCTCTTTATCCACCATACAACTAACAAAACAACCTTATGTTAACCTAAATTTCAATCGGAAACTTTTACTTCTCATTAATTATCTCTCTCAAATCATGAATTATCATTGATTTTGGTATCAACTTTGTTCTTGTTGTTGTTTCTGGATAAGTGAATATTATTGATGAACAGATATTGACTTTTCCCATTCGCGTATTAAGATACAAAAGTTGATAGCCAAATGATGATAATCATGATAGCGAAATTGAGTCAGAAATTCTGTCGTTAATTACTTTATAAATTTTTCTCTCTCTTTAAATTATGATAATCCTCGAATTCCTCTTCCATCTTTCTTTCTGTATATTATTCAGCTTAATTCTCAGCATCTTATATATCTCTTGATTCCTTTATCTTATCTTATCTTTTCCGTTTTTCTGTTCTCTTGCATTTTATTTTTTCTTACTACTACTACTATTTCCGTTTACATTTTTCTTGGCCATTTTTACTTCCGTTTTATGGGTCAACATATAAACATCATCATCAAGTTTATTTGTGGAAACCAAAAACTGACCCATTGGTGAGGAGAGAGAAACGAAAAGTTGAAAAGACAAAACAAGTTAATTGACATCGATGGACAAAGATGAAAATGCCTAAGGATACATATGAGAAAAAAAAGGTCAAAGTAGGTGGTCACTCGTTAAGGTCACTCTCTCTCTTCGTCTCCATAATATTGCTCATCATTTTGGTCTTCAAGATTCATTGGAAAACGATTGGTCATCTGGTAAATAAACAATCAAACCAAAAAGTGATCTGACAATTGTAAGTTAATCATTGGATCGTTTAACTAACATCCTTCTAACAGTAATTGATCAACATTGTCTTATTCAAGTTAATTAACTGTTAATTATTTACTAGTGACCATTATCATCAAGGAAACTTGATTTAAGTTAATTCACTTGATTGAGTTGATTGTATTATAAGTAATTCGTATTCGGTAAACAAGAAATAAGTACAAATTGTTTGAGGGGCAAACAATTTACAAATTTGATTTAATATTAAATCTGTGAGGTTGTTTAAATTGGACAAACAATTAAATAACAATCAACATTTACAATAACAAAACCTTACGGGCTAATTAAATTGTCAATTCTCTTGATTGTTTAATTGTTAGCTAATTAATTTGTCAGCTAATTGTCAGACAAAATTTACCAGAATTTTGTTTATGGTTAACCAAGAAAAACAAATTTCCTCCTCACGAAATTAAATCATTATTATTATTTGATACACATCAATATGTAATTAAATTTGATTATCGTTATTAATTAAAATTAATAATATTACATCTTGACTTGGATCATCATAATTATGATTAATAATTAAAAGTTTATTTACCTTTTTTAATATAAAAAAATTAAATTATAAGGTAAATGGGCAGAAAGAGGTAATAATAATCAATTCTGTTGCGATAATGATTACATTTACCTTAGTCTCTTAATTGCAATTAACTTTAGGTAATTGAATTAACGTTAATACGTTGATTGTAATGTCATGTTTATGATTATGTTGTCAATTTGATAACAAAGTAAATCAGTTAACACCAACAAATGTATAATGATTAATTAATTTTCCTCATCTAAATTTAATTCAATGAACATTATCATTTACAATTAATTCATTAGAAAATTTTAATTATAATATTTTTCTTCAACATGATCTACTTTTAACCTTTATCACAATTACACCCTTTTGTTTTTATTACAATCAAATTAAATCTTTGTTTAAACATGATTAACATTAATTATGATTATGATGATCCTCATCTACCAACACAAAACTAATCAATCAATCAATCAAACAATCAAATTAAACTTTTTTTTTTCTCTCCCAATTTTAAATTAGATTTTGCTGGCGAAACAACAACAGAAAAGGGTTAATTGTTGGGAGATTTTGATAATCACAACTGGATTAACCAGGAATCAAGAAGTAAATTAAATGACCTGAAACAAGGCTCATTTATATCATTAATCATTCCAGTGTTTCAATTGACTAATTTAACGGGAATTTTAATCATTTCAACATAAAAGCGTAGGTGATGAAGATGCGGATGATAATGATGATGACATAGAATGACGATCATAATGATTAATCCAATTAATCTTAAGAGGAGGAAAAGATATTTATAAATATGAATGAAATAGTAAAATGGATCAACGGAAAAACAAAAGTAAATCAATTTTTATATCTCATCAATTTGATTAACTTTCATTGGATCAGTTGTAGTAAGAAAAAAGTAAATTAACTTTAATCGATTGAAAATTGTTATTGGTCAGTCTGATGATGATTCATACAATATAAATAATGATTAAAGTAATAATATCATCGATGACCACATGTTTATTTAGTTATGATCATTGATGATTATGATTAATTTAATCCATTTCCTTGGAAAGAAAAATTCTTCCTTAATCTCTATGAGTATATTTGTTATTTGCACTGCCTACTGTTCAACAGTTAGTGGATTAAACGGATTAGATGGATTAAAAAATGTCGCTCAATGGCCACTAAGATGGAAGGAGAAAAAAAAAAGATTTAGATAAATGATAAAGAAAGAAAAAGTTAATCCTTTAATCCAATGTAATGATCTTTTCACAGGCAAAGTTAATTGACCGCAACAGTTTTTAAACCAAATGAAGTTTTATTGTTGATATGAAAATATTGTTATTAGAATTGGTCATCGGATAAATAATGTTCTTGTTGATTATCATGATTATTATCATGTTCATGATGGTCAACTATCGATAAAAGTGTCAGCCTTATGTTGATAAAATGATGATCAGAATTGATATCATCTTCCAGTAATATCTTTCTTTTTTTTTCGATTTTTTCTCTTCTCTTTAGGTCAGTTCGAAACAATAGTTCTTGGAATTGTTTCAATTGAGCTGATATTTCTTCACGAAACATGGGATTAAGGGAACAAGTGAAGGACTATTAGTAGAATGAGCCAGATGAATGATGATGATGATGATGAGATTGTAGAACGATAGAGGATGAGAAGAGGAAGAAGATGAAATAAAGATGACGAAGATAAACATACGAAAAGAGAGAGAGAGAGAGAGAGAATCAGTAGGAAGAAAATTATCCTCTAGAAGAAGAGGAGAAAAGAAAAATTCTATGAATGAAAGAGAGAGAAAAGGTCGTAAAGAAAATAGTAAAAAGAGAGAGAGAGGAAAAAGATGATGGGCAAAGATGAAAAGAAAGTAAGTCGGAAAGAAAGAGTAAAATAGCAAATGCTAAATCCGTAATTAAAAGGCTTAACGATGTTAATTAATGTTATTCTTATGGTTCAGCCTCTAAAACAATCCATTGATTTCTTAAATTTATCCTTTTATGGGTCAAGTTTCCTTTCCCTGATTGTTGCCGATCATCATCATGTTGACCTCAGAATGTTGGTAATGATTATTGACCTCAGACTGTGAATCTAAAATCAGTTGTTTCTTCATTATATTATCTATCATCCTCTTCCTTTTTTCCTCTTCTTCATCATCATCATCATCAATAGTAACTTCTTCAAGAATCTTTCATCATCATCTTCATCCTCCTTTGTCTGGATAACCTGTAAATCAATGCGATCCTTGGGAAACAAATTTACTTTGCTTGGTTAACAATTATATTTATTATCATCATCTTTCTCTCTTCTCCCTTATTCTTGCCTCCAACAGTGATTCCAAAGGAGCAAAGTATCAGCTATATCATCATCATCATCTCCGTGTTGGTTTTTATGCTCTTATATTACCTACAACAAACAAGAAAGAAAATCAGGAAAATTGGTGAACCGCAGAAAGTCATGCTACATAAAAAAATGGAATAGAAAAAACAAAAATCTAAGAATTAATTGTTGTAGTTAATTGTGATTGTTACCATTATTATATCTGAGAAGATCAACCATCATAAGAATCAAGGATAATCAATGAGCGAGAGATACTCTCAAGGTGAAAGGTAACTATCAAAGTACAAAATAGAAAACCAGTAATTTTGTCACTTAACATGTAACAATTAAGGATAGTAATTAGTGAGAGTCAATTTATTCATCATCTTCTCTATCATCAACATGATAATCTAAAGAGTCTAAAATCAACATTCATCACCTTTACAAGGTAAGCAAAAAGATGATTAAAACCAGTGCCCAATCAACAAGATAATTAAATTGTTCAATTAAATTATTACCGATACTTAAATAATTGATAAAATTGATTGGAATCAATGTCAATACAATTAAAGGTAATTAGCATGAGTAGTTTGGTTTGTAAAAGTTAGCTAACTTTTTCTAATGATAAACAATTTAATTCATAATGTAATTCAATGAAGATCAGGGTTACCAGGTTTTCCTTTAATTGCTCAGAGTGATGAGATAATGTTGATGAATCATTAGAAAGTTAATATTAAGTTGAGAATAATCAACAATCAAGATAATGAGAACAATTAGAAATTGTAAACAATTTGCAATTCGTTGACAGGATGGAGATTATTATTCTTAATCTCAATCTAATTCTTAAATTCGGAGGTAATCTTATCTTCTTCATCTTAATCTCTTTGTCTTTGTGACTTTGAAAAGAGAGAAATGAGTTGATTATCAATAAGAGAAAAGAAAAAGGATTAATCGTTTCGAATTAATGATTTGTTTTGTTCTTTTTCGGTTCGGTGTCAACTCGCCAAGCCTTTAAGTAAACATTAATAATAATCCCTTTGTTTTTGCAAAATTTAACTAAAGTAAATTAAAATTTTCTGAGTTTGATAGGTATTGCTGTAGAAAGGTTAGGAATTCTGGGCCCTCCGGGCCATTCATTCATCTTGAATACTAGGTTGAGAGGACGAGGCCCTCCGGGCCGTTAAAATCAAATTAATTAGGTTTACATCTCGAAACCTAACCAAACCTAACCTAATCTAATCAAACCAAACCAAATCAAGCCATCACCTAACTTCTCAACTCTTTTTATTAATTATTTATATCAAAAAAATTGATAAAACTTGTCCTTTCTCAAGCTGAACAGCCTTTCGAAAGGATTATCACAGAAGGATTAAGCTTTTCTTTTAAGCGGCTTGGCGAGTTGACTCTATACCTTCTTTTTCAACTTTCTCATCTCGTTTTCCATCTTCATCTTCATCTTCATCTTCACATTAGCCTTAAGAGAAATCAACTTGAGAATAGAAATGATGATGATGACCCTTCTCGCGATGACAAATTCTTTTCTCATCTTCATCTTCTTAAGAACTCTTGACTCTCCTCTCTCTCTCTCTCTCTCTCTCTCTCTCTCTCTCTCTCTCTTTCTTTCTTTCTCTCTATTTCTTTATTATTTATCTTCATCTTATCCCTTTCCTTTTACTCTCATCTTGAAAATCCTTTATCTCTAATTGTTGTTATGTCTTAATTCACAATCGAAACTTATCCTTGATGATGTGCTCAACGTTCACTCAATTAATTTAAATTGTTATCATTTCGTCTCAAATTACTAATTTTCTCCCCTCATGGATTCAAGGAATTGATGATTAACCACCTAAATCTCTTGATTATCATGATTAATGCAACAAAAGTTAAACAATCAATAAGTTACATCTTGATTAAATCTCTGGTTGAAACATAAATCTCATCATCATCATCAATAGTCAAGATAATCAACCAACAGAAAACTAATTATTTACAATCAAGAAAACAACTCAACAACAATCAAAAAGGCTAATAATCAACACGAGAGTAAATTTTTTTTTTCATCTCACCTTTAAAGCTTATAAAAGGAGTAGGAGTTAATTGTTAATCGTTGTAAATTTAACAACAATTAAAAACTTTCCTTGCAATCATAAATTACTGTTACATTAAAATGATAACATTTCCGTAATTAACACAAAGAGATATAAACAAAATTTAAAGGTTACAATTGATCAATGAAACGATTGTTAATCAACTACAGACACAAATCATTGTAAAGTTAATCTTAATTGTAAGTGGGTTTTTAACCAATTAACATAATTAACCAACTAAATCAATCCAAAAACTAAAAATGATATTGTTAATTTAAAAAAAAAGTAATCATCGGAAAAAGATTGATTCAAATTATCCTATTAATTTGTTTCCGTAACAATTACAATTACCTACGCTTATTTAAAACTTTTTTTTACCTTAATCATCATTAATTGTGATCAACGATTTACAATTACCAACAAGATACTCATCATAAACAATATGAATTACATGTTTGTTAATCAAGTTCCAATATTGGTTAACAATCAACAACAACAACAACAACTATTAATATACAATTTAAGTTAATCAAAATTATAAAGAATTGATTTACCAACAATATAATGTAATAAATTTTCAATTTAATCACATCAATCAAATAGTATAAAAAAGTTAATACCTTGATTGTTGTTGAGATGATTATCATGATGATCAGAATCCATTGAAACTTATTACATCCTTTTTTTGTTTGAATAAAAGTAACAATCAAAAAAAAGGTTAACCAATCAACTTGTCAATATTGAAAATACAGTTAAATTTGATTCATTATTATTATTATCATAAAGGTATCAAACTGTGACAATTGAAAATTAAATCAAAATGATTTCCATTGATTTGATATTAGTAATTTTTTATGCTCTCTCATGACACTTTTTTTGTTTCATTTCAGTTTCAAATTGAAGATTCTGATTTCACCATGTAACAGATTATTGTGAAAGTTTGTTTCTCCAAAGGGATAGGATGATGATTGAAATTAGCTGATGATGATGATGATGATGATGATGATGAAATCTTCTCATGTTATGGTGATCAATTTTCAGGAAAAGGCGTGAAAAACTTTTTTGGAATAGTTTTTCAGGGAAAAAGATGAACCAGCAGGGGAAACGAAAAGAACATGAAAAAAATGATGGAAAAAGATGTAATAGTAACAAGGAGAAAGATGAAGATGATAAGGATGATGATGATGATGATGAGCATCTTCAAGCCACACAATTGGGTGACAAAATGGAAGAACTTGAAAAAGCATCAATTGTGTGAGAGAGAAATGATAATGATGATGAAAGGTTCCAAATTCAGTTGCCAAAGGATCAACATATTATCATTCATTTCACAAGAAATTTATGATAAAATGTATCTTCTTCTTTATCATCTTTATCTTCCTCATCTTCTCTTTCATCATCATCATGTTTCCTTAAGCTCACATTTCATTGTATTGTAATAATATTATCAATAGTTTTGCGTTTTTGTTTATTCAACAATTGAAATTATTTCCATCTCATTGTTAACATTTGATTATCATCATCATGTTCTTGTTGTTGTTTTAGTTGCATGATCACTGTTGTTATTTTTTGTCTGCTATTCATGATTAAATCATTGAAAATATCACCAGAATCATATTTCACTTGATTATCATCATCATTTGATCATCAATCATAAATTGTGAACTTTAAAATTGTTGATTATTAGTTTTAAATATTATACTGTTTAACTTTACCATAATTATTATATATCTTGATGAAATTTGTTGTTTTCATTATTCACTTACTTGATTGTTTGATTATGTATTGGCATCTTAATTGATCACAATTAACAGCTAATTGATTGATTACTTTAATATTAATGTTTGACTTTTGCTCTCTCCTTCAATATTATTTTTCTTAATCATCATTCACCAATTGAAATTAATTCACTTATACTCAATCAATCATCATGTTCATGAAATTATTATTAATATTACAAAAACAATCAGGAAAAAAAGTTGATAATTATTAGACATTACAATTAGAAAATGAAACAAATCAATTAAATATCATTGAAAATCAAGGTTAAAAAGATAATCAATTGATTGTGATTAGGTAAGTGTGAAAAGATGATTAGGAAATTAATCTAAAATGTTAATTTCTAATTCAAATGTTATAATTAATCAATTGAAGTAACTTTTAAGTCTTAATTGAAATGCAAGGTGAACAATTGATACAATTGATTACAATTAAGATCATTTAAATTGTAGGTACAATTGAATTAACTGTAACCTTGAGGATCACTTTATATTAGACAATTAAATTAAATTATCAAAGTGATCAAAACAAAATAATTAAAACTGTAAGAAAGTATAACAAAGTTAATAGTTATAATAAAAAACCACTCAAACCATTTGATTAGTTACAATTAACATGCGACAATTAAAAAAAGTTAAACTATTAAATTTGATAACATCATCATCATCAAAGATTGATATTGAAAGAGGAAAAAATTAAATCAATCATAATTGTTACAAATCAAAGGTAATCAAATCAAGTAAACAATTAAATCTCGAGTTTTCGTTATCAACAATTAACCTTGTCCATAGTGAGGGAAAAAAATCCAGACAATTATCACAATTACAATTAGATAATAACAGTTAATGATGATCATCATGATTACCATACAAATCTTATCATCACTGATTTAATAAGTTTGGTAACAATTAACTAATTGTTAACGGCGATGGTGAGGGAATCAAAATGTAAAAATGATCAAATGTTACTCGCACTTTTAATCAGTTAATTGTTACAATCAATTCAATCAGTTTCTATTGAAGAAAAGGAAAAAAGTAAATTAGTTAATATTAAATTAGAAGTGAACAAAAAAAAGTAATAATCTAATCAAGAGAAACTAAATTAAAATGATATAATATATGAATTAGAATTGTATAAAAAGCTAATTAATTATATAAGAAGGTGAAAGATGATGTTAATTATTAAGATTTACCTGTAGTAATTAAGGAAGAGGAGGAAGAAAAAACTGATTATCATTAATCATTAAATTCACTGGGGATTGTTAATTGTTTTAAATTCATAGAGATATTTACATGTTAATAGGTAAATCATTGAGACGATGGTTAATTTATCTTCAATGGTCAGAGCACCAGAATAATTGTCGATGTTAATTGTTATCAAAATGAATTATTTTCTCACAGATTTACAAGCAAAGGATCAAGTTAATTGTCTTTGAGAATCGTAATCAAATTAAAGAGTAGAGAGAGAGAGAGAAACAATGATTAATCTGAATGGTGAAGAACAAGGATTTTCAGGATGGAATTTCTTTCTATTCGAACAAAAAGAAAAATGAATTAATGGATTTACGATCAATTAGATTTGATTGAGAATTAGGACAGAGAGGGCAAGAGGAGGGCGATGATGAAGATGACAATATTATGGAAGAAAAGAGGAAGATAAGTGTAAGAAATTCAGTAATAAGACGAAAAAGTAAACATTAGTTTTTTGCTTGTTCCAAATTCTTAGATGTGTCTTAATCTTAATCATCTTTTTGCATGAACTTTATCATCTTCCTCTTTCTTTCTGGTTAATGTGTTACTCTCTTTTCATCATAATCTTCTTAACTCCAACACCAATATCATTTATCATCATCATCCATAGACCAAACGAGAGAGATGAAAAACTAATACTTTCTGTCCATTCACTCTGGTTACTTACTATCATCATCTTATCATCATTTTCATCAGTTCATGATCATCAGCAACATTTTATCATCATCATGATTAACTGAGCCTTTCATGTTATTTTGTTTTCCCTGGCAAAGGGTAATTTAAATAATCACTTTTACTTTCATGATATAATACATATCATGTTCAGTCAATCAGCCACACACAATGATTTGGTTCATTGATTGTCCAGTGTACGTAGGGTTGGTTAAATTTTGTTTAGTTTCTCGGGTGTGGTTAATCATCATTATCATTAAATTAATCATTCCTCCATATTCATCATTAAATTATCATCAACCCTGATTCCTAGTTAGTTTTTTAAACAATCAAAAAGCCTATGGAACTGAGAGAGATTGAAAAATCAATGAGATATTATTGAGTAATTAAGGTAAAAAGGATTAGATAATAATGGAAATTAGAAACATTAACATTATCGTAATTAAGCCATGTGGTTTAATTGCTATTCTAAGAAAATGGAAAGGAAAGTAAATTAATGAATTATCATAATCAAAAAACTGATTAACCTTAAAAATTAAGCAAATATTATTTTCGCTTGGAAAAATTAATTGTTGGTTGATTGTCTAATTTGTTGCCTGTTTGTTTGCTTCTTGATTATTTTCAATATCCTTGATTGTTTGGGTTGATTGTTGGTTAGAAATTAAGTAAAGAAAAAATTAGAAAGGGTTAATTAAACGGGAATTAACTTGTTGCCAAGTGCTGATAAATCATTGACTGTTAACAGTAGTAATTTATGTTTAGTTAATTGTTCCAACATTTTTTTTTAATCATCATTACGATGATTATTAAATAGGAAAACAAATATGAGATATTAATTATTATTTAGATTTGATAATATCCTTTTTGTTTGATTGAAATCTATTGAAGGGAAATAATTATCACGGTAATTAAGGTTAGTGTTGTTATTATTAGAGTTGACAATTAATTGATTCTATTTAATTTATAAAGTACAAGCGTAACAATTAACTTACCTGTAAATTGAGTAAATATTATTTCAATGGGAAGAAAATGTGATAATTGTTACAGAAATTGTAGTAAATTGTTTACAATTAATAATTTTGTTACCCATCAGTGTGAAAGTTAATCAACTTTTGTTTTGTTTTTTCATCACATTGGATGTTGATTAAGATCCTGTAGAAACCAAATTGGATTATAATTAACTTGAAATCGGATCTTGATTTGGTGAGTTAATTGAACCAAAACAAGGATAGATGATGATCGATATAATCTGTCTTGATTGTTTACCAGAAACTTAAATCAGTGATGATGATGATGATGAACAAATGAGTTTCTAGATTGGAAGAGATTAGTTGATTAGTAAAGCTTGACCCAGTTGGAATTAAATAGAAAATGAGAAATAATTAATAGAATATAAAATCTGGAATCAACTGGAATTAGTGACAGTTGTAAATTGATATTCAGAAGAGAGAGAGAGAGATTCAATTCTAAGGTGGGATTTAGATCCTTGAATGTTTTTCATCCAGAATGAAATATTACCATAAATTCAATATTTTCACATTGAAGAAAATATGATGACAGTGATGATTGGATGGGAAGAGAAAAAGTCGTTCTTAATCCTTGAATCAATTCGGAATTGTAACCATAATAAACCAGAAGAAAATCAATAACACCGAGTGTATCGGACGTTACATTTTCCTTTTTTTCGCCTTCACCTTCACCTTCATCTTTTTCTTATTTTATTCTCCATCATTGTGACTGTTGCTTCTGTTGAATAATATGATGATGGAAATGATACCAAGCCCATTTTTTAGTAACTTTCTCTTCTCTCCGAATTTTTCCTCATCAAATAAGTTCTGTGTTTAAGATAAACCTTTTCGTTTCAAGAATATTGTATCCGATTTCCTGTAACCTGTTCCTCTTCATCTTGTCTTACTTTTTTTTTCCTCTTCATGGTCTTTTCTTTTCTTCAGTCTTGGCCTCTTTTCTTTCATGGTGGTGTTGATATTATTAGTTTGGTCTCTTCCATCATCATGAAGTCGTTGTTTCTTTCCTTCTTTTTTGTCTCCTAATTTTTTTTACCTGAACTCCCTTGAACTGATAACCATTTACCTCCATTTCCATACTACCCTGGCCGAGATGATCCTTCATTTCACCAGCCTCTCCTTGAGTAAATTTATGTTCTCCATCCTTTTTTTTATCAACGAATTAGGAAAACATTTTAACCTAAAAGGTGAGTGAGAGAGATTCAAGTTCCAGTTTATATTAGATACAATAGAATACATTGAATAGAAAGTGAGAAAAAAATTTCATTATCATCATCATCATCTCTTCACCATCGACATCATTTTCTCAATCAGATGAAAGAGAGAAGGCAAAGATGAGCAAGAAGATAAAGGGGAGAAGAAGGTGTGGTGAACAGCAAGATACATGGTGATTAATGTAATGTTAGAGTAAAAAGAGAACATGAAAAAAAGGGTTACCCAATGGAGAGCCAAAGTGTTTGATTGATTCTGTTTGGTCAATGGGAGAAAATGAGAAATAATTAATTGTACTCAGATAATTACAACTCAGTGTGACTGTAACAACAAATTAGTGAGCGGTTTTCCATTAGAAGACAAGCAAAAAGAATATAAAATTATTAATTGAAAGAACGGTGAATAAAAAAAATAGAAACAATTAACGATCGTAATTCAATAAATGAGAAAAACTTAATGACAGAACCATCAGAATTTTAAACGAGATCGAAATGGAATCGAAAAGTTTTCTTTTCGTTTTCTAATTAAAACAAAAAGATGATAATTTATTTTGATTGCGAATTAAATCATGATGGTTATTGTTTTTCTTTTATTTCTCTCTCTCAATTATCATGTGTCTCTCCTCATTCACAAGGTATAATTGATTATCTTCGGTTATATTGTTTTGTTTCTCTCTCTCTCTCTCTCTCTCTCTCTCTCTGATTATTTAGGTTATCAAATTGATGATAATCGTTTTTGGAAGTTGCGAACAGGAATTATTTTAATTTTCCATAGTGTTTAATTGCCTGATTGCCTGATCGAAATCGTTGATGGAATCATGTTTATCGTCAATAGCTGAATAGTAAATTCTACCGATAAAGACATGATACCCAAAAGAATATTTCTAGATAGATTATGGATATTATGGTATTGGAAGAAAGAAAAAAGGTGATTCAGATGATGATGGTTCCTCTCTCTCTCTCTCTCTTTGGCTTTTATTTTTAATATCGATGGACAATTGGATATTCACCTCATGTATGTATTAATATTATTATCATAGCATCAAACTATTTATAAATATCATCATTCGGGGAAATTGGATAATCATCATTTCTCATCTCTATCAAGTCATCATCATTGTTTGGGTTTTCTCTGTGTGTTTGGTAAATGATTGGAAGCCACATCTAACTTGTTAATTTCTTCATCTCGTTTTTGCCTCTCTCTCTCTCTCAACCTATTACCTCCCTCCTCTACCCACTACAGTTAAACAGCATGAAGAAAAAGCCTGGATGATGATGACTATTACATGATGGCGAAGATGAAAATGTAATTGCTGGTCAGAAACATCATTTTCATAATCATCTTTAGTACAATGATAGGTAACAACATTCAAAAATTTGTTCTCTCTCAGTCAATTTCATTTATTTCATCTTTTCTCTCTCTCTCTCTCTCCAAGTAATCTTTTCACCTTTAACTAAATCTCCCAATATCATCATCATCATTTCTCCCACTTTTTTCATCTCTCTCAGTCAGTGTTTTCTTCACAACATCATTCATTTACCTTTATTTCACTGTCTCTTTCTCTCTCATTTCATCTCATTTCATCTTCTTTCTCCCCTGTCTCTCTGTCTCACCATCAACCTTCAAAACTCATTCTCCTTTAGCTCTCCCCTCTTTTTATTCATCCATTCATCTTTCCTTTATTCTGATTTGAATGAGCCAACAAAAAACGATTCTTGTTAAGTCCCGAGAAAAAAACCTTATATGAAAGTCTAATAGGAGAATAGCCTGAAGCATTTACTCAAAATTACTTTTTCTTGTAATTTTCTGTCTTCTTTTTTTTCATCTCATCTTTTTCCTCCTTCTCTTACTCCCTCATTCTTTATAAATATACTTATTTCATTCATTTCTTTTCTTTCCTTCAGATTATTAGATGATGCACTTAAGTAGTCCTGATTTTCGGATAACTGTGGACCTTCTTATTCTCTCTCAATCTTCCGTTGCAATTCTGGCTTCTTCAATTCTGTGAATCTCCTTCTCCCATCCAACATCACTTGGATAAATGTCTTCTGAAGTTTAGAGAAGGAAAAAGCCACTAAAATTAAGTGGTTACAATCAGAGAGAGAGAGAGAGAGAGAGAGAGAGACAACGTTACAGAATTTTTTCTGTAACAAATTCTATTCTTAAATGAGGAGACAATCAATAGAAATTGTTTTAACATTGAAAGAGAAAAGGAAAATGTAAAAAGTTAAAACAAGTCAACATTTGCCCCACTCATCAAACAGGAAACATCATCTTCCTTTTAACTTTTATCCTTCATCTCTCTCTATGACTTTTCTTACTTTCTTTTTCCTTGATAACACACATAAAATACCGATAACCTATTCAAGATCATCTCTTCATCACCTAAAGAAAAATACAAAAGGAAGTCAATGATGATGGAGAGTAGAGAGAAACAAGATCAACAACAAGGAAGTGAAATCAAGTGCAAAGGAACATCTGAAAGAGTCGAAGGGAAAAAAAGAAGGCGAGATGAAAATGATAATAGTGATTTAAAATAATAGAAATTATGGTGAAAACTAAGAATAGGAAGACTAAGGTGGCAAAGAAATTGAAACTTTCAAGTATTCCAAAGATGACTTGGAAATTGTGGAGAGGCAGATAATCTAGATGATGAAGATATAAAGAAATTGATGCAACATGAAGAGTAAACATTGAAAGGACAAGAGAGAAAGAGAGAGAGATTCAAAAGTAGAATACAAAGAAAAAGAGAAAGAGAGAGAGAGAGAGACAACCATAGGATAAAGAAAGAGAGATCGCTGATGAAAAGAAATGGAAACTGGTGATGAGGATGGAGATGAAGATAAAGACAGAAAAAGAGAAATTCGGAAAATAATAAGCCCGGAGTGTGTTAGGTTAGTGTGAGTTCAATGTAGAGAAAAAAAAGAAGGAAAAAAGTAAAGTGAAAAAGAACTAGTTCGACCAAGAGGACTGATGATGATGATGAAAAGAGGAAGAGAGTGAGAGAGTGAGAGAAAAAAAGAGAGGAGGAAGATGAGAGGAAAACCCTAGGAGATGATGATGTAGAGAGAAAGAAGAGAGTGGAAAGAAAATGATCAAATGAATAACATTTTTTTCATCGAAACCCACTACCCATTCAACCTCCTTCTCTTTACTCACATTTCTCATCTCTCCCATAATTTTCTCCCTTTTTCATCTTCATCCTTCTCATCCTCATCTTTCCGAGGGGGTGAGAGATGATGGAGGGCTTTAAGAGTAAGAGAAATAGCAAAGAGAAGGAGAGAAAGAGAAAGTGAAGATGAAGATGATAGACAGATCAAGTTATGCAAAAGTGTCGTTAACAAAGATGAAGATAAAGATGATAAAAGCAAGAGAGAGAGAGAGAGAGAGAGAGAGAGCATCAACAGTAAATGATGAAAATAGTAAAAGGATTTACCCGAATAATAATAATACAAACAGACAATCAGATAGACAGACATGAAAATGATGTATTATTATTATTGGTGGATCATTCAAACAATCATCTTCATCTCCATCTTCAAATATTCATCATCATCACCATCACCACCCTCATCATTCAAGAAGACAAAGAAAGAAAGAAAATCCTCTCTAATTGAAAAGAATCAGAAAAAAAGAAACTATTACAATAATCTACATCCACCTTAACCAAATCTCAACACCTTAATTATTTTCTCTCCACATTCAAACTCTATGTTGATAGATAACTGTGAGTCTCTCACTCTAATCAAACAACATCATTATACTGCTCCCTTATCTCATTATTATCTTCATCTTCTTCATCGTCATCATCATCATCTTCTTCTTCTTCCTTCCTTCTCTCACTCTACATCTTCAATTTCCTTTTTGTAGCTTTGGCAATTGAAATTGATGAAAGAAAAAAAGAAAGAGATGAAAAGTAATGAAAATCTGTAAACAAATGAGTGACATAGAATCTTCATCTTCTAATCTAACTCCTCATTAGTGTAATTGTAATGTTGATGATGAAGATAATCATGTATCATTAAAGCAATTAGCTAGAGTAATAACCATGATATTAGTTGAAGATGAAAATCACCTAAGTTCTTTGTCTTTCTGTAAAAGTTTTTCTAATTTGTATTGGATTCACAATTTTACAACTATAACTATTATCATTTGAAATGATAATCGTATTCAAATTGTTACAATCAACTCTCGATATTTGCAATTAACAAAAAAAAATCGTAAAATGTTATATATCTTAAGGCCACTTGAAGGCCACAAGAGGTAATCATTTTGATCCTGTTGAAGCTTCCGAACATGAAACTCTCACGATTTTCTTATGAAAATTATCCAATTTACTTTCACCTTATCATCATCATCATCTTCATTATCATCTCCATCCTCATCTTTATATCTTCTTCCTGATCTTCATCTTCATCTCCATCATAAACAAAAACAAGAAAATCTTATTCACTTTACAATCGTGACTAAAATTTAACTCCGATTACAACATGATACCTTTTTTTTATCTTCTTCACCAATAATCCTGAATATCACCTTAAATGTTTATTCAATTTCTTAATCCATTAATCAAATATTTAGAAATTAACTTGATATTAGAACAGAAACTTTTTCTTTTCGAAAACTTTTCTATTTAAATGAATTACCATTGGTAATAAGATGATGGATCGACATTTTTTAATTTCTTTCTTAAATCAATGTTCTCATTTTCTCCTCATTAATTAAAATCCTCTTTCCCAATCAATTATTATTTTCTTCTTTAAGGTTAATGGTCAGTTTAATGTTATTGTTTTCGATGGTCAATTAATGTCCAGTGAAAGTACAGAAAAACAAGAAGGTAATAAATTTCAAGTATCTCAAGGCTTAGTTGATATAAATGGAGCAAAGTAAATAATATCTTGGTCATTGGTTTGGGTCACAAATTATATTACAAGGTAAGAGATTTTTTTTTCTTATGTATTAACTGATTTACTATTGATGATGATGATGATGATGATTAAGATATTTGTCAAGGTAAATAATTCATATATCATTTGAGACACTCGGAGATATGTTTAATTTACTGTTGTCTTTGTGGCTTATCAAGTTCATCATATTCAATGTTTGTTTGTTTATATGATTTACTTTGTATTTAATATTGTTTTTTTTGTCTCTCTCAGGTAAATATGCCTCAAGGTGGACCTGTGATGTTTACCTGTTTATCATCGTTACCTGAGTATATAAATCAGTCCATTGATGTCAACAGCAATCAAAAAGGTAAAGTAAAACTTTGCCATTTATGCAAAAACCAAATGACTCTGAAAATTGAGTTGATATTCAAACACCTAAGTATTAATATCAATACTTTTCCAATGGACTGACCTTAATTGCTTCATGATTAGTTGATTTAATTTGATTACGGGTTTAATTTTCCCTTTTATCTTGACCATATTAGATTTTCTGATTGTCATCAAGTGTACATTTAAACTTTAACCTCTTCAATATGACAAAATCATCACTAACTAACCAATAGAAACAATTAATTTGTCTAGATTGTTGCTAATTGGATCCATACAATTAATTGTTGACTTATTTACTGATTATAATAACAATTAAAGTTAACCATTTAACCTTAATCTACATCTTGATTGAGTGTTTTATTTCAATTATTAAATAGTTATAATTGATTCATTGATAATAATCAAGATGATGATGATTATAATTATCATCTTGATGATGATTGTCACTATTTAATCATTGGGAAGGACATTAGATTGTATTTTTCTTCAACGTATTAATATATTAGTTAACAACAATTTCCTGATAATAATGATAAATAAATTCAATCTAAATTGATTAACAGTTTCCTGTCTTGTCATTAGTTAATTGTATCAGGAAAAAAAAACAAATTGTTCCTCTTTGTTTATCATCATTTCATTTGATTGTTGTTAAAGGTTAGTAAACATGATTCCTTAATGATTATCAATTATATGAAATCAGAATCACACCTTAATTTTTGACGATTTAGCTTCTTATTGATTATTAATCAAGATCATCATTAAATCAACAGAAATTAAATTATCTGTTAATTTAGTTGAGTAAATAGTGTTAAAAGGACTTTGATTTAAGTTTGTTTTTTTTTCACCACAATTTCTTGATTTTTTTAATTGAATTTCAATCTTTTATAACTTGTTTTAATTTCTTTTAATCATTTGAGCAATAATTAATACTCTTAATTGAATTAACCCGCTAATTATCATGACGATTGTGATGATTATTTTCACTTTACCCGAATTAAATTGCTCTAAGGTAAATTAAACAGTTTTTCTTTGCCCAATTTAACTTTTAATTTGATTTAGTTAACTAATTATCTTCTTGTGATCTTATCTGTCAGTTATTATTTCATTAAATACTTCAATTGATTAACAATTCATTGGACTACCAACATTCATTGATTTGAGACATAATTAGCTAATTGTATTATGATCTATGCTGAGGTCAGAGCAATTTAATTTACAATCAATATAATACCTGACTGATTAACGGTTTTGATGATGATGATCAATAATAATCAATTGAATTTAAGTTGATGAATGGTAATGAATTTAAATTGATGAGTTGACTATTAAATCAATAATTTTAATTGTCTCATTAGTTTATGGACTACTTTCACTTTCTTTACACTATTAACTTAATTTTCATGATTAAATTAAATTGTGATTCTGATTGTTGATCGTTGGTAAAACTTTTAAATTGTTAACTATGAAAAATTTACCTCAATGTTTGTTGGGTTTATAACAATTTATTTAACTAAACAAAGTGAGAAAGTTAATCAAATCAAATTGTTGTTTATTTCTGTTGCTCTGAATTAAATTGTTCAACATATTAATCAACAGACTAAACAATCAACTTAATCACGTAGCATGTAATCATTATGTCCTGTTAGCTGATTTAATTTAATCTAAATCAATCAAATACTAATCACAAGGTACCAGACAACAATTGAAAGTTGGATAAATTTTCATTGTTTAATTGTTAATCAAATTCATGATTAAAGAGTTAATTGTAATGAAAAATTTTCGTACCAAATTTGATTGATTAATAATAATTTTAATTCCTTCTCATGAGAAACAACATTTAAAACCTTAAATTGTTCATTTAATTTCAACAATTAACATTTCTCTCAATGATTGGTTCTCATTGTAAATTCAAAACCTCCAACTACTTATGTTTTTATTAACAATTAACCAATTTTTAATTATTAAATCAATTTACTTTAATCACGATTATTATTGATTAACAGTTAATCTTAAATCGTTGAAACTATTAAATTGTTACCAACTAACCCAAATTACTAATACAATTAACCAATGGAGAGCAACAAAAAGAAATCACTTATTCATATATTTTGTTTATCTATCAACAGATCAGCTGATTAAAAGTGGAATTGAACAATTAACATGAAAACGATTAACAAACGTATACAGATAATATATTGATAATGATAATGATTCTGGTTAAACCATTAGGAAACGGAAGTTAATCAATTAGGATTGAAAAGATAATTATGAATCTAACAATCTCTCAAATCTGAAATGATGATGAATGGAAACCAACAAGGAACCAGAAGATAATGATGATAAAAATGATGAGGATAAATATGATGAAGAGAATGAGAATTAAGTGAATTGTGAAAGAATCAAGTTTTTGATTTATAAATTGCTTCTAGGCAAGAATATAATCTTACTTGCTCCATCATAATAATCATCATCTCTCTCTCTCTCTCTCTCTCTCTCTCTCTCTCTCTGTTTATCTTTGTAAAAAAGTTCTGATCCTACTTTTGACATCATCATCCTCATCCTCATCTTTATCTTCATCTTCATCCGCATCTTCCCTTCACATCAATCTCAATTAGGAATAATTTTTTACAGAAAGTAATTGGAAACAATAAGAAAAGTGAATCGAAAAACTTTTTCTAAGTTAATTCATCTTCCAATTCACTTTTTTCACCATGATAATATTACCATGAATTTGTAGGTAACCCTCCTCAATATTTGATTGCTCATGATAATTTATTAATCACTTGTTAAATTGTTCACTCAAAAATGTGTAATCATTTATATATATTAATACAATTTGATAATTTTATCATTGATCATAAATTATATTAATAACAATCCTACTTATCAACAATTAACTTTGAGATAATTTTTCTTAGGCGTTAAATCAACGATGATGGTGGCCAGTTAATTATCATAATTTAAGTTAATTGTTTCAATTTCATTGGTGGCACTTCAATTTATTAGCCATCCATTTAACACTATCAATATAATTATCAATTTTAATTACTCACTTATTTTATACTAGTACATGTATCAGCTAAGTGTAATTTAATTTAACCTTTAATTGTTTTTAAGCCCAATCAACAATTAACTTAATCACCAACGCATCTATTTTTTTTCATCACTGATTGAAAATATTTAAATTGTGTGACATATGAATGTATTGTTTTTAATTGTAATCAATCATAATCATCCTTGAAATTGATATAATACTACAATCAATTAATTGTTATTCAAAATAACAAAGACCTTGATATTTGAATTATGATGATAATTAAATATCTTGGTTGATTTAATAACAATAACAGTTACTTTTAGTTTATATTTTGATTCTGTAATTGTTACAATCAATGATCACTATTATTAATTATGATTAACCGATTTTTTTTTCTTAATTGTGATAATAAATAATAATTACAATGATTAATAACCTTATACCTCTTCCTGTTAATTGTTAGTAGGTCAAATGTAAGGTGTATGTTAATATATACAGTTAATGATTGTTATTACGTTAATTTAATTAGTTACAGTTACACCAATGATGATTCAAGGTTTTCATCATGAGATCTGAGTATTGAATGAACTTTTTATTTTATCTTCATGAGTAAAAGTGAAATGGTTTGTCATTATTAATTCTTGATGTATGATAATTAACAGGATGGTGATGATTATATCGTGGTGATGAACATTTAATTGAAACAATAAGATGATGATGATGATGATGATGAGAATCAAGATGAAGATGAGAAAGTTTTTCATCCATTAAAAAAAAGTTTTATTTTTCCACTACGATATCAGATTTGAATTCTAAATTCATTGTTATCATGACAATGTTATTATTACATTGTGCTTGATAATTTAATGGATAAGTTACTCATCTTTTATCATCCCATCAGAATTGAAGATGAAAAGAAATGGAATTGAAGTTAAGATGATGAAGGAAGACAAAAGAGAGAGAGAGAGAGAATTGAAAAAAATTCTTAGAATAAGATGATGGGATGAAATGAACCGTTTCTGTTTCTTTTCTCATTCCTTCCAGCATCTTCATCTTCATCTTCATTCATCATCATATTGTTTATATTGTAATGAGTATAAACATCAACTGATGATGTAAAAAAATCTTGACAATGTCAATATTTTACTTTATCACTTTTCCCTCTTTACAGGTAAATAGTATACGGTGGAGATGATTAAAGCTCTTAGGGTGGTAAAAGGCTGGAAATGATGTTAATCCTTGGGTGTGGTCATTGCCTTAGTGTACATATTTTGATACTTTGTTTCTGTTTGATTTAATCTCTGTGCTCATCTCACGTTTTTTTTGCGCAGACTGAAGCAACAATTAGTCATCTATATTGGATTAATACGTTTTTCTGATTGTGCTAGTTGATTGTTTGTTTACAAATGCAAATAAATTCAAATGTTACCGTTTAAAGTTTACGGTTTTCTTTTTACATCAATAGTTATTTTCACTCTTGTTAGTCATGGAATCTAATGAAAGAGGGAAGAGATCAGGGAAGATACTGACTACTATACTACCAGAGATGAAGATGATTGTGCTGATGATGATTAAATTTGTGAGATTTTAAAAGGTGATGGAAGATTATTAAGTTTGCAATGAAGAGAAAGATTCAAAAAAGAAATGTTTCAATGGGAATGGAGGAAAAAAATAGAGGCAGAAAATTATTCGATTAAAGATGCGGAAGCAAAGAGATGGAGTTGGAGGAGGATGAGAGGAAAATATGATGATAACTTTTCATCTTCATCTTGTTCATCATTTTTGTCAAAAATTCTTGGCTTATGTCACCGGAATTTTTTTTCCTCTCATTCTCAACATGATGTTTGTAGAAAAGTTTCATTCTTATCATCTTTTCAATGAGAAGATGATGGAAAAGTCAACAATGGATGATAGTTAAATCATATTATCAACAATCATCAACTTTTTCTCAGTTGATTGTTGACCTTGTTGCCAGATAGTTAATTGAATAACAAGTTGTAACTTTTATAATAATTTCTGAGCACAAAAAAAAACAACTGAAGATGCATTTGAATCAGTTAATCAACGTGAACTAAAAGATTCAATTAAAAATTGATTGATTATAATGCTGATTAACCATAAAGATAAAAAATATAATTTAATTTCATGTTTATAACAATTAAACATAAACCTGATTACTGATTATCGGCTCATGCAAAGCTAAACAACAATTGTAATAATACAACAATTAACCAGAATAAGACTTTGAGAACAAAAATAACTTGATGATTATTATGATGATGGTTGATAATCACAATTAAAGTGACATTTTAAATACGGGTTTTGTAACAATTTGATTAATATGATAGAAAAAAATTTCAGTTAATTTAATTGCCAAGTTAATTTGATCAACTTTTCTGATATCAACGCCTTCAATTCATCATCAATACTATTGAATTTATCCTTTCAAATGTATTATCATCCTTTTGATTAGCATCCTCATCCCTAGCAACCCAATAACCTGTCAACATTGTTTATTTAATGATAACTGTGTTTAAAATGATTTCTCTTGATTGTAATATTTAATTAACTATTTAAGGTTAACAACAAGGTTTGGTTAACATACAGTTGAGATAATCTTAATCTTTATCATCAATTTTTTGTTTTCCTTGAGGATCATCCTCATCATTTACCTTAATCAACGCGATCCCTTTGTTACCTTGTTAAGTTCATTGATCCAGGATTGGGAAACAATTTAGTTGATTGTTGTTGTTAACTAAATTTTTTTTACTTTAAATGAATGAAAAAAATGTTGATTTCCTTGTAAATGGATTAACTTTGGTCTCTTTTGTTTCTTGTGAACAAACAAAAAAAACTGTAAAATCTTATTTAGAACCAGTATATCACCAGGTAGAAAGGATCATCTTTATCCTCATTATCATCTCCACCTTTATCTCCTCATTATCATGATAATATTTAAATTTTCTTGTCGACTCTTATGAAACTCGGTTATTCATGATGAAGATGCTGATGTTGATTATGATGAAGATATGAAGATATGAAGAGATGAAGGTGTAATATTAAAAAGGAAAACAGTTTAAAAATCTCAATCCAATTGTCTGTTTATTAGATTTCAAATCGCATCCTCATCCATTTTGTCATCTTTATCTGATCGTTGTCTTGAACACTTACTTTGTTTACACACTTCACAGACTTGTGATTCTTCACCTTGACCAACATTCATCTCTCATCATCATTTACCGTTATTTATGTGATTAAAATTATAACATGTAATCAAGATGAAGATGAAATGAGTGAACAATTTCCTTTTGTTCATCCTTATAAAATCATTCCACCATTCAATTCAATATTCATTGTCCATCTTAACCTTCATCTTCATCTTCATCATCAATATGATTCAATGCTCATTACTAAGGTAAATACAGTTATGTATTCAGATAAACTTAGTTGCCTTTGGGAATCATCAGAATCATAAATGATGATGATGATCATGATTATCAGAATGTTTGAATTACTGGGAAAAGTTATGAAATTGAATAACATGATAGTTATGCTGATGATTTCGAGGTGATAATGAAGATGAACATTATTATTGTTATTGATTGAAACAAATTGAACAACAATCAGTAAATAATAAAACCCCTTTGGAATCAAAATAATGTGTTGAATATAATATTTTCCAATCATATTCAGTTATCCTTCCCTTGTCTTTTCCCATGTAATATTCATGAACTTTTATTCAGAAATGTAATATCCAAAGAATCGTGATTAACAATAATATTACATATGAAATAGAAATGATATTTTTTTTCCTTCACAGTTTCGATTTCAGGTGAAAATCATTCTGATCAATAAAAGTTCATGGTTCCTGAGTCCAGACAGAAGAGCATGTTTCATATTATGGTTACAAATATAACTGAATGAACCAACATGAATATCTTGTAATGGAACCTGAAAATCATGAATACATCATGATATTAATGTTTTCTCATTCATTTGATTCAATCGTTAACTTGATTTAAATTGTACCCAATCAAAATTACATTGTTGTTGGTTTTATTGGCATTTTTATCTTCCGCCATCATCATCATCATCATCACCATGATAGTTGACACATTGATCAGTATAATCTTTATATTCATGAGCTAACACTTCAAACATGAAGATGAAAAGATCAAGATGAAAACTAGAATACAACATTTAGTGAGTGGAAACAAAGTCTGTCCTTTCATCCAATTAGTTAAAACTGGAACAATTTAGCTAACTGTGATTCCCAATTGACCATAACTCAACAATTCCAACCCAATAATTAGCCTGAATTGATTAAACTAAATCAATCGACAAATGATCCAGACCTTTTTAGTTTACATCATTCGGACCGAATTTGGTTAATAACAATCAGCCAATATTTACTAAATGCTACAACTATTAAAGGTGTGGTCAAGTCCATTTGGTCAGTATTGATGGTTGACCTTTCACTTTGTAAAATCTATTGTATTTCATTCAATACTATTGTCCAGTCTACGTTAATAAAAGACTGACCAGTTGATATTGAGATTTGTAGGTTAAGCCAAGAAAATGAAGTTAAAAAAGTTTTGACTTTCGCAAAATTGGGCAAAAAAATAATGAGAAAGATGAAACTTTTTCTTTCCTTTACAACTTTTTATCTTCCATCAGCATCTTCTTCATCATCATCTTCTCTTCCTCTCCTCCCAGCCTATCAATTCTTGTAAAATCTCAAAATAGCCCCAGGCAAACGTTTGCTTTCCTTTCGCTCAACAGGTGATGCGAAAATAAAAAGATTAGAACTTTTTTTTCTTGTCGAATTTTTCTCTTTATTATCTTCCCTTATCATCCTCCCCTTTCTTATCTTCATCTTTTATCATCTTAAGCTTTTAATTGCTGATCAAGGTTAAAATGATTTCCATTACACCATTGACACTGATTAGTTGATTGTTACAATTTGGATAACATGTTATTAGTAAAAAAAAAAGTCTTCAAACTTCAATCAAATTAATTTTAATCTTAATTTTTTCCT